CGATTTTGGCACGAAATTGAGAAACTGAAGTTTCCAAAATAAAATTACAAAAATGAGACGTTTATCAAGTCATTTCTAGGGATCCAACATCCTCAATAACCTTTCCATTTCTTGAACAAAATAGTTATGGTTGAGTGATTCAGTCGAGATCGAACTTACTTACTTACTTACTTACGCCTGTTACTCCCAATGGAGCATAGGCCGCCGACCAGCATTCTCCAACCCACTCTGTCCTGGGCCTTCTTTTCTAGTTCCATCCAATTCTTGTTCATTTTTCTCATATCTATCTCCATTTCTCGGCGTAATGTATTCTTTGGTCTTCCTCTCTTCCTTCGACCTTGAGGGTTCCATATGAGGGCTTGTCTTGTGACGCAGTTGGGTACTTTCCTCAATGTGTGTCCTATCCACTTCCAGCGCTTCTTCCTGATTTCTTCCTCCACTGGGATCTGATTTGTTCTCTCCCACAGTAGGTTGTTGCTAATAGTGTCCGGCCAACGGATCCGAAGTATTTTGCGTAGACAACTGTTAATAAACACCTGTATCTTTTGGACGATGGATTTCGTAGTTCTCCAGGTTTCCGCGCCATACAGTAAAACTGTCTTGACATTTGTATTGAAAATTCTGACTTTGGTGTTGGTTGCTAATTGTTTTGAGTCCCAGATATTCTTCAGTTGTAGATATGCTGCTCTTGCTTTGCCAATCCGTGCCTTCACATCTGCATCAGATCCACCGTGTTCATCGATGATACTGCCCAAATATGTGAAGGTTTTTACATCTTCCAAAGCTTCTCCGTCAATTGTGATTGCATTGGTACATGTTGTGTTGTATCGAAGAATCTTGCTTTTCCCTTTGTGTATATTGAGACCTATTGCTGCTGAGGCTGCAGCTACACTGGTTGTCTTCTCCTGCATTTGTTGTTGTGTGTGCGATAGAAGAGCCAGATCATCTGCGAAGTCTAGATCATCCAACTGCATCCTAGCTATCCACTGTATCCCGTGCTTCCCTTCAGATGTTGATGTCTTCATGATCCAGTCGATCACCAGGAGAAAGAGAAAGGGTGAGAGTAAGCAACCTTGCCTGACACCGGTCTTTACTTCAAACGACTTTGTCAACTGTCCTCCATGAACGATCTTGCAGTTTAATCCATCATAGGAATTCTGTATGATATTGACTATCTTCTGAGGCACGCCATAGTGTCGAAGAAGCTTCCATAGGGTTGTTCTGTCCACGCTATCAAATGCTTTTTCGTAGTCGATGAAGTTGATATAGAGTGATGAATTCCATTCAATTGATTGTTCCACAATGATCCGTAGATTTGCGATTTGGTCTGTGCACGATCTATCCTTACGGAATCCTGCCTGTTGGTCTCGAAGTTGTGCGTCTACGGAGTCCTTCATCCTGTTTAACAATACCCTGTTGAAGACTTTTCCCGGTATTGAAAGAACAGTGATTCCCCTGTAGTTATCACAGTTGCTGAGATCGCCTTTCTTTGGTATTTTGACTAGAAGTCCTTCTTTCCAGTCTTTTGGTACCTGTTCCTCATCCCAGATCTTTTTGAAGAGAGTTTGGAGTATCCTTGCAGTTGCCGCTACGTCTGCTTTCAGTGCCTCTGCTGGAATGCTGTCTAGTCCTGCTGCTTTGCCACTCTTGATTTGTCTGATAGCCATGCTGATTTCTTCAATTGTCGGTGCGCCAACATCAATTGGGAGGTCTGTGAGTGCTGCTTCGATGTTGGGTGGGTTCAGTGGGGCTGGTCGATTCAAGAGTTCTTTGAAGTGTTCTACCCACCTGTTTCGTTGTTCTTCAATGTTGGTGATTATCTTGCCTCCCTTGCTTGTCACTGGTCGTTCTGGTTTACGGTGATTTCCAGACAGTTTCTTTGTTGTTTCATACAGTTGTCTCATGTTTCCTTCTCTGGCAGCCTTTTCCGCCGTCATTGCCAAATCTTCCACATATTTACGTTTGTCAGTTCTGATGCTCCTTTTCACTTGCTTGTTTACTTCTGTGTATTCAGCTTGTGCCTTGACTTTTCCTGCTCTTGTTCGACTGGTATTGATTGCTACTTTCTTGTTCCTCCTTTCTTGAATCTTATCCAGTGTATCGACCGTGATCCAATCCTTGTGATGGTGCTTCTTTTGGCCCAGAACCTCATGACATGTTGAAGTGATTGCCTCTTTTATCTCTTTCCAGTTGCTCTCCATAGTAGTTCCTTCTCCATTGAGTAGATCATGAAAGGCTTGGAACTTATTGCTGAGGGTCATCTTGAATTTATTGAGTTTGTCATTATCCCGAAGAAGAGCCGTATTAATTTTTTGTGATATTGTCCGCCCCGTTGTCCAGTGCCTCTTGAGTTTCAATTTCATCTTGGCGACCAACAAGTGATGATCTGATGCTATATCAGCTCCTCTCTTTGTTCTCACGTCCTCCATCGTCCTCCTGAACTTTTTGTTGATGCAGATATGGTCGATTTGGTTCTGTGTGCTGTGATCCGGTGAAGTCCATGTGGTTTTGTGTATGCGTTTATGTGGGAATATAGTCCCGCCTATGACCAGTTTATTGAAGGCACATAGATTTGCAAATCGAACTATCTTGTAATAACTCAATCCAACTAATACTTGGTGTAGTCTGACTATAGTTCATACATTTAATGATAACTAATATATCCGTCTAACTAGACAAACTAGAAATGATGTCGAATTGGCGGGTCACAGTTCATGGTCTCCATGTGAACATGAATGTTAAGATGCAATGATAGACATTGGCATTGGTGATTCCACCGACCTTGGTTTATTTGCAGAGCATTCACTGTCGTATTGGACAACATCATCCATGCCTTCTTTATATAGAAGTGATGTTCTTAGTTATTCCATTAGTCGTAAATCAGTCTGTTCTGATGATCATGCAATCAGCGATCAAATACTAAATGACAATAGAATCAACCAAACGGTAGACAAAAAAATTTGTATGTACATATCACGTGAACGAGCTGTGACACTTCGCAGCACTTTCATTATGCATAAAATTGAAGAAGCACATTTCAGTCTGTCTTCCGTACGAATGATTATCTTGTAGCTAAAATTACTATCACTATATCAAGCTCTGGAACTACAAAAAGGATTATCCTACCATCTATGAAAACAACTGAGAGATATTTACAAAGATTTTAAAAAGGCTTTGAGTTCAGTGTCACTCCAATACCGAAATAGTTATTTCAATTCATTTTATGTAAACCAAATACAATACAAGGGAGAAATAAGTTTTATCAAATGTCATGTCAAAACTCCGCATGGAGCCCATCTGGAACTATTGCCGGTACTAATACCGGATAAATGAGGACGGTTAATCATTGGGTTAGCGACCTCATCAAACCATTTAAACTTTTCATTTAAGACAATAATACGTCATATGATGAAAGCTAATTTCCTTCAAAAGTCACGAGTCTGATGCCACTTATGATAATGTTCGTACACTGCAGGAGACCGGGAGAGTTATCAAACTGGCTGCAGAAATGAAAAGATGCAACCTGAAGATACTTAGAATAAGTGTAACATATTGGATAAAGATTGGACAACAATGACTATCTTCAGGAGAGTTGCTTTTATACTCTAACTATAAGGAAGAAAATGCTGTACATACATAATGAGTTACAGCTGATGATAGTCAAATAAGTACAAAAAGCACTTATAAGATGAGAATCTTATGGAATGAGAATCATCAAAGTAATTTGATAACAAATATATCAACTTAAAGAAAGTATTTCATTTGTAGTTACCATTTCACAATTGAGAACTACAACAACCACCATCATCAAGAAGGTACAAGTATTTATCAATGGCTGTCTATGCAAGATACTCAACATCTATTGGCCGGATACCATCAGGAACAGCCTTCTGCGGGAGAGAACCAACCAGCTTCCAGAGGAAGAGGAAATTAGGAAAACACGATGGAAATGGATAGGACATACATTGAGGAAATCATCAAACTGCATTACGAGACAAGCGCTAACTTGGAATCCTAAAGGGAAGCGGAAAAGCGGAAGGCTAAAAAACACATGACGTCGAAAAATAGAATCAAATATGAAAAAGATGAATAAGAACTGGAAAGAGCTGGAAAAGATTGCCTAGGCCAGGGTTAGATGGAGAATGCTAGTGAGCAGCTTATGCTCTTTCACGAGGAGTAACAGGCGTAAGTATGTGAGTAATTTCACAGTTGGTGGTGTTTGATGAAATGATTGATCTTCTGTATGATTGATATATACATATATTCATTTGTTAATCATTGCATGTTAACCAATATTATGTAATCATTCATATTTATAAAAATCAATCATTCAATCATTTGAGAACAAACTATAAGATTGGGTCATTGAATTCAATGATTACATAACAATTTAATCGATAATCAATAAAAAATCAATCAAAACTAATGACTAGACAACACATATCATTGACATTCGGTCAATTAGAAATGACAATGAGAATATGTATATATATATAATTCATTGACATAGAAACAATATTATCACTTAATGAATGTTATGAATCAATAATCATAATAATAATAATAATAATAATAATAATAATAATAATAATAACTTCTACTGGTTACTAAGCTAACAAGTTAGTTAATGAGTTATCATTGAAATCTGACAAGTATTATGATTTCATTTCATTGGTTAATCTATTGATTACATAACATGATATTCTTATGTTGATCGATTTTTTCTTTGGTGGTGGTTGTTGTTGTTGTTGTGGTGGTGGTGGTGGTGGTGGTGGTGATGGTGATGGTAATCGTGTATGATAGACATATATAAATATTATTATGTTTCTAGTCGAAAAATATTCGTTAAGGTTTGATCTGTTTTTCTGATTGTTATTTTTTCTCTTTTTTTTTTCTTTCAACAATCAAAAAAAAAAAAGGAATATACATCATCTTTGATCTAATTTATCTAAAGAGAAATGAATTCCAACTGTTAAAGGTCACCTTGACAACAAGTCATTATGTCCTCTTGTGAATATCTCTCAGTGAATAATCATCATCATGATCATCATCATCATCATGATCATCATCATGATCATGACTATCCCCATCATAATGAACTGTGTACATCAGAGATACAATCCATTGAAATCATTGATAAACATAAAAATCATATAATAGAAGAAAAATTCATGAAACGAGATTATTGGAAAGGAAAAATTGATTTTTTAATAGCATGTTTAGGATTTTCAATAGGACTTGGTAATGTATGGAGATTTCCATATTTATGTTATAAAAATGGTGGAGGTAAGTTGATTTTATTTTACAAATTACTTGATTACTTACTTACTTACTCATGCTTGTTACTCTTAATGGAGCATAGGCTAGCACTGACTAGTATTCACAATTGATTGATCACTGGGTGACCAATGTCGTGCGTGTCTAGTCCTTATTATTAGTACAGATCGAATCCTCCAGGGAGCACCAGTTCTTTCAAAGATTACAGGTACACCTTGTTGACGAGTGTCAAGTAGCGCGAAACCCGTGTCCAGGGTTTCCTGTCGACCAACTCCAATCACCATCTAACCTTACAATAGTGCCCAGCGGTGTCGAGTCACCTAAACTGGTGGCCACATTGCAACATGATCGATAGCATTCGATCTGCACTAATAATAAGGACTAGACACGCATAACATTGGTCACCCAGTGATCAATCAATTGTGATTACACGTCAGTCTTACAGGAGGTCGGTCGCGGCCCGGATAGCTCAGTGGTAACGTCTCTGACTGTGAAGCTGGATGACAGGGGATCGAATCTGTCAGGGTGCACCAGTTCCCTCAAAGATTACAGGTACACCTTGCTGACGAGTGCCAAGTAGCACGAAACCTGGGTCCAGGGTTTCTTGTCGACCACCATCTAACCTAACTGACTAGTATTCTCCAACCTACCGATTATTCATAGTTGAAATCGGTTATATATTATACAAGGAAGTTGATACATGGAAGTATCAAATAGGTATGCGCCACACAAATCATTCGATTTGTGAGAGGGACGAGATACTTCCCGGGTGCTCAAAACGAAGCAGGTAGTCTTATTAGACGTCCACATACTGAGCCTTCGACCTAAATGTCTAATCTACAAGTCAGTGTAGCGACATAAGGAGATTGAGTTTTATGATAGACGGTGACAAACAGTAGGTTCATTCACCATTTGTTCATTCAGGATCCTGTAGACCATGTATACCATTAGTTTGGAATCAGGTTTTGTCAACTCCCGTATGTGGATCCTCTGTGTCCACCAACCCGGATATTCGCTTTTTGTCCTCTCACTTCCGTAAACAACAGTAATACTTCGAGAATGCGGTAAGTATGACTTCCCTGGCTGTGATTTTGCGCACTTGGACATGTGAGAGTATTAGGAGAGGGAGAGCTGACTATCTCCACTCTCGGCCGTACCAGGGCATGATCCTCTGGTCGTTTTCATGTGTTGAATGAAGTTACTGAAAATGACCACATATTCATAGTTTTAATATGAGTAGCAAACAATGCGATATATGAAAAATCCATTTTAGTGCTGATCAAATTTTATCGATCAAGTTACACTATGACCACTATCTCATGCACTATGCTGTGATGTAAAGTGGTGGTTAGCAGGAACATCAGTCCCATTAAGACAATATGTACACTTTGCTGACGAGTATCACATAAGTTAGGCGCAGGTTGTTTTTTTTCTTTCGTAGACTATTTCCAAAATTATTCAATGAAACTTCACACTGAAACTACATTTCATTTAAAGCGGTATGATTTTTCTAATCATTTGGTCCGTAGTGGATGTATAGTTGTAGTTTTAAAATCTATTGTGTTTGATATTAAGCCTTTCACGTTCTGAATATCCCATGATAGTTCATAAGCAACTGATTAGTTCAAGTGCTTTTATGAATTAATGTATTATCCATTTGTAGTGAGAGATTATTTGGAAGATACGCTTGAGTCAATGTTCAGTCAGCTGTAACGTAGGACCAGGCAGATATATGCATCGATCTAGGTTGACATACCGCATTAGCACAGCAACATGAACACCGGATTCATAGAAGTAGTTAATTCAGTGGTGGTAATATGTATAGAAGAAAGATTGTGTATAAGGAGATAGTACAGGAAGAAAGAATTAGTTCGTAGAAAGATATGAAGCGATTTTAATCTCTTAGTTTAAAGGAAGACAGAGAGTGTATACACCGATGTCATTGTGATTGATTCTGAGCCATGTCACCAAGAGTTTCCAACCATTGGTTGCGATAATCACGCGGATCCCAACCAGGTAGACTGCATCTATCAACATGGCTCAGACTAGGAGTTACTGACCTCAAACACTGATGCCACGTTTTGGTTTGACCGCCCCTAACTTTCTTCCAATTATCCCTAACACCAGTTAGCATTGCGCATCGTGGTAATCGGTGTTCAGGCATACGCAACATGTGGCCCAACCATCTCAGTCGATGAAGATTCATAACCTCATCAACTGATTTCCCATCATTCCCTAATACCCTGTGTCTAACCTCACTATTACCTACCCGGTGATCCCAGCAGATGCGAGCAATATTTCTAAGGCACCTGTGGTCAAATATTAGTAACTTACGAGTATCTTCTACTCTTAAAGGCCATTTTCCGCAGCCATATATTAGAACGGAACGAACTGTCGTTCAGTGTATTCGTCCCTTAATTGATAGACGGATATCTCGCCTTCGCCATAGATAACGTAAATTGGCGAAAGCCAAGCGAGCTTTTCGAGTCTGTGACGAGCTTTTTGAATCCGTGAATCCGTGTTACGGCACGTTGAGAATATAACCCTGAAAATAGTCGAAATCCTTGGATAAATATAAAAATAATCATCGTGAAATCATATGTCTATTCATATGCTGTGTAAATATGTATTCTAGTTGGCTATTTTTCTATCGGTATTCATATCCTAATATGCAATATACTATCATTGAAGTAACTAATTCTATGAATCCGGTGTTCATCTTGTTGTGCTAATGAGGTATGGTAACTTGGACCGATGAATATATGTGCCTGGTCTTACATTGTAGCTAACTGACAGACTGAGTATGCTTATTTGTGTGAAAACTAAGTGCTGTTGTTGATGAGTCTTAATCAAAAAAGTTGGTGTGAAAGCATTCCGATAGGATATATCCAGTATACAAGTGTGCATAAGTCTAATGTCATCCGCCAGGATGAACATAGATTAATCATAGATTGATATTATTGGGGTTGTGGAGATCATGAATCGACTGATGTTAGACCACTGGCCGTGACCAGTGGAGCTAATCCGTGTCGGATAGAGACAGTTATCTACTTCAGTACAATGGAAGATGGTCGCGCAATTTCGTCGATTGGTTGATGTTAGACACTAACACCATTGGATGCCGACCAGCTCAGTGGTTCAGTAGGTTAAGCGTTCGCGCGCAAGACTGAAGACCCTGGGTTCGAATTCCGCGAGCGGAACGAAACGGCCATCCAGTTCTTCAAGGTTTCCAACGGTGGTCTAACATCATTCGATTCATGATCTCAATCAAAAACATAGATTGAGAAACGATAGTTTGATTCTATGATCTACGGGAATATTTGTTGAATATTTATGAAACTATTTCTAATACCGCAGTAAAGGAGAACACCAGAGGAGACAATCTAGTGTATTTGAACATAAAATTACAGAATCTCTTAATAAATTCTGATAACCATACTTACTTATGTACGCCTGTTACTCCCAATAGAGTATGGGTCACCAACAAGCATTCTCCAACCCACTCTATGCTCAGCCATCCTTTCTAGGTCTATCCAATTGTTGTTCATTCCTCTCACATCTGTCTCTATTTCTCGGTATAATGTGTTCTTTTGTATTCCTCTTGTCCTTTGACCCTAAGGATTTTGAGTGAGGGCTTACTTTATGAATCAGTTGGGTGCTTCACAGTAAATACTTCATTTGCAAACTCTTAATCAATCATCTCAAATTTGACTGTTCTTTCGTTTTCACACCAATCATTCTGTGTTTTCGTTCTCTTCACTTTGATCTGCTTAACGTTTTATCAACAAACATTACACTTTCGATGGATGATACATACTACTTATATCTGTGGATATCAGTAGCATACACCATAATATCTGTAAATGTTTTGATTATTTTTATGATAATTAAATGAAATGTAATTAATTCTATTTCTCATTATGTTCTCTGATTTTTTGCTTAGGTGCTTTCCTTATCCCATATTTCATCAGTGTATTCTTAGCTGGTATACCATTATTTCTATTAGAAGTAACGATTGGACAAGTAACACGTCGTGGAGTTATTGCTGCTTGGAATATTTGTCCATTGTTTCAAGGTAAACTTGAATCATTTTATCAATGATCTTTATATGGACTGATGAAAGATGAAATGGAATAAACTGAGCTAAGGCTTTAATTATAAACTTGGATATGTTTGTAAAATTAATCTGACAAACTTGATTAAGGCAGTATTGTATGTTTGAATCATTCGATTGATGTTTAGGACTATCATTGATTAGTTTCTTATTGGAATATGTACATATTGTGCGTAGTGCCTCGATATAGCCTCGACTTAGTAGCTAAAATGGCAGAATCATCGATGAATACGGTGGATGTGATGCAGATGTGAAGGCACGGACCGGCAAAGCAAGAGCATCATATTTACAAATGAAGAACATCTGGAACGCAAAACAACTGTCTGTCAAACAACACCAAAGTTAGAATTTTCAATACAAATGTGAAGACAGTTCTACTGTATGGGGCGGAAACCTGGAAAACCACGAAAGCCATCATCCAGAAGATAAAAGTGTTTATTAACACAACTGTCTACGCAAAATAATTCGGATTCGTTGGTCGGACACTATTAGCAACAACCTACTGTGAGACAGAACAAATCAGATTCCATTAGAGGAAGAAATCAGGAAGAAACGCTGCAAGTGGATGGGACAGACATTGAGGAAAGCACCGAACTACGTCACAAGACAAGCCCTCACATGGAATCCTCAAGGCCTAATCAGGAGAAGAGGAAGACCAAAGAATACATTACGCTGTGAAATGGAGATAGACATGAGAAAAATGAACAAGAATTGGATGGAACTTGAATAGAAGGCCCAGGACAGAGTGGGTTGGAGAATGCTGGTCGGCGGCCTATGCTTCATTAGGAGTAACAGGTGTAAGTAAGTAAGTAAGCAAGTAGTAGCTAAAGTGGATAACGCGGTGGCGTTTGAAGCGAACTGTACTAAGTTTGAGCCGAAGAGTGGACATCAACTCTAAGAAGCACGTACATCGAGCTGATGAGTCCCAAATGCGCGTCCTTGATTTCCCTGCTATTAACTATCCATTTTTGTATAGAATGCCACTTTATGTGTTCACTAGTGAAATTGGACTTTGAAATAGATGGTTGCTCATAAATGATGGTCATATTCAGCATGAAACTAAACGAATCTCTGAGGAGTTTGAAGTTTGTGCTGATGATGTCGTTCAGAAGAACGATGAAAGCTCCACGACTAAACCATCCAGATCAGAGAACAAAACTTCATCAAAATGTTAACATATTCATAGTAACATCATTTCCAAATGAAATCTCCATTTGAATCACTCTATTTCTTTGTCTTTATTCAAAATCACTTGACGTCTACTACACACTAATAACACATTTTATACTACTTAATTCAAAATATAACTACTTATTGCATAATTACTCAGAACATCACATCTATCCACATGTCTCTCAATGTACACTCAGACACATACATAGGCGTAATATCATTGAATCATTCTCACCTACACAATAACACAATCATTATCAATATCAATACCATCAAAACTATGACCATAAATAACAACATGATAACGATTACAAGTGTTCAATGTTGAATTGCACCTAGAATTGTGTGCATATGGATCAACTAAGATTCAAGCAAGCATTTCCAATCTTTATTTTTGAATTGCTCAAATGAATCTGTAAAGTACCGATGGGACCAATTTATCTTACATACTAAAGAAGCATGTGATATTTTATTTGTTAGTCGCATTACCTGTATTTATCCACATTATTGAACTCCCCCGCAGTGTACATCCACGACCCCGTCTCGCAAGATTTCATCCCAAGATTTATTTATATATTTATTTAAAACATAGGTATTGGTACAAGGAGGCACAAAATACATATGCGCCACACGAATCTCGATTGATTTGTGTGAGGGCTGTGATACTGCTCGGGTGCCCGAACCGAAGCAGGTGGTTTTCTTAGGAGACCAAACCTCGAGCCTTCGACCTGAAGACCTGATCCACAAGGCATTGGAGCATCGTAAGGAGATGCAGTCTCATGGTAGCCGGTGACCAACGATTGGTTTATACGCTATATGTTCCCTCAGGCAGCCCATGTGTACCATTGGTCTGTGATCCGGTTAAAGCGTCGGACATTCGCTTTTCGTCCTCTCATTTTCGTAAACAACACCCGTGGTGCGAGAAGGCAGTGAGTAGGACTTCTCTGGCGGAGGCTATATACGCGTGGCCATGTGAGAGCATTTGGAGAGGGAGAGCGGACTCTCCCCACTCTCGGCCATATCAGGGCATTTGGGGGCTCATCCCAAGACCTATCAGTCTTAATCAGATGATACAAAATAAACGATAGAATAGAGTACTGTTGTAGTTCCTTTTGTTTCCACATCAGTTATTCTCTGTTTTCTTCGATCTTGTTCATTTTCAGCTACCAAACATTTTACTTTTGACTGATGATACATACTACTTATATCTGTTGATATTAGTAGCACATATTACATTGATATAGTGTAAATGAGACTTATCCGATATCTTCTTACAAACAATCAATGATGTCATTTATCATAGAAATCGAGTATATAAATTCAAGAATTCTTACATTTTTGTAGTACTCAAGTAATATTAAAGTAAAAGTTATGACAATACTTAATTCACGTAAAGCGTTCATTAATCACTATGTAAATTCAGAACAGTTGTCTACCCAAAATACTTCGGATTCGTTGACCGGAAACTATCAGAAACATTTCACTATGGTCGGGAGAAAAGGAGATTCCAGTGGAGAATGGAATCAAGGTGCAGCATTGGAAGTGGATAGACGAGACATTGAGGAAAGCACCCAAATGCTTCGCAAAGCAAGCTTTCATTTGGAATCCTCAAGACTAAATAAAGAAGAAATGGAATATCAAAGAACATATTAGTCCGAGAAATGAAGACCTGGTACGGCTGAGAGTGGAGTGAGTTCGCCCTCCCTCTCGAAATACTCTCACATGGCCACGCGTATATAGCCTATGCCCTCGCCTTCACGTTGCGAGGGTATTGTTTACGAAAATGGGAGGACGAAAAGCGAATGTCCAGTGCTTTAACCGGATTCCAAACCAATGCTACACATGGACTCCAGTGTCTTGAAGGAAAAAATGGCGTATGAACCAATCGTTGGTCACCGACTATCATGGGACTGCATCTCCTTACGATGCTCCACTGCCTTGTGGATCAGATCTTCAGGTCGAAGGCTCCGGGTGTGTCCCCCTAAGAAAACCACCTGGTTCGGTGGTCGGGAGCTTCTCTTGGTCTACTGTCGGTCCCAAGCCTGGATAAATTAGGAGGGTTGGGCATAAGATTAGCGACCCCATCCTATAGAAAACTAAATCGCTAAATCTCTAAATGTAATCAAACGTTGGAATTTGTTGTCTAGATGTAACAATGTTATGTCTATTCCTTAAACTATTCTTCATCAATCAAATCCTACCTGATGATATTTAACATAGTTATAAAAAAGTTTATTCATTTAAACAAAAACAAAAACAAAACGGGCAATCTCTGTTTGTCTGTTTTGGTTTCAAACATTTAATAAAGAATGTAGGCAAGAAATTGATTCGATTGTTGTCAAGGGGATGGGATAGGCTTGTGGAGATTTCAGTAATTTAATAGTTCAATTCAAAGGTAAATCACCATGGAAAACCTAGAAGCATTAAACAGCTGTTTCATCTTAGTATGCATTTCCTTAGCAATGCATATTCACAGTCTCACTCGTGGGATTCATACCCAGGACTTATTCAATATAACTTGAATTAATTCATCAATTCAACCATTCAATTACTTGGATTGATTTGAAAATATATATTCACCATAATTAAAAGATAGAAATATTGCATTAAAGCATTTCATCAGTTATAGTTGACATTCAATCTTATACATCAGTTTAAGTTGCCATATCGCGGTAGGGGGGATGGGATCATGGATACGCACTCCTGAGGAGTTTCATACTAGGATGAAACGGCCGTCTAGTGTTTCCAGGTTTTTCATTGGTGGTGTCAAGCTTCATCTGACTCATGATTTTAGCTATTGATATCACATTAGCACAGAGATACAGTTATCGATTCAAATCCGGTAGTGGTAGAGGTAGTAAACGTGTAACCACTAATCGGAAATATTAGGGTTTGAAGATGTTATTCAAGAAGTATAATTTAGTGAAATAAATTTGGAAAGAAAATAAAGAACATGAAGAAATCAGAAAATTAAAAATTGGGATACACCTGAGTCATTGTAAACGATTTTGAATCATGTCATTCAAGGTCTCTAACCATCGATTGCTGTCATCTCACGGATACCAACCACGTAGTGTACACCTACGAACATCACTCATTCCACTTCTCAGTGACTTCATGGATTTGTGCCATGTTTTGGTCTGTCCGCTCCTAGCTTTCTTCCAACCTATTCCTACATCATAAAATATCGCACATCCGGGCAGTCGGTGGTTGGGTATACGTAACACATGTCTCAGCCATCTGAACTGATGAAGTTGTATTACTTCATCAATTCATTTGCCATTTTTACCTAGTACCCGTTTCCTAACAACTTCATTACTTACTCGGTGGTCTCAGGATACAGGAGCAATGCTTTAAAGACACCTATGACCGGATACTAGTAACCTACGAATATTCTTTACTCTAACCGGCCATATCTCACTGACATATAACATCATTCATTTCACTCACTCTTACACTGACAAATAAGTAGTCAATCATGAATTTAATAAAATTTTCATTGTTTATTATTTTCCAGGAATTGGTTATGCATGTACATTGATTAACTTCTTCCTCAATTGTTACTATACAGTAATATTGGCATGGGCATTTCATTTTATTTTCTCATCATTTACAAGTCAATTACCATGGACAAGATGTGATCAATCATGGAATACACCAGCATGTCGAGTATTCAGTAATCAACCAATCAATTCAACTACCATTGAAAATACTACTTATATAAGTAATATAAGCTTAATAACAGTTGATGCAACTACAGAATATTGGGAGTAAGTAAACAGTAATCATTTGATTTCTTTCAAAATTGTTTGATTTCTTAATATAATAATAGATCATTGAGCTAGCCAGCAACTAACAGTGTTATTGTCTAACTATTAGGATTTGAATTTTAACGAGTTCACTTAGATTTGCGAACGAGAACGAGATTCGATGACCAACGACCAGTGAGTTAGCTAATGACGCATCCCAGCTCCAGCTATCTAGTGGGAGAAGTCTAGGCATGAAATGAAAAGCATATTCGGCGAGACTCTAATTTAGGGACGAGCCAATCAGAAGCGTTTGAGCCGTTTAAAGGTCACAGAGCCAAGTTTAACACCTGATGCTCACATATAATCGGTTTACAGCGGATTTTAGAGAAGGGGTGATTATTGAGAGGCTACAAGGGATAGGATTACTAAAAAGTTCTTGTACGTGAGACTGCGGTTATCAAATGACTGTAGTAAAGTGTGCAAATAACCGTGGTGAGATTATATTTCGTTGTCCTTCATGTTGGAGGAGAAAGTCTGCTAGAACGGGGACTTTCTCTGCTCGATTGCTACTGAAACTGAATCGGATTATAATAATAGTTGCAAATTGGGTAAAAAATACACCAGTAACACTGGATGCGGCGTTTGCAGTTCTTTATGAAACTTCAGCAGTCCAGTGGTATAAGTACTGCCGTGACATATGTGCAACTAAAATAACACTTGTACATCAACCATTCGGAGGAGTAGGATGTATCGTGCAGACAGATAAAACGGCAGTGAGAAAGCGAAAATACAACAGGGGACGCAGTATAAAGTAGGATTGTGTAAGTAGCATTTCCGTAAATATACTCGACAGGTACTTGGAATTTATGACTTTTTATACCGTATGCAATATGATTTCAAAACATCTGAAACTTTAGCAAACCTTGATAAGTTTTTAAATCACGTGAAATAAGTATATTCACTGTAATCCATTAGTATCTTCTAATATATTTCTACGTTATGCTAGGTGTCTTTTGATTGGCTATTATTCTCAAGGTCACTCAAAATTCGTTCAAAGGTCGTCCCTAAATTAGAGTCTCGCCGCATATTCTGCAACCATCAGAAATGAGTCATTCAACCAAAACAATTTAAAACGTATATATATATATATATATATATATATACAAATATATATAATCGATATTGTCATTTAAATTTTTAAACATTCATCAATTGATTACTATTCAAATATTTAAACATTTAATCAATAAGTTAATCGATAAAATTACAAAGTGTGAGTTTTTTTGGGGGGGGTAGGGGGCAGGGGGGGAGATTAATCGTCCCCAACATTAACATTAACTAATCCATAAAATTGTACTTTAACTGACTCATAATCTTACCCATTGAAATTATTACAATCTCCAAGACAACTCCTTCTGATAATAATAATAATAATCAAAGTAATCTTAATCAATTGTTCATAGATTTACATAGAAAATTCTTATTTGATTGATTATAGAATTCAACAGATGTTATTCGTTTATTCAACATATTGATAATCTGAACAACAACATTTGATTTGTGCTGATCGTCAGCTTATGCACCTCCATGAAGGGTAAAAGGAGTAAGTGAGTGAATGAGTGAGTGAGAAAGTAAGTAAGTGAGTGAGTGAGTGAGTGATTAAGCAAGTAAGTAAATCAGTAAGTAAGTAAGTAAGTGACTGAGTGAGTAAGTAAGTAAGTAAGTAAATAAGTAAGTAAGTCAGTGAGTAAGTAAGTAAGTAAGTAAGTAAATAAGTAAGTAAGTCAGTAAGTAAGTAAGTAAGCAAGTAAGTAAGTAAGTAAGTAAGTAAGCAAGTAAGTAAGTAAGTAAGGCAGTAAGTAAGGAAGGAAGTAAGTAAGTAAGTAAGTAAATAAGTAAGTAAGTCAGTGAGTAAGAAAGTAAGTAAGTAAGTAGATAAGTAAGTAAATAAGTAAGTAAGTAAGTAAGTAAGTAAGTAAGTAAGTAAGTAAGTCAGTAAGTAAGTAAGTAAGTAAGTAAGTAAGTCAGTAAGTAAGTAAGTAAGTAAGTAAATAAGTAAGTAAGTAAGTAAGTAAGTAAGTCAGTAAGTAAGTAAGTAAGTAAGTAAGTAAGTAAGTAAGTAAGTAAGTAAGTAAGTAAGTAAGTAAGTAAGTAAGTAAGTAAGTAAGTAAGTAAGTAAGTAAGTAAGTAAGTAAGTAAGTAAGTAAGTAAGTAAGTAAGTAAGTAAGTAAGTAAGTAAGTAAGTAAGTAAGTAAGTAAGTAAGTAAGTAAGTAAGTCAGTAAGTAAGTAAGTAAGTAAGTAAGTAAGTAAGTAAGGAAGGAATGAAGGAAGGAAGGAAGGAAGGAACTAAGTAAGTAAGTAAGTAAGTAAGTAAGTAAATCAGTAAGTAAGTAAGTAAGTAAATCAGTAAGTAAGTAAGTAAGTCAGTAAGTAAGTAAGTAAGTAAGTCAGTAAGTAAGTAAGTAAGTAAGGAAGGAAGGAAGTATGAAATCATTTCATGTAGTACTAGACTTGTAGACTACTCTGAAAATTTCATAAATCCACATATAGTTTAACATATGCTTTATTTTATAAAACAGATATCGTGTACTGCAAATATCAGATGGTATACATAATATTGGAACAGTTAAATGGGATTTAGCTTTATGTCTTCTTTTCACTTGGATTATTATTTATTTATGCATTTGGAATGGAATTAAAGCATCGGCAAAAGTAAGCATTTTATTGATTTTATTTTTATTGATTGATGAGTGAACTAGTATATGTATTTGGGGTGGGGGGGGAAGAGGAATAAGGTAACTTTTGTTATATTCACTTTTGAACATACCATGATCATACATGAATATGGGATGCTTTGTGTTGGAACACTTATCAAGCACACTTTTTTTTACCTGAATACCTTCTGTACAGTTTAGTCAACTAATAGTGATATCAATAGTTGAAATCATGAATCAATTGAAGCTAGACCACCATGGAAAACCTGGGAGCACTGGACGGCCGTTTCGTCCTAGTATGGGACTCGTGAGCAGTGCGCATCCACGGTCCCGCTCCTCGCGGGATTCGAACACAGGACCTATCAGTCTCGCGCCCTGGGTTCGAATCTCGCGGGGTGCGGGATCGTGGATGCGCACTGCTGAGGAGTCCCATACTAGGACGAAACGGCCGTCCAGTGCTTCCAGGTTTCCATGGTGGTCTAGCTTCAATTGATTCATGATTTCAACTATTGAAATTACCAATTCTCCACAAAACCCATTCTAGTAATAATCATCTGCTCACTAGTGACTGACTTCAAGAGATACTCCTAAAGTTCTAGTGAGAAGCCGTTACCAGTGGAGTTCAACCAGATCTGTTGTGAGATATCAGCTCACTGAAGACAATGGTGACGGTGGCGCAACTTCGTGGATTGGTTGAAGTTAGACATTAACACCGTTGGATGCCGGCTCAGTGGTCTAGTTGGTTAAGCGCCTGGCGCGAGAATGATAGGTCTTGGGTTCGAACCCCGCGGGGTGCGAGACCGTGGATGCGCACTGCTGAGGCGTCCCAAACTAGGACGAAACGGCCGTCCAGTGCTTCCAGGTTTTCCATGGTGGTCTAGCTTCAATTGATTCATGATTTCAACTATTGAAATTACCAATTCTCCACAAAACCCATTCTAGTAATAATCATCTGCTCACTAGTGACTGACTTCAAGAGATACTCCTAAAGTTCTAGTGAGAAGCCGTGACCAGTGGAGTTCAACCAGATCTGTTGTGAGATATCAGCTCACTGAAGACAATGGTGACGGTGGCGCAACTTCGTGGATTAGTTGAAGTTAGACATTAACACCGTTGGATGCCGGCTGGCTCAGTGGTCTAGTTGGTTAAGCGCCTGGCGTGAGAATGATAGGTCTTGGGTTCGAACCCCGCGGGGTGCGAGACCGTGGATGCGCACTGCTGAGGAGTCCCATACTAGGACGAAACGGCCGTCCAGTGCTTCCAGGCTTTCCATGGTGGTCTAGCTTCAATTGATTCATGATTTCAACTATTGAAATTACCAATTCTCCACAAAACCCATTCTAGTAATAGTGATATTTTCAAACATATTTTATGGAGTTGAATTCATGATCGAATTCCTTCATTTTTGACTTATTCTACATTATCAGCAACACTCATTTACTGTCACCATCTATCAGCATTCTCTGACTAACTCTTCCCTCAGCCATCCTTTCTAGTTCGATCTTCATATTTGTCTCCATTTCTGGGTCTAACATGTTCTTTGGTCTTCCTCTTCTTCTCGTTTGGCTTTGAGGATTCCAAGGGAAGGCTTGTCTTGTGACGCAGTTGGGTACTTACCTCAATGTGTGTCCTATGTCACTTGCAGCACTTCTTCCTGATTTCTTCCTCCAATGGAATCTGATTTGTTCTATCCCACAGTGAATTGTTTCTGATAGTGTCCGCTCAACGGATCCGAAGTAATAAACATTTGTATCTTCTGGATGATAGCTTTCGTAGTTGTCCAAGTTTCCTCTCCATACACTAGAATTGTCATGACAATTGTATTGAAAATTCTGACTTTGATGTTGATTGACAGTTGTCTTTAGTTCCAGATGTTCTTCGATTGTAGACATATTGCTTTCGCTTTTCTGAGCCGCGCCTTCACATATGCGTCAGACCAATGATGCTGCCCATATATGTGGAAATTTTTACATCTTCCAAATGTTCTCCGTCATTTGTGATTGGATTGGTGCGTGCTGTGTTGTACCAGAGATTCTTGCTTTTCCCTTTGTGTATGTTTAGATCTACTGCTTCCAAGGCTGCTGCTGCTAGACTGGCTGTTTTCTCCTGCATTTGTTGTTGCGTGTACAACAATAGATCCAGATCATCTGCAACATCTAGATCATCCAGCTATATACTAGCTGTCCCATCGATATCACTTTCTCGGCTAGTTTCATAATAGTTGATTTATATCTCGATGGTTAACTTCAAGAAAGAGATAAACCATTTTGTTTCTTATCTGTGTCTATCTAAAGTAATTATATCAATGAATTCAAGTGAAGATTAATGCTATCAATCGCTTCACGTTCAATGATATTTTTATTGATAAACTATGCTTTGTTCATCACAATTAATTGATCACTGGATGGCGACCAATGTTATGCGTGTCTAGTCGTCATTATTAGTGCAGATCAAATGCTATCGACCATGTTGCAATGTGGCCACCAGTCTAAGTGACTCGACACTGCGGGCACTATAGTGAGATTAGTTGGTGATTGGAGGTAGTCGACAGGGAAACACTAGACACGGGTTTCGTGCTGCTTTGCACTCATCAACAAGGTGTACCTGTAATCTTTGAGGGAACTGGTGCACCCTGACAGATTCGATCCCCTGTCATCCAGCTTCACAGTCAGAGACGTTACCACTGAGCTATCCGGGCCAAGATCGATCTCCTGTAGGACTGACATGTAATCACAATTGATTGATCACTGGGTGGTGACCAAACTTTGTTGGTACTATGATTAGAATTTGTTCATTACATAATCGCTTAATTCTAATCGTTTGGTCAAATTGCTATTTGATTTCAGACGGACTTTATTTATAGGAACTTGTTTAGGGTGTGTTTTCTGAGAGTTCATAAATCTCCATTATACTGATCATTCATTGTCTTATTCTACATCTTGAGAATTGCAGCGGTTTTCTTTTCAAATTTTAAGCACTACAAACGAGGTCTTACACTAATTCCTCATTGTCAAATAAATACAATGAGACTGCAAACTTAATAGTGTCGATACATGCATAACAGTGACAATACACACAGACGTTAACAGGAATCCCTGAAGATATAACACCGGCGATCCGAATCTAACGAAATCAAACAAATTCGTATTCTTCTTCTTCTTCTTCTTCTTCTTCTCAAATCTTACTTCTTTCACTCTTCAAATCAATCAAATTACTAACTTTTATTCATTTGTATAGATTATGTATGTAACTGCATTATTACCATATGGATTTATGATTATTCTATTAATACGAACTGCATTACTTGATGGAGCTTCAAATGGATTAATTCAATATTTAAAACCAGATTGGTCAAAATTAACTGATATGACAGTAAGTGATAATAAGTAGTATTTATTCTTCATCCTTTTTTTTTTCTTTCTAAACTATAATGACTGAATCCCGTTTATTATTAGGTTATAAGTCTAAGATGTGGGTTACTTATATCCATATAAGTAGTATATAACAATGGTCTAGTATAGAATGTATTTCAGTAGAAAATCGATAAGGAACGATCAGAAATGGGACAAAATTAGTATGAAAATGCATAAAAAGTGAAATTTGAGATAATAAACTGACATTTCTTAAAGGGAACACACAAACTTGAGACGATGGATTGATATTTTGCAAATTAACGATTTATTATATGGTTGTCAGATTTTATTCAGATGCCCTGTAATATAACAAAGTTTGTTATTCCGTTTAAACGCCATAAAGACTCCGGTTATATGTGTACCGTGAAAGTCGCTGGGTTTGCGAGTCGGCTGTGATATTGCCCGGGTGCCCAAACCGAAGCAGGTGGTTTTCTTAGAGGGCCACACTCCGAGCCTTCGATCTGAACGTCTGGTCCACAAGGCAGTGGAGCAACGTAAGGAGATGCGGTCCCATGATAGCCGGTGATCAATGATTGGTTCATACGGCATTTTTTTCCTTCAGGATACTAGAGCCAGCTCATGTGCACCATTGGTTTGGAATCAGGATTTTCCAACTCACCTAGGTGAACCTTCCATGTTCGCTTTTTGTCCTTTAAATTTGGTAAACAACAGTAATGCCACAAGAAGTCAGTGAATATGACTTCCCTTTTAGTGGCCATGTAAGAGTATTTTGAGAGGGATAGCTGACTCTCCCCACCTTCGGACTCACGAGGGCAACATAATCTTCAAATTGTATTACTTCACTAGCTCATATTTCAACAATCTAATCAGAACGTGAAATTAATTAACGTTGCAAATCACCCATCATTCATCATTTTTACTGTGAATTCGAATGTTTAATCAGCCAAATATATTATTCATAACTAATTTTTAACCTTTCCCTCTTCATGTATCTACATTGGGTTACCTATTTGATTGAGATCATGAACCCGATTGATGTTAGACCATAATTGAAAATCTGAAAGCACTGAATGAGCGTTTCATCCTAATATAGGACTCCTCAAAAGTGCGCATCTATGATCCCACACGAGGGATTCCAATCTAGACATTCTGTCCAGCGAGTGAGCGCTTCAAGTGATGAACGAATTCGTTTGGTCGAGTTGCAATCTAGGCCTTAGTTTAAGTAACTCGATATCGCATACACTCTGTTGAAATGTTGGTTGGTTGAAGGAAACCATAGACTTAATTTGGTACTTGACGACAACAATTGTCTGTAATCTCGAAGAATAAGTGTTCCCAGTGCGATTCATACCTGAGTCACCTTACTTTATAAGCTGAGACGTTTTCACTGAACTATTCCAGCAATGACTGACCTTCTTTAGACCTGAAATGCTTATAGATTATCATTGATTATATAGTTCAAATTAAATGAAACCCTTATAACCAATTTCTTACATTAGTGATATAATGTGTACTATTAACTGTCATTATCCTACTATCGTTACTTAACTGTATATGTGAAGTACCTTATGAAGTTGATAATATAATGATAATTAAAATTGTAATGGAAAAGATTCAAAGCTCAAATGGATGATTTTGATGAAGTTTTGTTCTTTCAACTGAATCATTTGATCGTGGAGTTTTCATCATTCTTCTATCTACTAATGGAAATAACTCTCACATCGACTGAATTCTCGGGCATTGATCTCCTACCAGGAGGTCCACTTATCGACTTAGAATACGCAAATGATATAATCCTGTTTGGTGAAGACGCTGATAAAATGCAGAGTCTTTTGGTAGCTCTAAGCATTAATACCAGAATGTTTGGGATGCGCTTCTCTCCCTCTAAATACAAGTCCTTGCCTCAGGACTGGTTTGTGTCAACACCTGAACTAAGGATAGGGAGTGAAGTAGTCGAACGCGTTGACAAATTCACTTATCTTGAAAGTCTGATCAGCCCTAATGAGTTGGTGTCTGACAAAATCTCAGCACGGATTCGAAAAGCTCGTTTGGCCTTTGCCAACTTACGTCATCTATGGCGTAGGCGAGATATCCGTCTATCAATTAAGGGATGAGTATACTGAGCAGCAATTCGTTCTGTTTTACTTTACGGCTGAGAAACGTAGCCACTAAGAGTAGAAGATATTCGTAAGTTACTAATATTTGACCACTGATGTCTTAGAAATATTGCTCGCATCTGCTGTGATCACCGGGTAAGTAATAGTGAGGTTAGAAACAGGGTATTAGAGAATGATGGTAAATCACTTGATGGGGTTGTGAATCTTCATCGACTGAGATGGTTGGGCCATGTGCTGCGTATGCCTGAACACCGATTACCACGACGCGCAATGCTAACCGGTGTTAGGGATAATTGGAAGAAAGTTAGAAGCGGTCAAACAAAAACGTGGCATCAGTACTTGAAGTCACTAACTTCTGGTTTGAGCCATGTTGGTAGATTCAAATTACTTAGTTGTGGTCCGCGTGACTATCGTAACCAATGTTTGGAGACTCTTGGTGACAATGACGTAGGTGTATACACTCTCTGTCTTCCTTTAAACTAAGAGAATAAAATCGCTTCATATCTTTCTTTCTACGAACTAATTCTTTCTTCCTGTACTATGTCCTTATATACAATCTGTTTTATGTATTATCATCACTGAATGAACTACTTCTATGAATCCGGTGTTCATCTTGTTGTGCTAATGCGGTATGTCAACTTAGACCGATGCATATATGTTCCTGTTCCTACATCGTAGTTGACTGACTGATTGACTGATTGATTGACTCATCATTCTTCTGAAGTTTATTCTGATGATCATAAAAGATAATTATCATAATGTTGATTAATTTGTTCTTTATTATTTTCTATATTACAATATTCATTTTAAAAGGTTTGGTCGGATGCAGGAACTCAAATATTTTTTAGTTATAGTCTTGGTTTAGGTGTATTAACTGCTTTTGGTAGTTATAATAAATTTCATCATAATTCTTTAAGGTAAGTATCATTTATCATATATTTATTCAATAAATTTAGAAACTTAATTTAAGTTTGTCACCTTTCATGAAGGAGCATCAACTATTCATCAGTATTCTCTATCCAACTCTGTCCTGGAGTAATTTTTTCCAGCTCTTTTCAGTTCTTATTCATCTTTTTCATATCCACTTCTATTTCCTAACGTGTAATGTGTTCATTGACCTTCCTGTTTTCCGTTTCCCTTCAAGATTTCAAGTTAGCGCAGTTTGATAACTTTATCAATGTATGTCCTATCCATTTCCATCGTCTTTTCCTAATTTCCTCTTCCGCTGGAAGCTGGTTTATTCTCTCCCACAGTAGTCTGTTGCTGATGATATCCGACCAATGGATGTTGAGTATCTTGTGTAGACAACTATTGATAAATACTTGTACCTTGTTGATGATGGTGATTGTTGTAGTTCTCCAAGGTTTCATCTCCGTACAGTAGAACTATCATGACGTTCGTATAGAAGATTGTGACTTTGATATTGGTTGATAGATAGTTGTTTTGAGTTTCATATGTTGTTCAATTATAGGAATACGGGCCTTGCTTTGCTATATCTTTCTCTAGCTAAAGGGTTAATATACTTATACCTTCTTGAATGAAGTACTTGTTGTATGGTTTCTCAGATTTTACTAAAAAACATTCTGTAATTTTCTATTCAAATACATTCTATTGTTATTGATGAATTGGTCTTGAGTTTGGTCAGGGGATCAGAAGTGATTGAGGATTGTCCTTACTTGTATTCTTGTTCACTACAACACTGCTAATTAGAATTGGATCCATTCAATATGTGATATGACACTGAAAGTTATAATTTGTTTATTTGTAATCAAATCTGACCGGTCACATATTGCTTTCGCAGGCACTCCTCAATTCGGCTGGACGATCGGACAAGGAGGCGGCCGAGTCTAGTCAGACAGACGGCCACACACCCGCTTCACGCTCAGGACCAGGCCGCACTGTTCATCATTGCGGTTGGTTGGCCAGGGTCAAGTTTGTTTGACGTCCTGGTGATACGTACTATAGGACTGATCCCTAGAAGTACGATTTAACTTATTACTTATTTGATAAATAGGTTACAGAAAATCAACAGACTATGTTCAATTCATATTGTAGTGAATGAGAACCCAAGTAGGGACAATCGGATCTAAGAACTATGTAGTATATACTTCACAATTGATTGATCACTGGATGGTGATCAATGTCATGCGTGTCTAGTCCTTATTATTAGTGCAGAACGAATGATATCGATCATGTTGCAATGTGGCCACCAGTCTAGGTGACTCGACACTGCAGGCACTATTGGGATTACATCTCAATCCTATAGGAGGTCGGTCGCGGCCCAAATAACTCAGTGGTAACGTCTCTGACTGTGAAGCTGGATAACACAAGATAGAATCCGCTAGGGAGCATCAGTTCTCTCAAAGATAACAGGTACACCTTGTTGATCAGTGCAAAATAGCACGAAACCCGTGTCCAATGTTTCCTGTCAACTACCTTCAACCACCATCTAGTAAATAATTCATTTGGATCATGTTAATCAGTTGTCTGAAAACTTCACTTTTCTTTCGTTTCTACAGCAATTGTTGTATGTTTTCATTCTTCTACTACCAGTTATTTCACTTTCAAGTGATGATACACATACTACTTATATCTGTGACTTTTTCCGATATAACATGTTGAATGAATACAATGATGCATTAAGAATAATGATTAGATTACAAGTTACAGTTTGGAATTCATTGATGTATTCATTGATGAACAAGTTGATTCAATATTTGAGTCATAGATATTTCTCATTTGTGCCAACTGTATAATTGTAAATGTTCCAGTATATATACATATATACATTCATATTTGATCATTTACGTATGACAACTTGGACTGATGTATATATATGTGCCTGTCGCTACGTTATAGCTGACTGATTCACCGACTGACTGACATTCTATTATAAAAAGAATAATGATGCCAAATACCAGAAAAAAAAAGAAACGAAGAAGAAGAAACTCACATGGAAACAATGAAATTATTGGCATGCTTTCGGTTATTTTTTTCTATCCTTTTAAAAAACAAAGAAAGATAAGAGAGAGAGAGTGAGAGAAAGAGATAAAATAGAATTTGATACTTACTTACTTACTTACGCCTGTTACTCCTCACGAAGGAGAATAGGCCACTCACCAGCACTCACCATCCAACCCTGTCCCAAGCAATCCTTTTCAGCTCTTTCCAGTTCTTATTCATCCCTTTCATATCTGCTTCTATTTCCCAACGTAATATGTTCTTTGACCTTCCACTTTTCCGCTTCCCTTCAACATTTCAAGTTAAGGCTTGTCTCGTGATGCAGTTTAATGATTTCCCCAATGTATGTCCTATCCATTTCCATCATCTCCTCAGTTGGAAGCTGGTTTGTTCTCTCCCACAGTAGTCTGTTGCTGATGATATCCGACCAATGGATGTTGAGTATGTTGCGTAGACAGCTATTGATAAATACTTGAACATTATTGATAGTGGTCGTTGTTGTAGTTCTCCACGTTTCATCTCCGTACAGTAGAACTGACTGCATTGACGTTCGTATTGAATATTGTGACATTGATATTGGTTGATAGACAGTTGTTTTGAGTTCCATATGTTCTTCGACTGAAGGAATGCTGTCCTTACTTTGCCAATCCTCTCCTTTACGTCTGCATCTGAACCTTCTTGTTTATCGGATTTGATACACTGAAAGATAATTGTACCATTAGAAGTGTTAGGAAACTCTAATGATTGGACAATCTTTGATGGACACTAAAGTGACCTTGAGAGTGTTCACTTAGTAACAAGAACTGAACGAGAGTTATCAATCAGTGTAAAGAATTGAAATTATGGTTTACAGTTGATGGTTAAGAGTTAAAAATTTGATTTACGGTTTCATCACAAACTGAAAATAAGCTATAATGCCAAACTTCTGTTTAGACAAATGGATGAGTGAATTGTGTGCCAAAGTTCGAGACCTGTTATCTTATACGTGATTGGTTTGTCCATAAATTAAAGTCTCGCCGAACATGGTTATATCTACAGATTAGTTTTTTTTTTAATATACCACGTATAACTTGAACAGTCGAACGCTAGAACTAACCAAGTTTCAAATGATATTTATTTATTTTAAGACATAGATATCGCTACAAGGAGGCACCAAATATATATGCGCAACACAAATCTCATTTGATATGTGTGAGGGCTATGATACTGCTCGGGTGCCCAAACCGAAGCAGATGGTTTTCTTAGGGGGCCACACCACGAGCCTTCGACCTGAACGTCTGATCCACAAGGCAGTGGAGCATCGTAAGGAGATGCAGTCCCATGGTAGCCGGTGACCAACGATTGGTTCATACGCCATTTGTTCCTTCAGGATACTGAAGCCAGCCCATATGTACCATTGGTTTGTGATCCGGTTAAAGCGCCGGACATTCGCTTTTCGTCCTTTCATTTTCGTAAACAACACCCGTGGTGCGAGAAGGTAGTGAGTAGGACTTCCCTGACAGAGGCTATATATGCGTGGCCATGTGAGAACACTTGGAGAGGGAGAGTGGACTCTCCTCACTCTCGGCCGTACCAGGGCATTTGGGGGAAAATGATAAGATCGAAGTAAAAGAAATGCTATTCCAAACCGTGTCAATTATATTTTGAATAATGACAACCTAAATGCAGATGTTTATCCGTATTGGGTACATAGAGTTTGCTATGTTTCACTGAAAGTATAAACTGATCAATATCTAAAATTGATAGATTTATGATTTCAATCAAAAAGAGATATTGATGAGACTATCATTTATGGATATGAAGGCACGGATCGGCAAAGCAAGAGCAGTATATCTACAATTGAAGACCATCTGGTACTCAAGACAACTGTCCATCAACATCAAAGTCAGAATTTTCAATACAATTGTCATGACAATTCTAGTGTATGGAGCGGAAACTTGGACAACTACGAAAGCTATCATCCGGAAGATACAAATTTTTATTACTTCGGATTTTTTGGTCAGACACTATTGGCAACAACCTAATGTGGGAGAGAACTAATCAGATTCCAGTGAAGAAAGAAATCAGGAAGAAGCGCTGGAAATGACGTAGGACATACATTGAGGGAAATACCAAACTGCGTCACAAGACAAGTCCTCATATGGAATCCTCAAGGTTAAATAAAGGAGAAGAGGAAGACCAAAGAACACATTACGCCGTGAAATGGAGATAGACATGAGAAAAATGAACAAGAATTGGATGTAACTAGAAAAGAAGGCCCAGGACAGAGTGTGTTGGAGAATGCTGGTTGGCGGCCTATGCTCCATTGGGGGTAACAGGCCTAAGTTTGTAAGTAAGTTTTATTTATAGACGAACCATTCAGATTTACGATAATAGGTCTTAGATTTTGGTATGAAATTCATTCACTTATTCGGCTAAATACAGTTTTGGCATTATACCTGATGTGAGTTTGTGATGAACACCATCAATCTAATTGCTTAACCTTAACCAGCAACTGTAAATCGTAATCTTTATTCTTAAAACTGATTTCTAACCGTGATGCAGACGTAAAGTCGAGGATTGGCAAAGCAAGGACAGCATTCTTTCAGTCGAAGAACATATGGAACTTAAAACAACTGTCTATCAACCAATATCAATGTCACAATCTTCAATACGAACGTCAATGCAGTCAGTTCTACTGTACGGAGATGAAACGTGGAGAACTACAACAACAACCACTATCAAGAATGTGCAAGTATTTATCAATAGCTGTCTACGCAAGATACTCAGTATACCTTGGCTGGTTATCATCAGCAAAAGTCTGCAAACCAGCTTTCAGTTGAAGAGGAAATTAGTAAAAGAAGATGGAAATGAATAGGACATACATTGAGGAAATCATCAAACTGTATCACGAGTCAATCTCTAACTTGAAATCTTGAAGGGAAACGGATAAGTGTAAGGTCAAAGAACACATTACATCGAGAAATAGAAACATACATGAATAGGATGAATAAGAACTGGAAAGTGCTGGAAAGAATTGCACAGTACAGAGTTGGATGGAGAATGCTGATAGATAGCCTATGCTACTCCACCAAGAGTAACAAGTGTAAGTATGTATGTAGAGAGAGATATGTCAGTAGATTGTCATATGTGATCATAAGCTATAGATGGCTTGCTACTGTTCGAATACCATTGTCTGTTAATTAAGTTAATAAAAAGGTTTAACCAAAGTTTAACTATAATCACAAGCATTCTAAGCAAAGTTGGATGAAAGTAGTTAGCAGTAGAATCCAGGATGCGAGTTTCGTCATTATATTCAACAAGGAGTAATTATCAGGATTCAATAGTTAAGTGGATGATGCGATGATGTTTGAAGGCAACGGTATTGGGTTCGATTCCCGAAATGAACATCAACTCTACGATTCAGGTACATCCATCTGAAGAGACCTAAATAGGACGAAAAATACGTCATGGATTCCAGTATTAGTCACTATCTATTTTTGCTTATAAAACAGAGTAATCGTTTTAAAATTTGTTTTAGTTGATTGAATAATCATTGATGATTGTTGTTTTCTTTTATGATCACAGTGTTATTCATTGACATGTTATGGAACAGTTACTTTATCATTTAAAACAACAGAACTTCTTTTTCAAAAGTTAATTACCAGTATAGGGATGTGGAGATTATTAAATGTTTGATTGAAATTATGAACCGACTAATGTTAGACCATCATTGAAAACCTGGAAGTAATGGATGGCCTTTTCGTTTCATTGTGAGAAGCTGTGACCAGCGGAGCTTATCCATGTCAGGTAGAGACAGATATCTACCTCAGTACAATGGAAGATGGTTGCACAATTTCTTGGATTAGTTAAAGTTAGACATTAACACCATTGGATGTTAACCGGCTTAGTGATTTAGAGTTTAAGCATTCACGAGCGAAACCGAAGGTCCTGGGTTCGAATCTCGCGAGTGAGATCGTGAATGTGCGTTTCTGAAGAGTCTTACAATAGGACGAAACGGTCGTCCAGTGCTTACAGGTTTTTCATGATCTCAATATTAATCACATTGATTCTTTCTTTCCCAACTTATATCGATTAAGATCATACAGGGATCATATTACCTAATTTTCTTTTTTTTGTTGTTGTTGCTTATCAATCAATTAGAGATTGTTGCCTATTTGCATTGATTAATACATTTACAAGTTTACTGTCTGGATGTGTTATATTTTGTACACTTGGTTATATGTCATATATATCAAAGATACCATTGAATCAAATTGCTGAATCAGGTCCTGGACTTGGTTTTATTGTATATCCAAAAGCCATTGGCACTATGCCAGGTAGTCCATTCTGGTCAATATGTTTCTTTATTATGATTATCCTATTGGGTATTGATAGTATGGTAAGTACTATGAACATGTTTTCTTTTTTTTTTATTATTTAACTTATTATCTTATCATTTACTTACTTACTTACGCCTGTTACCCCCAATGAAGCATAGGTCACCAACCAGCATTCTCCAACACACTCTGTCCCACACTGCCTTCTTTTCTAGTTCCATCCAATTCTTGTTCATTTTTCTTATGTCTATCTCCATTTCATGGCGTAATGTGTTCTTTGGTCTTCCTCTTCTCTTGATTAGGCCTTGAGGATTCCATGTGAGGGGTTGTCTTGTGACGTAGTTCGGTGCTTTCCTCAATGTGTGTCCTATCCACTTGCAGCGTTTCTTCCTGATTTCTTCCTCTAATGAAATCTGATGTGTTCTGTCTCACAGTAGGTTGTTACTAATGGTGTCCGGCCAACATATCCAAAGTATTTTGCGTAGACAACTGTTAATAAACACTTGTATCTTCTGGATGATGGATTTCGTAGTTTTCCAGGTTTCGGCTCCATACAGTAGAACTGTCTTGATATTTGTATTGAAAATTCTGACTTTGGTGTTGTTTGACATATTATTATTTTGAGTTCCAGATGTTCTTCATTTGTAAATATGCTGCTCTTACTTTGCCGATCCGTGCCTTCATATCTGCATCAGATCCACCGTGTTCATCGATGATGCTGTCCAAATATGTAAAGGTTTTTACATCTTCCAAAGCTTCTCCGTCAATTGTGATTGGATTGTTACATGCTGTGTTGTATCGAAGAATCTTGCTTTTCCCTTTGTGTATATTGAGATCTATTGCTGCTGAGGCTGCTGCTGCTACACTGGTTGTCTTCTCTTGCATTTGTTGTTGCGTATGCGATAGAAGAGCCAGATCATCTGCGAAATCTAGATCATCCAATTGCATCTTAGCTGTACACTGTATCTCGTGCTTCCCTTCAGATGTTGGCGTCTTCATGATCCGGTCGATCACTAGCAGAAAGAGAAACGGTGAGAGTAAGCAACCTTGCCTGACACCAGTCTTTGCTTCGAACGACTTTGTCAACTGTCCTCCATGCACGATTTTGCAGTTTAATCGATCATTGGAATTCCATATGATATTGACTATCTTCTGAGGCACGCCGTAGTGTCGAAGAAGCTTCCATTATTTTATAAGCTATAAATATGGTGTTAAGTTCGAGTTGGTGAAAAAGATTTATAGTCCAGGTAGATGATTTTCATGAAGTTTTCTTCTCTAAGCTGAATAGTTTGGTTGTGGAGCTTTCATTGTTCTTCTCAACGACATGATCAGCATAAGCTTCAAATAGAAGTGAAGTATTCGAATTTCTATCCAGGATAAGCTATGAGCAATATGTGGAGTAATTCGATCACTTCACTTCTATTTGAAGTTTGTGTTGATCATGTCGTTGTGAAGAACAATGAAAGCTTCATGACCAAATCATCCAGCTTAGAGAATAAAACATCATCAAAAGTGGGAAGTTCATTAATGAAAGTGTAGTTGATGATTACTTACTTAATTACTTACGCCCATTACTCCCAATGGAATATTGGCGGCCAACTAGCTTTCTTTAACCCGCTCTGTCCTGGTCAGTCGCTCAAGAGGGGCTCCAAGTGGAGTTTGTAATTGATGAAGAATATAATATTTTCTATCAGGATAATCTCTTCATTTGTATATCAATAGATTTGCTTAATACATCTACTCATCTGGAATGTAGATATTAATATAATCTTCTATGACTACACGACCGTTTCGTCCTCATCCACAATTCCGCTCGTGTGATTCGAACCGAAGACCTTTAAGTCTCGAGTGCGAACACTTAACTTCTAGACCACTGAACTGGCTGGCATTCAATGGTGTTAATGTCTAACTTTAACCAATCTACAGAATTTCACTACCATCTTCCATTGTACCAAGGTTATTTTATTTATTTATTTTAACACATAGGTATCGGTACAAGAAGGTACCAAACACATATGCGCTACACAAATCTCATTTGATAAGTGTGAGGGCTGTGATACTGCACGGGTGCCCAAACCGAAGCAGATGGTTTACTTAGGGGGCCACACCCCGAGCCTTCGACCTGAACGCCTGATCCACAAGGCAGTGGAGCATCGTCAGGAGATGCAGTCCCATGTTAGGCGGTGACCATTTGTTCCTTTAGGATACTGGAGCCCATGTGCACCATTGGTTTGGAATCCGGTTAAAGCGCCGGACATTCGCTCTTCGTCCTCTCATTTTCGTAAACAACACCCGTGGTGCGAGAAGGTAGTGAGTAGGACTTCCCTGGCAGAGGTTATATACGCGTAGCCATGTGAGAGCATTTGGAGAGGGAGAGCGGACTCTCCCCACTCTAGGTCGTACCAGGGCATTTGGAGGCGTACTAAGGTAGATACCTATCTCTAACTGACATAGGATTATTCAATATACATTAACTGCTTAATGATTATTCTTTATGTCATTTGTAATTTAGACTCTAATATCTATTATTTTGTTTATAAACAGTTTGCTGGAGTTGAAGGTTTTATTTCAGCTGCCGGAGATTATTTTCCTCATGCTTTGGAGAATAAATGGATACGTTGTATATTTGTTGGTTGTGTATGTATTGCATCATATTTAATTGGTCTATCCATGGTTACTAATGTAAGTGAATTCACTTTTTCTTTCTTGATCTTAACTTGAATGTTAAGTGAACTTTCTATTTACAATGTGAAACTTGAGTTAGAACTGTGAATTCGAATTTAACGCAGTCGACTATAAAAGTCGACGACATTTATGACTCCGTCTAAGCTCAGAAAAAGCTGAAGATATTCTATCCAATCACTTTTAGGAAGAATATTCTAGAATTCCTACATGTAGCTTGCTGATTAGACATGGCTAATAACCCCCTGTATGCAGAATGGAGGACTGTAATAATGATTTTGTTCTTACTAAACAAAACTATAAATACCTGACAATTTTGTATTATAATTGACATTATTTTGGGATAATATTCCTTTTCATTAGTCTTCTGTCTTCTCTTTGAGACTTGGAAGGGGTGTTCAGTTATACGCGGTATATCAAGTAATCAACCTTCTAGATATAACAGTTTTGAAATCCCCTTTCGCTAACATTTTCATCGGTAAAGTCATTTTCATGTGCAATTACTTATTTCCATGAGCATTCACTGTAACCTTAGAAATGTAACTTCTTTGCGAATACTAAAAAATATCTGATAACCAATTCATGTTTTCTGTTAATTGAATAAGAACCAGTGACTAGGGGAGTTTAATCAGGTCTGTTGTGAGATAGTCACTCACTGAAGACAATGGTGGATGTATCATTCAATTTCGTAGAGTGATTGAAATTAGACATTAACACTGTTGGATGCCGAAGGCTTATTGGCTTATAGGTTAAGCGTTTGCACATTAGCGGGATCGTGAATGCGCATTGCAGAGGAGTGTCATACTAAGACGAAACGGTTGTCCAGTGCTTCGATGTGTTCCATGGTGGTCTAACTTTAGATGACTCATGAATTCAACTATTAAATGAGTATAATAATAACAAAACCTCTTTCTAATAATTAAACAATAGACATTATTCGTAAAATATGTACGGATTGTTAAGGTTTATTTTAGAACGCTTACTAACTTAAACTAAGTTGAATTTTGAATACTCTTGGAGAATGCTACTATGAAAGCTCCGTCTTCGCCAAAGATGTGTTGGAGATGCTCGATCTCCAGAAATCACTTGATAAACATCTTATCTTTTTCATTTTATTTTGAACATTTGAACTCCTCATTTTCGCGCTAAAAGTGTCCACTTCAACCTTCAGTTTTGTGTTTCCTACTTGAAAGGATCTTAAATGTCATCGGTTTGTTTCATCTTTTAGTACTCTATGTTTTTAGCGTTTTCCGAGGATATTTTCGTGTTGTACATATACACATGAGTTGTGTGCTTATCATTCGTTCTTCTAAGCTGCTTGTGTAATTTATATATTTCCCCAGATGAATCTGATCTTCCTGCTCCAGTTAGTAAGGCCGAAGCACAGTCGGATAGCTTAGTTTTTCCTGTTGTAGTATTGCTGACATTACTTCCGTTTACGGGCTTTACTTACTTACTTACTTACGCCTGTTACTCCTCGTGAAGGAGCATAGGCCGCCAACCAGAATTCTCCATCCAACCCTGTCCTGGGCAATCCTTTCAAGCTCTTTCCAGTTCTTATTCATCTTTTTCATATCTGCTTCTATTTCCCGACGTAATGTGTTCTTTGGCCTTCCTCTTTTCCGCTTCCCTTCAGGATTCCAAGTTAGCGCTTGTCTCGTAATGCAGTTTGATAATTTCCTCAATGTATGTTCTATCCATTTCCATCGTCTTTTCCTAATTTCCTCTTCAGTTGAAAGCTGGTTGGTTCGCTCCCACAAAAGTCTGTTACTGATGGTATCCGGCCAATGGATGTTGAGTATCATGCGTAGACAGCTATTAATAAATACCTGTACCTTCTTGATGGTGGTTGTTGTAGTTCTCCAAGTTTCAGCTCCGTACAGTAGAACTGCCTTGACGTTGGTATTGAAGATTCTGACTTTGATATTGGCTTTAGGCGATAACGTAATCTCTTCAAAAGTAGCAAGAAGAAAGGAGTTTGATGTGTCTTTACTTCACGTACCTTGTCATATATTTCATTAGTATACAATAATTCTTCTCTTCATTTATACATTTCTCTTTAGGGTGGAATGTATGTATTTCAATTACTGGACTATTATAGTGGAAGTCGTATCATATTGATTGTGGGATTGTTAGAATCCTTAGTGATTGGATACATTTATGGTAAGTTTAATTAAAGTTTATTCAAAGAAGTTTATAATAGTTCATCGAATGTTTTACAATTAGAGGCTATAAAAGTGAATAGATATGGCTTTCTGAATTGAATCTAACAACTTTACATTCTGTTATTTATTCAAGGTTTCTTACTTTAGATACTTCATTCAACAATACTGATATAACTTATGACCGCCAATTAGAGTGATAAGTCTTGGGACTTGAACGCTTATTTCGTTTCCTAAGCTATTCTTGAGACGCCCCCCACCCGCAGGCTAGAACTATACAGCAACTTGAACACAAGAGAGAAAGCGCAAAGTATGCGATTCATTTTTCTACCAATCCGCCAATCCGCTAAAAGACATATTATGCTACTGGCCATTAGTAGCACTTCACGTTGGTATTCTAGAAAGCTCCATCATGCTCTGATTGGCGAGGACTCTTCCGCTGCTTCAGGGCCTCCTAAGGCTCCGTTACAGTTCTCGGAAAGCCGATTCAACCTAGAGAGTAGTGATTTGTCAATCGGATCAATAACGCGTAAAACCCGTATGAGCAGCCTAGAGTCCTGATTGGTCTTGCTTCTGTGTCTAGCCGAATCAGTTAAGTCCAGAACATCAATCCGAGCCTCTGCGATATGAATCATTATATTTCATACATACTTTGTTTATATACCAATCCAACAGACCACGTTGTACCAATAAAATAGGAAACAACATTGGTACAAGATATCGACGAAAAAGGGCTGTGAATGTGAGAAGTAGTGGTTGATAGACAGGTCATAACTCAAGAATGGTAAATCGTATATTAACAGTTCATAGGTCAACATAAAGCTCATAATAAGAGGGACATGAATATGAATAGTTTGGTTAATTAACCATTATACGACAAAATTATACGTATAGTACTGGTCCATAAATGGATCCTAAAACTTACCACTCATCATTCTTATCAGGGCATAAGAAATACAGAGTGTGCACTGCTGAGGAATCCCATACTAGGACGAAACGGCCGTTCAGTTCTTCCAGGTTTTTCATGATGGTCTAGCTTTTATCGGCTTATGAACTGTACGACAATAGAATATTATGAGTTGGATTTTGTGTAGTTCGGTAGATATGGATCTCTAAGAACCATTAACTGTAACAAAGCAATACTTTGAGGGTTTCTGCTTGTAAACCTGATAATGTTTCTATAAACCTATTTGTTCTATTGTTTTTTCTAACCACAGGTTACAAACGTATTTCAAATGATATGAAAATGATGTATGGTTTCTCATTAAAATGGATTGTATGCTTATTCTGGTGTATAGTAACACCAATATTTACTTTTGTAAGTGTCATTCAAAATTTATATTTGGTAGATAATAACAGTTTAAGCTGTCAATAAACATTAACATAACTTACTTACATACTTACGCTTGTTACCCCTCGTGAAGGAGAATAGGCTGCTCATCAGCAGTCTCCATACAACCCTGTCCCAACCAATCCTTTCCAGCTCTTTACAGTTCTTATTCATCCCTTTCATATCCACTGCTATTTCCCGACGTAATGTGTTCTTTGGCCTTCCTCTTTTCCGTTTCCCTTCATGATTCCAAGTTGGCGCTTGTCTCGTGATGCAGTTTAATGATTTCCTCAATGTATGTCCTATCCATTTCCATCGTCTTTTCATAATTTCCTCTTCAGCTGGAAGCTGGTTTTTTCTTTCGCCCAGTAGGCTGTTGCTGGTTGTATCCGACCAACGGATGTTGAGTATGTTGCGTAGACAGCTATTGATAATTACTTGTACCTTCTTGATGATGGTTGTTGTTGTAGTTCTCCACGTTTGATCTCCGTACAGTAAAAGTAACTGTATTGACGTTCGTATTGAAGATTGTGACTTTGATATTGGTTGGTAGTTGTTTTGAGTTCCGTGTGTTCTTTAAGTGAAGAAATGCTGTCCTTACTTTGCCAATCCTCGCTTTTACGTCAGCATCTGAACCTCCTTGTTCATGGAAGATGCTTTTTAGATTTTCTGGCGTTTCGTGACTCAGTATAAGCCACTTCTTCAAAGAATAAATACCTAAATTAAATTAATTCAAGTTCTACTCATTGGGATATTACTTTTTTATTTATAACAATCTAACTAATGCTCAATCAATAAGCGAATATACTGACCAGCAGTTTGTTCTGTTCTATTTTACGGCCATGAAACGTGGCCGTTAAAGGTTGAAGATACTCATAAGCTGCTAGTATTTGACCACAGATACCTTAGAAATATTGCTGGTATCTGCTGAGATCACCTTTTAAGTAATAGTGAAGTTAGACACAGGGTATTAGGGAATGATGATGGTCAATTAGTTGATGAAGTTGTAAATCTTCATCAACTTAGATGTTTGGGCCACATGTTGCGTATGCCTGAACACAGGTTACCACGACACTCAATGTTAACCGGTGTTAGGGATAATTGGAAGAAATTTAGGAGCAGCCAAATAAAAACGTGACATCAGTGCTTGAAGTCACTAAATTCTTGTTTGAACCATATTGGTAGATGCAGACTACCTGGTTGGGGTCCATGTGACTATCGTAACCAATGGTTGAAGACTCTTGGTGACATGGCTCAGAATCGATCACAATAGCGTCGGTGTGCTACATTATAGTTGACTGATTGATCCAATGTTTTTATTTGTAAGTAAATAAATATATTATTCTATTTTCTATTCTGTAAACTTCTAGACACTTTTCATTATCAGTGTTATTGTTTATGAAGAATTAACATATAAACGAGCATCTATTCATGAACTATATCGATTTCCAGGATGGGCTGTAAAACTTGGTTGGTTTATAGCTAGTTCTAGTGTATTATTAATACCAATTATAATGATGATTAAAATCTTTCAAACATCAGGAACATTTCTACAGGTAATATGTTAATCATTTCCCATTCGTTTGAATAATCTTAAGTTATTCCTTTAAAATCTATTCGAAGGTGTTTTATAGAGATTTTAGTAATGTTATCGTTGAATTCATAAGTTGACCTACCATGAAATATCTGGAAGCATTAGACTAATGGGTCTTGGGTTCGAATCTCGTGGAAGAGCTGGATCGTGAATGAGCACTCATAAGGAGTCCTATAATAAGACAAAATAGTCTTCCAGTGTTTTCTAGGTTTTCATGGTGATCTATCTTCAATTGACTCATGAATTCAACTTTAATATTATGTAATATCTCTATCTTGTATACAGTTCTAAGTGAATAACTACTTTTTATGAAAGACAATTAACCGTAGTGTATCTATAATAGTTGTTTATTAAATCGCTATCACGAATTCCTACAAGAAGAAGATTTTTAAAACTGTAATTTATTTCAATGATTAAGATTATGAATCAATTGAAGCTAGACCACCACCATGGAAAACCTGGAAGTATTGGACGGTGGTTTCATTCTACTGTAGGACTCTTCCTTAGCAGTGTACATCCAAGAACTCGCTCCCTGAGAGATTTGAATACAGGACCTACTGGTTTCGCGTGCGAGCACTTCAACACTAGAGCACTGAGCCGGCCAGCATCCAACAGTGTTCATGTCTAACTTCAACTAATCCATGAAATTGAGCAACACATCCACCATAGTCATCAGTGAGTTACTATCTCACAACAGATCTGGTTGAACTTCACTAGTCATTACTTCTCATTAGAACTCCAGGATATACCTCTTGAAGTAATGCTGAGCAGTCCCACAATAGGACGAAACAGACGTCCAGTGCTTCCAGGTTTTCCACGGTGGTCTAGGTTCAACTGTATTATTTTATTTATTATTTATTTTAACACATAAGTATAGGTACAGGGAGGCACCAAATATATATGCGACACACAAATCTCATTTGATTTGTGTGAGGGCTGTGATACTGACCGGGTGCCCAAACCGAAGCAGGTGGTTTTCTTAGGGGGCCGCACCCTGAGCCTTCGACCTGGACGTCTGACCCACAAGACAGTGGAGCATCGTAAGAAGATGCAGTCCCATGGTAGCCAGTGACCAACGATTGGTTCATACGCCATTTGTTCCTTCAGGATACTGGAGCCCATGTGCACCAGTGATTTGATTTGGGGTCCGGTTAAAGCGCCGGACATTCGCTTTTCGTCCTCTCATTTTTGTTAACAACACCCCCGCCACGAGAATGCAGTGAGTAGGACTTCCCTGGCAGAGGCTATATACGCATGGCCATGTGAGAGCATTTCGAGAGGGTGAGCGGACTCCCCACTCTCGGCCGTACCAGGGCATTTGGAGGCAGGTTCAACTGACTCATGATCTTAATCATTGAAATTACTACAATCTCCATAAAACCCTTTCTGATGTAGTTTATCCATTACATTCCTCTTATTATAAGCTTTGTTTTGACCTATAGGTTATTATTATACGATTTACTATTATTAAGTTGTACTCAGTTCTCACAATCACAGCCACTTTTGTTCCTATTTTATAGTATGATGTGGTCTATTTGACTAGTGTATAAACCAAGAATGTTTGAAATAAATGATTCACGTAGTGGAATCTAGTATTGGTATTGTGAACTCAACTGGCAGGGTTAGGCAGGAAGAAGGACCAATAAAGACTCTAAACAAATGACCAACAAGTACACTAGGCTACTCATAACGGTCGAATGTTACAGGAGTAAGATTGTATAAATCACATTTCAATTAGTGAATAAATCACATGATAGGATAACTAGGATAAAAATCATAACCGGCCTATGCTCCATTAGGGATCACAGGCGTGAGTAAGTAATCCACAACATTTTCTATGCAAGTTGATAAATTGTTCTACATAGAGGATTTATAATGGTAATCAAATAGAAATTAAAATTAATGAATCTTCTTATCTGTTCTTTTGACTGATCATATGAACTGATTGATATTAGATGATCATTGAACAGCCGTTTTTATCCTCCTATAGGACTGTTCATCAGTGCATATCCATAACTTCACTTACAGGATTCAAACCCAAAGCTTAACCTCTAAACTATCGAACATGCTGATATTCTACACTGTTCATATCTAACCCTAACTAATCCACGGAATAGCACAATGCTATCCCATTCGCTGGATTATGAATATGCACAATAGGACAAAACGATTGATCACTACTACTAGATTTTCAATATTACTCTAATATCTATCAGTTCATATGATCTCAATGAAAAACTTCATAATCTCTATAATTCTATCATGATCATTCTTATCTATTAATGATATATGAATTCGTCAAAAGTCTGTTTGACTTTCATGATATCGATCGATTGAATTGTTTTTGTTTTGTTTTTTTTTTTGTTTTTTTTTCCATTTTGATCTTTGTATCCAAGAGAATAAAAACTTTATGTATTCCAATTATTGATAATCATAATAATCATAATAATGATACAGAGATTCCAAGTGAGTAGTTACCAATCGCATTATTGATTTTCTATCATTCATTGAAATAATATTTATCAGTGAAAACTTGTAAGATAAAACAATTCCTTGTTGAATATAATCACATCATTATACACATCCTAGATTCTACTAGTAACCGCTATCATTCATGTTTGCTTAGAATGTTTGTAAAATTAAAACAATATCAAGACAATATCCATACACTGTTTGTATATATATCATTTAAGAGATTGATCAATTGTAATGGTACATTATCAATGTGAAGATTCATGTAAAACAATAATGTTGTAGGGCCAGTAAAATTCCACTGAGCCCTAGCCAAATCATCCGGTAGTTGGGTCATTGAATATCAAACAAATCATCGATCCTCGTCGAGGTCAAGGACAGCCAATGCGCATCAGTTAATCGTACGTCATGGACTGGCCCATGCGACAGTGGTCTTACCTTCACTTGTATCTACTTTAACTAATATATTTGTGTAATAACGTCCTTTGTGTTGTACAGTCTTCAAAGCATCTATAGTACCTTGATACGTCAATGAGGTAATCTATGTAAGGTGCAGACTGCGACGTGTGACTTCGACGTTAGCTAGTTTGTCACACCACTCACGTCTAACTCGAGTAAGCCTCCAATCATTTCGACATAGATCGTCCACGCTGGTGAACTACAATGTGATAGGGTTTCCAGAGAACAATAATTGATTTGAGTAACAGATTAAAAATTCACTGTAAAGTGTAAGAACATTCAGCTGACAAGTCCCAATCCTATTCATTATTCATCTCTTCTCATATTATGTAATAGAGTTAGGAGAAAAGTTTTGTTTATTTGCCTTTTATATTCTTTGCACTGAATCAAATGAACTGATGATGATCATGATTAAGATCATGAGTCAGTTGAAACTAGACCATCACTATAGAAAATCTGGAAGTACTAAACGGCTATTTTGTCGTATGCCCCCAAATGCCCTGGTACGGCCGAGAGTGGGGAGAGTCCGCTCTCCCTCTCCAAATGCTCTCACATGGCCATGCGTATATAGCCTTTGCCAGGGAAGTCCTACTCACTGCCTTCTCGTGGAATTACTGTTGTTTACGAAAATGAGAGGACGAAAAGCGAATGTCTGGCGCTTTAACCGGACCCCAAATCAAATCAATGGTGCACATGGGCTGGCTCCAGTATCCTGAAGGAACAAATGGTGAACCACTCGTTGGTCACCGGCTACCATGGGACTGCATCTCCTCACGATGTTCCACTGCCTTGTGGGTCAGACGTTCAGGTCAAAGGCTCGGGGTGTGGCCCCCTAAGAAAACCACCTGCTTCGGTTTGGGCACCCGGTCAGTATCACAGCCCTCACACAAATCAATTGAGATTTGTGTGGCGCATATATATTTGGTGCCTCCCTGTACCTATACTTATGTGTTAAAAATAATAATCATCATCATCAAAACGTGATATGCAACATCATCAAATCAAATTGACTTATCACTGTTATACTATTTAAAATACTGTTTACTTTCTTCTTATTTTATATTACAGAATTCAATATAATCATTTCAACTGAAACTTTATACAATTCAAATGAAAAGACAATGTAATTTATCATCTTTATTATATTTATCTATATACTACTTTTGTAAATATGATTGATATTAGTATTCAGTAGTATTGTGTTTCTTAAGTAAAGAAAATTCTTTAAAGACATTTTATTCTATTGATTAAAACAATATTCAATCATTCATTTAAAGTATTGAATTCAATGACTTTTATCTTCTTTCGTTTATTCAATGTTAAAATGAAAATTAATATAAGTAATAAGTTTTGATTGACTTGAAAGTGTTATAAATGTTTTTGATTAAGATCATGAATGAATTGATATTAGATCATTATTGAAAACCTAAAAACACTAAATAGATGTTTCAACTTATTGTAGGACTTTTCAATGTCAGTGTTCATCTACGATCCCGCTCGCGTCATTCGAACCCAGTGCCTTCAGTTTTGCATGCGAACGCTTAACCTACTTAATCACTGAGGAGGCGTTCAATGTCCGTTCAGTGGTTCTAGGTTTTCAATTGGTGGTCTAACATCAATCGGTTCATGATTTCAATCAAAAACTTGACAATATCCACAACATCTGAATTGTTACGAATGTTGTTCTCATGAATAGGAAATGAATTTTATTTATTTATTTAAACACATAGGTATCGGTACAACGAGGCACCAAACATATATGTGCCACACAGATCTCATTTGATATGTGTGAGCGCTGTAATACTGCCCGGATGCCCAAACCGAAGCAGGTGGTTATCTTAGGGAGCCACACCCTGTTAGGTTTTGAAAGAGAGAGAGCTATCACGGGTTCACGTAGTTTGAGAACGAGATCGAGGATTCGGTGACCAAAGTCCAGTAAGCTATCTATTGACGCGTCCCAGCCCCGCTATCTAGAGTGAGAAGACCAAGCTTAGAATGAAAGTATATTCTGTAACAACCAGAAAACCAGCAAACTTTTTACAAAGACAATTTCAAACGTATATATACAATTATATATACATCGATATTGTCATGGAGCTTTGAAACATTTAATCGATAGTTCGTCGATTGACTGCCATTGAAATAATTAAACATTTAATCGATAATTTCGTCAATCAACTATGTGCGTGGGCGGTAAGAAATGCCCACGTATACATGTGCATACAAGCTCCACAAGATAAATTACAAACTATGAGTTTTCGGGGATCTACCGTCCTCAACACACCCGGAGACTTCGACCTGAATGTCTGACCCACAAGGCAGTGGGGCATCGTAAGGAGATGCAGTCCCATGGTAGCCGGTGACCAATGATTGATTCATACGCCATTTGTTCCCTTAGGCAGGATACTGGAGCCTATATGGAGCATTGGTTTGGAATCAGGGTTTTCCAATTTCCCTGAGTGAACCCTCCGTATCTACCGGCCCGTTTAAAGAACCGGACATTCTCTTCTCATCCTCTCGACTTCGTAAACAACAGTAATGCCGTGATAATTAAGTGAATATGACTTTCCTGTTAGTGGCTGTATACGCGTGGCCATGTGAGAGCATGTCAAGAGGGTGAGCGGTTTCTTCCCACTCTCAGCCTTATCAGAGCATTTGGGGACATAGGAAATGAAACTGTAGTTGGTCAAGAATTTGATTACAGAAACTATTTTGCATGAATCCTGATGTATAGAAAGTTACATAAGAATCCATCTTCATCTGACTTTCAGTATTTTACTCTCTATGTGATATAGATTATTGTAGAAATCAGTGATTAAACTAAAAACCAAATACTACCATAAGAACTCCATGAACGATCACAGATTTTAAACAAAATAAAGAAATTCATAGGGTAAAAGCTACTAAAGAGAAGTTGAAAGCAGTAAATATTGATGTTATAACTTGTGCCCTGTGTCCTGTTAATTTACAACGTAATGATACCACCAATTAGAGAACAGTAATTTATCGACCGGACTAATGACGCATACCCCGTACGATCAGTCTAGAGTCTTTTTCGGTCCTTCATCCTGTTTCTTGAGCCCAGAACATCAAGCTCAGCCTCTGCAATATGAATCATTTATTACAAACATGCCTTTCTGTCACTTATCTCATAATTGGTAAAGCCATGACTTCTTTTATGACCTCAAAGAGTTATGAAAAAGATGGGATTGCATCTATATACTTCCAATATGGTACACCTAAAATTATATTACATTTTCTAGAACTATTAACCCTTTCGCTTCCTCTCTAGAAACAAAAACTTACCCTTATTGTTGGAAAGCTAATTACTTTATACCACGGTAAAAATCTGAAAATAAGACAGAAATACACAGTTATCATCCCATAAATATTACTCCGATTATCTCTGAAATAATGGAGAAGATTATTGATGACGAACTTTATAATCGTTTACTAGCCGAAAAATGTTAAAGATCAATTCTATGAGAGGCTGCAATCAATCATAGAGAAGTGCCCAAGAAAGGACCTCACCATTCTGATGGGAGATCTAAACGCCAAAGTCGGAATGGACAACACCGGATATGAAGACATCATGGGACTACATGGACTGGGAGAGTGAAACGAAAACGGGGAAAGATTTGCAAATCTGTGTGCATTCAATAAATTGGTCATAGGCGGTACAACATTTTCACACAAACGTATACACAAAGCTACGTGGATCTCACCGGACCACACCACAGAGAACCAGATAGATCACATTTGCATCAATAAAAAGTTCCGAAGGACAATGGAAGATGTGAAAACCAGGAGAGGAGCGGACGTAGATTCATATCATCACCTGGTTGTGGCCAAATTGAAACTGAAGCTAAAGAAGAACTGGACAACTGGACAAACAGCACCACAAAGGTTCAATACAGCCTTCCTTCGAGATACTGACAAACTCAATGAATTCAAGGTAGCTCTCAACAACAGGTTCCAAGCCTTACAGGATCTACTGAAGGAAGAAGAAACTACTATGGAGGATAGCTGGAAAGGTATCAAAGAAACATTAACTTCAACGTGTCAAGAGGTTCTGGGCCCCAAGAAGCGTCATCACAAGGAATGGATCTCTACAGAATCACTTGACAGGATCAAAGAAAGAAAGAACGAGAAGACAACAATTAACAACAGTCGAACAAGAGCAGAGAAAGTCCAAGCACAAGCAGAGTACATAGAAGCAAACAAGAAAGTGAAGAAGAGCATTAGAGCTGATAAGCAAAAATACGTGGAAGAACTAGCAACGACGGCGGAAAAAGCTGCAAGAGAAGGAAATATGAGACAGCTTTACGATACGACGAAGAAGCTAGCAGGGAAATACAAAAAACCAGAGAGACCATCAAAGACAAAGAAGGAAGACCAATCACTGAGATTCAACAACAGCGCAACAGATGGGCAGAGTACTTCGAGGAACTCCTGAACAGGCCGGCTCCAATGAATCCACCGGACATCGAAGCAGCACACACAGATCTTCCTATAAATGTCAATCCACCAACGACCGAAGAAATCAGAATGGCCGTCAGACAAATCAAGAGCGGGAAAGCAGCAGCACCTGACAATATACCAGCTGAAGCGTTGAAGTCAGACATCGAAGTAACTACAAGCATGCTTCATCTTCTATTCAAGAAGATTTGGGAGGAGGAACAAGTGCCGATGGATTGGAAAGAAGGACACCTCATCAAGATTCCAAAGAAAGGAGATCTGAGCAAGTGTGAAAACTACAGAGGCATTACACTACTGTCAATACCGGGTAAAGTCTTCAACAGAGTGTTACTGAACAGGATGAAAGACGCAGTTGACGCTCAACTTCGAGATCAACAAGCTGGATTCCGTAAGGACCGGTCGTGCACAGACCAGATTGCGACACTACGGATCATCGTCGAACAATCAATTGAGTGGAACTCGTCACTCTACATCAACTTCATTGATTATGAGAAGGCATTTGACAGTGTAGATAGGAGGACGTTATGGAAACTTCTTCGACACTACGGAGTTCCTGAGAAGATTGTCAACATTATCCGGAACTCATACGACGGACTACAGTGCAAAGTAGTGCATGGAGGACAGCTGACAGACGCATTCCAAGTAAGGACCGGAGTAAGACAAGGCTGTCTACTCTCTCCCTTCCTGTTTCTTCTGGTGGTCGACTGGATTATGAAGACCTCGACATCTGAGGAAACTACGGCATACGATGGACAGCTCAGAACCAATTAGACGACTTGGACTTCGCAGATGACCTAGCCCTCCTATCACATACACACGAACAAATGCAGATAAAGACAGCCAGCATAGCAGCAGTCTCTGCATCAGTAGGCCTCAACATACACAAAGGGAAAACCAAGGTCCTCAAACACAACACGGAGAACAGGAATCCAATCACTCTGGATGGTGAAACTCTGGAAGACGTGGAATCCTTCACATACCTGGGAAGCATCGTCGATAAAACAAGGAGGTTCAGATGCAGACGTCAAGACGAGGATTGGCAAAGCTAGAGCGGCATTCCTTCAACTGAAGAACATATGGAACTCAAAACAACTGTCTATCAACCAATATCAAAGTCACAATCTTCAATACGAACGTCAACGCAGTTCTACTGTACGGAGCTGAAACTTGGAGAACTACAACAATCACCATCAAGAAGGTACAGGTATTTATCAATAGCTGTCTACGCATGATACTCAACATCCATTGGCCGGATACCATCAGCAACAGCCTTTTGTGGGAGAGAACCAACCAGCTTTCAACTGAAGAGGAAATTAGGAAAAGACGATGGAAATGGATAGAACATACATTGAGGAAATCATCAAACTGCATTACGAGACAAGCGCTAACTTGGAATCCTGAAGGGAAGCGGAAAAGAGGAAGGCCAAAGAACACATTACGTCGGGAAATAGAATCAGATATGAAAAAGATGAATAAGAACTGGAAAGAGCTTGAAAGGATTGCCCAAGACAGGGTTGGATGGAGAATGCTGGTGAGCGGCCTATGCTCCTTCACGAGGAGTAACAGGTGTAAGTAAGTAAGTAAGTAAGTAAGTAAGTAAGTAAGTAAGTAAGTAAGTAAGTAAGTAAGTAAGTAAGTAAGTAAGTAAGTAAGTCGAAAAACATATCAACCTGGAGCAACATGTCTTCTTCAAAGCTAGATCTGTTATGATCTGTCACTTAAAGTTTTTCATTTAATGTAGCCTATGACTTCTGATTTGAGTGATAGACTTTGACTCTGATAAAGCTTTCTATGTGGTTAACCACCACCCGTTTATTGGAAAACTCACAACTTACTAAATCAGAGACCCTATCTTTGTAGGTTTAACTCTTTTTTTCAGTCACTGACAGTAAAACTTTCGGGACCTCAATATAGTAACCCAATGATACTCAAAATTGAAGTTAAAGCTCTGGACTGATAAGTGTGAATGGATTTATTTTGACAATATTTTTCCAACCCAGACTTCGTAATGAAAGGTAAGGTGATATATAAGCTTTATATACGATGGGCCCAGGACTCAGGTATTCCCACAATCTGCCCTTCTCAGAACGGGTCATTAGACAAACTTCCAAGTTTCAACAACTGAGTTTCAGACTACTTAAACTCCATTACAATAATTCATTCATTGAATTCACAAATTATGTGTTCGACCACACCATAAAATCTGCCTAAGTGCCTTTCGATTTGGCTTAGTTTCTCTACTTGAGCATTAAAAAACACCTGATACTGTTACTATATCAGAGCGTTTAGCTTTTTGGAAGTTGATTTGTTTCTTATAAAAGCCATCTTTAACTTCTTCCTAGCTGCAATTAGTGGAAGCGTAGGCAGAAACAACTAAAATGCAACCATGTGTGCTTATCTTCTCGAGTTCCCACTGTCCCGATTAGTCTGACAGCACACAAACAAATTACAGAGTCAATTTTGCTTTGGAACTTGATGCTATACCTGAACCAATGTGGCGGGATAGAAGAATTATTAAGAGGTGGTGAGAGGATTCACTTGTGAACAAGATGAATTCAGATGTTGATAGTGGTTAGCATGAAGACGAATGCCACGTCTCAGTTGCCAACATCGTGGAAGCATATTCCTTGTTGAGGGACCTGAAAACGAAGCTGAATTAGTGGTGGTCATAAAGACTTGGTAGCGTAAACACAAAGCCGAAGGAACGATGGCTTGAGGCCGGTAGCACACTACCTTTTTATGGGAAGGTTTTGACGTGTTGACTCCTCACTTGAAAAGGCTTTGCTGTCGGAGGCGGAAATCCATGAGGTAATGTGAGATGTGAAATCTTTATGGTCGAGCTTTTTCAACCCGTTTCTTTCGTTGTGAAAATGCAACGTCACTACGGATGTTGGTTATCCAAGGGAAACTCATGAATGCTCTCACATCGGTTTACAGTAAGCAATACGTCTTCGCCACCGAACCTTGAGTTTCTGCCTTAAATCTTGCTGTTCTCTAACCGAGCTTCCTGACGAGGTAAGATCTAAAGAAACATGTCTTTCAGTTAATATAGCTCGATTGCGTCATCATGATAGACACGCCCGATCACCACTTCGAGGTGGCAGGTACAGTCGGGGGTCAGAATGTACCATCACTCAATGAAGTTATCAATGGTTTGTTTAAATTATATGAGGTTTTTTGATATCGTTCTATGAGCTGACTGTGATCGACTGTTAAGCGGTATGCGTAGTATAGTTGTAAGTAGTGGTGACACTCATAGGTTTATCCAAAAAGAAACACATTATTACTCTCATATCTCTTTACAGTAAGCAATACGACTTTGCCACCGAGTCTTAAGTTGTTGCCTTTAACCTTACCGTTCTCCATCTAAGCTTCCTGACCTAAAGGAACATGTGTTGCAAGTATAATCTAAGATCAAGAATCCCAGTTCTATTCAGACAGAATAGGACATAAATCTCAATATATATTTATATTTTTAATGAAAGTCATATTCCAATTTGACCAATAATGAATGTTCAAATACGTATTAATGTACTGTAATTAGAAATGTTTAACGTACATCTTTTTACAAGCAACATTAAGGCTCTGTCCCAAACGTAACTCATATAACAATTCCTTTATTTATAATTACTGACAATCAACAAACCATAAAATTAAATGATCAAATCAATAGTGAGTTGAATGGTATAAAGAAGATGAAAGAAACAAAAATGTGCATTTCAACTGTATAACTTCAATGAACCAGTTTGTTTAATTTCAACATGCTGAGAAACTTCAATTGTATGATATAAAGATTGGTTTTTTTATATCATTTCGATGGTGTATTCTAAATAGCCAAACTAAAAATAGAATGCTTGAAACAATGATTACAATTATGAATGGCATTAGAAGACGAATGTATAAACGACGACTGACTTCATTAATAAATGTGATTGAATATATTTGTAATATATCACGAGAGAGTAGAAGCTGTTTAGATGTGATTGGATTGTCTTCATTAACTTTTGTGATCATGTTAGTAGTAGTAGTAGTAGTAGTTTGAATTGGTCTGCTAGATGAATGATATAAAGTGATCTGTGGGAGAGTGGTTTGATGATCGTTTATGGAAGATTCACTAATTTTGTCGAACTCATCAGTATTAATTAATAGTTGTGTAGGTGATATATCTTCAGTAGTGATTGATTCCATTGTATTCCTATCCGAAGTTAATGTTATGAGGTTTGTGGATTCTGTATTATGTTTAACAGTTGATTCTTCTGTTGTAATATGTTCGGTCGATATCTTAGTTGAAGTTGAACAAAGCCCTATTTGCTAAACAAAAACAAAAGTGACTTTAATCTAATATTAAGACAATACTGACATCTGTAAATTGAAGATACGATCAAAGGATTTCAATTTTGTGTCAGTGTCAAGCCATGATTTACCTTTATTTCTTCATAAATTGTAAGCGGCAGTATCAGTGGCGCATATGGTTCTTTTAAAAATTTAAATGCCGCAACAAATGCCATAGCACAATAATGACTACACTGCATATTGGTGCATGAAAGACAGTTAACATGCAAATTTCAAGTAAGGACTGGTGTCAGACAGAACTGATCACTCTCTCCCTTTCTTTTTTTTATGGTTGTTGACTGGATTATGAAGACCTACACATCTAAGTGGAGGCACGGAATATAATGGACAGATTGCATGCAAATACATGATTTCGACTTCTCAGATCACCTAGTCCTTCTTTCCCATATATACCAACAAACACAGGTCTACACAACACGTTTGGCAAAAGCTTCTACAGCAGTAGACCTAAACAAACACAAGCGACAAAGCAACATCCTCAAGTATAACATGGAAAACACCTACAAACCCAATCACACTTGGTGGAGAAACTCAAGAACAGGTGGAAACTATCACGTTTCTGGTTATTAGAATAATCGATGAACATAGAGAATCTGATGCAGACTGAAAAGCGAGAATTGGGAACGTAAAGACAGCACTCCTACAGTTGAACAACATATGGAACTCAAAACAACTGTCAAACAATATCGAAATCAAAATCTTCAATACGAGCGTCAAAACAGTTCTGGTGTACGGAGTTGAAACTTCGAGAACTACCACAACCATCATCAAATACATGCTAGTATTTATAAACAATTATCTACGTAAGACGTTGAATATCCGTTGATCAGATATCATCAGCAACAACTTACTTTGAGAGAGAAAAAATTAACTTCCAACTGATGAGGAAATTAGGAAAAGAAGCTGCGATTATACTACTGATCACTTTGCAGATTGATCGATGGAACTAAGTCGATATTCATGACAAAATACTTAAAATATATCCTTTTTCATTTAAACGAAGTGTCAGTCACCATGTGGTATTCAATCAGCTGTCCAGAAGATCATTTGCTAGCCGAATAGCTTAATCATAATGTTCAAAATGATGATATTTCCTAGCAGTTTTTAGAATCATTAAGATAAAATCAGTCACCTTGAATATTTGGGCTACCTGTTCCTGCCATCTGGATATTTTAACAGGTTATCTCTTTTCTTGTTTGTTTTAACACATCATTATGCCTATTAGTCTCATAGCCTATTCAGGTGCGTGTGTGAAACGTTTACCACATTTCGCTGTACATGTTTTAAAAGAGCTCAATCAGAGACATCATGGTTACTGGCAATATCCATAGAAAAGGATATACATTTATCAGATTTCGATTCCCGAACCGCTAACATGTGACTGGCGACCACTCAATATTTATCGCAAGAACTGATCAAGAAATAAGAAAAGGAAAGTTGTTGAAATACTTTGTGCTGAGAATTCTAATATTGTACCAAAAAATATAATATTGAATAAAGCTCCTGATAATAACAATAATCTTTTACTAACGAGTATTTACAAGCACTATATTTAAATTTAAGTGTTTCTGTATACTGCCTACAATCATTCGAAAAAAAACAAGAAAAAGAGCTGGTTCTAAGATATTTTGTTTGACATGTAACTAGCTAGTTTGTTAATAGTGTACGATTGTCATATTCAAACTCATTTTGTAGAATATGTGAAATGTATTTGTGAGAGATTTTAGAATACTTCTAAGGAAATGAACTTTTGAAATATACAAGAGTTTGAAGAATAGACTGTTCCGTTGACTCATGTTCTGGTGTTTCTGGAATAACCTTTGTCCAAAATCTCTACAATTTTTTAGTCGAATGTGTGTCCGCAGTTGTCCACGTGCAATGATAAAAGTGAGGACATTTCATGGCGTTTGACTGCTAATTGATGTTCATGCATGAGAAGATAAAGAGGGCGTGCGCTTTGTCCGATGCAGTTTTTTTCACAGTTCGTACAGTTTTGTTTGTAGATGATGTTTGTCTTCTTTTGCCATTTCACTTTATGGTTTGCATAGGATTTATTGTGGAGATCTTGTTGGTTTGTGCGCAACACCTATTACGAAGGTTTTCAGCAGTCTTGTTGTCGTTTTTGATATATCTTTTATATATGGTGGGGTGATCCTAGTTTGATTTCTGTGGTTGACTCTGCGTGCGGCTGGTATTTTTTGATGAAGTTGATTATTGGGCAGCCGTTCTTTTCAAGGATGGTCTTCAAGTATCTTTCTTCATTTTTTGTTGCTGTAATTGTATTTCAGTGTGTCCTATTCCTCTTGAACAAGGTTTTTACGCAGTTGATTTTGTGAGCTTGTAGTGACCTACTTTTGTCAACAGAACGCGATTGGTTCGATGAAAACAATTATTATTATAACCAATTGTACCAGTGATTGTTTTATTGTGCTCGTTTGTTTAACTGTGCTAATAACAGCCATTTTTGGGCCTCCATTGTATTCCATTGCTTTTACGCGGTTTTTGGACTACGCACGTATCTTATCTTGCCGTTCGCAACTGTACTCCTTTGGCACGATCTCGGTATTCTTTCGATACCACGAGATTGCCAACAAATATATACGACTACTACAATCATCTGCCTTCTGATATTTAGGCCTACCGGGGTTTTATTGGTCTATTGGCAAGTACTCTGGTAGCGGTGTTCATAGTCAAGCTCAACTCGACACCACGCAACATTTGGTAAGCCAAATATTGGAACACGCCTCAACCTCGGTCAAATCTTTCAAAAAAGGCAATTCGCCCACGCCTACGACCATCGTCCATTTGATAACGTCGACTTCAGTCAACTTTGGCGAAAGCTGGTTTGGCCACCCACGCTCTAGTCAACGCACTCAGTCGATTATCTGGTCTCGAATTCGCCTGGCATACGCTTGGTAGTTATGGTCGCGTCCGGTTTCTTGGCTCAACGTGGTTTCGTCCTACGTCTGCAGCGTTATCTGGTCCGCATCCATACGAACGCAATCATCAGATCCTGGATACAAACCACTCTGTGGTATGCTAACTCGACCAACAAATACAGCACACTTCTCCTGGTACCGTTCTGCGCAAAAGACTTTCGTTGGCAACTCGAGGATCAACGATCACCTCCTGTTCCGCCAATTTCCTCCGTCCTACAACCGCAATTCTGCCGAGCAGTCCCACGAATCAAACCGCTAACTATCGAAAGTGTAAACCCTTTCTAGCGGGGGGCTCCTGTAGTGACCTACTTTTGTCAACAGAACGCGATTGGTTCGATGAAAACAATTATTATTATAACCAATTGTACCAGTGATTGTTTTATTGTGCTCGTTTGTTTAACTGTGCTAATAACAGCCATTTTTGGGCCTCCATTGTATTCCACTGCTTTTACGCGGTTTTTGGACTACGCACGTATCTTATCTTGCCGTTCGCAACTGTACTCCTTTGGCACGATCTCGGTATTCTTTCGATACCACGAGATTGCCAACAAATATATACGACTACTACAATCATCTGCCTTCTGATATTTAGGCCTACCGGGGTTTTATTGGTCTATTGGCAAGTACTCTGGTAGCGGTGTTCATAGTCAAGCTCAACTCGACACCACGCTACAAGCTCTTGGGTTGTTACTATTGTAGTTGAGAATTTAATCTGTGTGGGACTCCAGTTTATCTGTGTCGGCTCTAGTGATTAATATATCCAAGAATGATAGTTTGTCGTTTGACTCTTGTCCCATTATGAACTTGATGTCATTAAAAATGTTGTTGATCAGCCTTTAGGTGTTTCTCAGCTCCACCTTTTTGACGATGACAAGTGTGTCATCCAAAGAACGAATTCAAATTTTTGGCTTGATAAGATAGAGGCTTCTAGTCACTGCATCACTGCTTCTGCGATAAGTCCTGATACTGGTGATCCTACCTGAGCTACAATTCTTCTCCATCACAGTAGTAATTAGATTAATAAATATATATGGTGATTGCTTAATGAACCAGTATATTATAGCCTAATGACACAAAATAATATTATGTAAAAGCCATTTATGGTAGGTAAAAGAACTGAACAGAAATTATATATATGTTCATTGAGATTCAATGAGATTAAATTTACTTGCACAGCACAATCTTTTCCAAGCAAGGTTTGAATATCGATATCACGAAGGTGTCTGCACGTGTTGAATTGCGGACACCAGTGGCACTTCCTTCCAAATGTATAATTTTTAGTACAGTCTTCACAAAATTTGTATTCCATACAACCTTCAATGACAAGATAAAGAGATATCTGTAAGTGTGCATTTGTTCAACTATTAGCAATTTCATGGATGGAATAGGTATATCACATCGATGTCTGATCGAGTCGTTTGACAATTTAAAGTGTGTACTGGAAAATGGATAAGGTGTCATACAGTAACTGTCAATAATACATCATATGAAAGTTATAAAATAGATTTCTTCATCCATGATCACTATCCACCCAATCTCACAATTAAATCTTCCACCGGAAAACGTCTTCAAATCACCTCCATGAGACAAAACAGTAGGTATCGTTATTATGTCATGTATATTATTCACTAGTAAGTTGAATTTCATCAAAATATTTCAGTAATTGATTGGTGAAATCTGTGACTATTTTAGTTAGAGCTGATTTGTGTACGGTCATATAGCACCCCAACTTATACTTAACTTTGTATACGTTCACATTTGTTAAGCCCTTTGATTAACCTGTTCAATAGACAGTGTCATGGATGTCAGTGGAAATTCGTTTTATCTCATATTACAGACGACCTTTATGTCCTACTTACTGAATTGAATGTCAGCTATAGTTATTTTGTTCAGTTCTATATTTAAACGATAATCAGATGACAAGCTCAAATCACTTTAAAACTATCGCACTGCCGATAAAAATGAGAAAATAAAGGCGAAACAAGTCAAATAATGACAAGATATGATCAGGGTTACTCGATTGATGTGTTAATAACATTTTAATTTAATATAACCCAATACTGGCTATATGGAGCTGAATGTCTCATACGAGGCTGGAGGTTCGCCATTGGTATTGTGGATGGTTCAGCAATGCTTTGGCAAGTTTTGCTGACTGTTCATGAACAAAATTGGTTTGCTGGTCAACCAGTCCCATTCATACTGATGGCTGCTTTTCAGTGTTCTCGAGGGCCATTGTCATTGGGACATTGTAAGGCATGTCGCTATTGCTAACATTAATGAGTTTGACTGTCGTGTAAGCGGACAGGGTCAACTTTGGCCTGTTCGTGCCGTGCATAATTGATTCGCGTGATCATTGGTCGGAATAACTACACATGCGATGTGAATATGCATTTGAATGGTGCGAATGGTCCACCAGGGTGATTGGTACCTGTGTGGTTGCGCCACAGGATTGAGCTGTACTATTCAGATTGTAGCATTAAAGCCTGTTCAGTGTCTGGCTCTCCTGTTAAACGGGCTTGGGCTGTACTGTTTGTGTTGTCACGTTGAAGGCTGGACTGTGTCTGTTTCTCCTGAAAACCGATGTAAAATTATCCTGGCCCACAAGGGTATATTATATAACTGTGAATAATAATGATACTTAACCATATATCATAGTTAGTTTGCTAATTCTAATACATTTTTCAAAACACAACCACATTGTTGGGTATTTTGTTTTCAGGAGGGATTACAATAACACCTCCACCGATACTTGGGACTTTACACATTCAAATATGTTAAAGAAGGTTATCAGAACGAAGGATATGCGAAGAATAGAAGTTATCCTGATAAACATTCACTAAAAGTCTGGTAACAGGTATTGAAACATGCCCAAGTTGTATATGAACGTAATCAGTGAGATCACACAAGATTCTTGATTAATCATTAGATTAAGGCTAGTCAATCAACATGCTTAACAATATGACTGAACTTCGAGGATAACTGTCAATTAAAGGAAAATGTTAATTTTAGACGTCGTCTCACAATGAAATGTATCTGAACAGTACATAATCGGGAGACAAACATTATATTTATCTGAGATCTGATGAACAAATAATCATTCTATACATCACAAGATACCTGTTCATTAAACATAGAGAAACGATAGAAGGGATGAGTAATATGATCTTAACCATTGAAATTACTACAACCTCCATAAAACCCTTCCTGATATTAATCAATATATGCTCACTAGTGACTGGCTTCAAGAGGTATATCCTAGAGTTCTAGTGAGAAATAGTGACCAGTGGAGTTCAACCAGGTCTGTTATGAGATAGTAACTCACTGAAGACAATGGTGGATGTGTTGTTCAATTTCATGGACTAGTTGAAGTTAGACAATAACACTGTTGAATGCCGGCCAGCTCATTGGTTTAGTGGTTAATTGTTCGCGCGCGAAACCAGTAGTTTCTGGGTTTGAATCTCACAAGGGGTGAGGTCGTGAGTGCGTACTGCCAAGGAGAAGTCCTACAATAGAACGAAACAGCCGTCCAGTACTTCCAGGTTTTCCATAGTGGTGTCTAGTTTCAACTGACTCATGATCTTAACCATTGAAATTAAAAAATATGTTCAGTGATCAGTTAAAATAACTTTCTTACGTACTTAAAAGAGGAGTAAACTCAATCAACATCCCGGATTTCACCATTAATGTGGAAAGTATTTCTTTTTTCCGATAATGATCATCTATGAGAAGTTAAATAAAGACAGTTAAGTGATAACCCAATATCAAATGAATTAGTTACCTTTTATAAACAGATAATAATGAATTCATTGTAAAAATGATCAAGATTGTGTCTCTGATGAGTTTGTTGTTAGCCTACTAATATCAGTAGTATACTTGAAAACATTTCAAATCACAAGTTTCAATGTTGAGAAAGTATGCATCTAGGAGCGTTGATTACAATATACTTAAGTTGAAGTTGTACGCTTGTCGAGTGTAGTGATTTGGAAGCACAGTGTGATTCTTGTGCCATCTAGACGATGATGACAAATTGTTGTTGTTAAAAAAAGTCATCTGTTCATTGTTATGTATTTCCTAATGGTTGCCAAGTGAATGGTATTTTGTGATTACTTTATTATAACACTTAGATATTGGTACAAGGAGGCACCAAACACATATGCGCCACACAGATCTCATTTGATATGTGTGGGGGCTGTGATATTACCCGGGTGCCCAAACAGAAGCAGGTGGTTTTCTTAGGAGACCACACCTCGAGCCTTCGACCTGAATGTCTGACCCACAAGACAGTGGAGAATCGTAAGGAGATGCAGTCCTGTGGTAGCCGGTGACCAACGATTGGTTCATACGCTATTTGTTCCCTCAGGCAGGATACTGGAGCCAGCCCATGTGCACCATTGGTTTGGGACCTGGTTAAAGCACCGGATATTCGCTTTTCGTCCTCTCATTTTCGTAAACAACACCTCCGCCACGTGAAGGCAGTGACTAGGACTTTCATGGCAGAGGCTATATACGCGTGGCCATGTGATGAGAGCATTTCGTAAGGGAGAGCGGACTCTCGGTCGTACTAGGGCATTTTGGGACATTTTGTGATTAGGTGAAACCTACAATTTCAGCAGAACCTACATAAAACCACCTTCATGAAATACAATCTATAACGGTACAATTTCGTATGCATGACAGAATGACGATGAGTGCTGTGAAATGATGTATTTTTCATTCATTTTAACATGGTCACATTGTTTTGATATCTCTTGTACAACCATCTCGTTGTGAAATATCATCAGTTGTCTTTGGACCTTCATTGATTACGCAAGCTGATATCTCATCAATTTCAGAGCGACCACTTCAATTAAATGTGGAACACAATAAGAAACTATTATTACAATTTGGTTGGATTACCTTCATTAGGTGGTTCATAGATCAATTTAACAGATGAATTTGTTTCAATCTCATTGGGTATCTGAAAAGTAATGTTCAATACAAGTATGATGTTTAGTATTAACCAACCTAGAACACATGGATCAGGATCTAGCTCCTTACGCTTGTTACTCCTCGTGAAGGAGCATAGGCCGCTCACCAGCATTCTCCACCCAACCCTGTCCTGGGCAATCCTTTCAAGCTCTTTCCAGTTCTTATTCATCCTTTTCATATCTGATTCTATTTCCCGACGTAATGTATTCTTTGGCCCTCCACTTTTCCCCTTCCCTTCAAGATTCCAAGTTTGATGATTTGAGTGATGTATGTCCTATCCATTTCCATCGTCTTTTCATAATTTCCTCTTCAGTTGGAAGTTGGTTGGTTCTCTCCCACAAAAGACTGTTGCTGATAGTATCCGACCAATGAATGTTGAGTATCTTGTGTAGACAACTATTGATAAATACTTGTACCTTCTTGATGATGGTGATTGTTGTAGTTCTCCACGTTTCATCTCCGTACAGTAGAACTGCCTTGACGTTGGTATTGAAGATTCTGACTTTGATATTGATTGAAAGTTGTTTTGAGTTCCATATGTTCTTCAGTTGAAGGAATGTCGCTCTAGCTTTGCCAATCCTTGCCTTGACGTCTGCATCTGAACCTCCTTGTTTATCGACGATGCTTCCCAGACATGGATCAGATGAATACTGTTTTCAACTATTCTCATTATACTGGTTGAAATCATGAATCCATTGAAGCTAGACCACCATGGAAAACCTGGAAGCACTGGACGGCCGTTTCGTCCTAGTATGGGACTCCTCAGCAGTGCACATCCACGACCCCGCTACCCATGAGATTCGAACCCATGACCTATCAGTTTCGCGCCAGGCACTTAACCAACTAGATCACTGAGCCAACCGGCATCCAACGGTGTTAATGTCTAACTTCAACCAATCCAGGAAGTTGCACCACCGTACACCATTGTCTTCAGTGAGCTGATATCTCACAACAGACCTGGTTGAACTCCACTGATCACTACTTCTCACTAGAACTTTAGGAGTATCTCTTGAAGTCAGTCACTAGTGAGCAGATGATTATTATTATCAGAAGGGATTGTGTAGAGATTTTAGGAATTTCTCATTATAATTTATTCAACTAACTACAATCAATATGAAAGGCTTAGTAACCTGATCAAATGTCTAAGCTACATGTTTTACAACATTAATCACTAATCAATTAGGGTGATATCATTAATGTAATGTTTTGTATTTTCATCATATCACTCTATTTAGAGTAATGAAAGACAATAACATTGGAATTCATTCATCTAATGATTGAAGTTATCATAGAAACATAACTGATCTACATTCACTGTAGAAAGCAAGATCTTCAATTACAATACGGAGAACACTAACTAATCTAATAGCACTTGATAGAGAAACTCTAGAAAATGAAGTGTCCTTCACATACTCAAGAATCATCATCGATGAACAAGGAGGTTCAGATACAGATGTAAAGGTGAGCATTGAAAAAGCAAAGGCCACATTCCTACAAGTGAACAATATATGGAATTGGAAACAATTGACCAGCAACCGATATCAAAGTCAAAATCTTCTATACGAACGTCATGATAGTTCTACTGTACGGAGATGAAACCTTGGAGAACTACAACAATCACCATCATCAAGAAAGTACAAGTATTTATCAATAGTTGTCTACACAAGATACTCAACATGCATTTGTCGGATACCATCAACAACAGCCTTCTGTGGCAGAGAATAAACCAGCTTCCAGCGGAAGAGGAAATTAGGTAAAGACGATGAAATTGGATCAAAACATGCACTACTCAAATCATCAAACTGTATTACAAGGTAAGCCCTAACTTGTAATCTTGAAGGGAAGCGGAAAACAGGAAGGTCAATGAACATATTACACGTTAGGAAATAGAAGCGGATATGCAAAAGATAACTAACAACTAGAAAGTATTACCCGATGAAAAGGATTAGATAAAGAATGTTGATAGTCAGTTTATACAGTCTTCCACAAGGAGTAACAGGCGTAAGTAAGTATCGATAAATGATAATAATAGATCACTTTATATGATACACATTTGTAATACAAATTTACAATGTTACTAATTCAATAAACATACCTTTTCATAGTAAATAGAGATATTACCATTAGAGTAAAGAACACAGACAACCTGAACTGAAAAAACAAACAAACAAAGAATATAAGAAATGGTACTATTCATTCATTAAAATATAGACCAACATATTTGTGTATTCTTTTGAATAATGACAATTAATATCAGAAGGGGTTTTGTGGAGATTGTAGTAATTTCAATGATTAAGATCATGAGTCAGTTGAAGCTAGACCACCACCATGGAAAACCTGGAAGTACTGGACGGCTGTTTCGTCCTACTGTGGGACTCCTCCTTGGCAGTGCGCATCCACGACCTCGCCCCCTGCGAGATTCGAACCCAGGACCTACCGGTTTTGCACGCCAGCGCTTAACCACTAGACCACTGAGCCGGCATCCAGTGGTCTAGTGGTTAAGTGCTCGCACGCGAAACCAGTAGGTCCTGGGTTCGAATCTCGCAGTGGGGCGAGGTCGTGGATGCGCACTGCTGAGGAGTCCCATACTAGGACGAAACGACCGTCCAGTGCTTCCAGGTTTTCCATGGTGATGGTCTAGCTTCAACTGACTCATGATCTTAATCATTGAAATGACAATTAAGTCTATAGTCTTGTTAAAGTATAAGTTATTATCAAACCGTTGGATCATTTGTAATGGAACGAATGATTATAAATGACAAGTTAAATTGAATGATATCTATGATGAATAACTTACATTGAAGTAATTAGAATTTATAATATTAAGAAATTATGTATCTATTGAAGTTATACACCATCATGAATAACTTGGAAGTACTAAATGATCGCTTTGTCGTAGTATGGGACTTCTGTTTAGCAATGCGTATCCATGATCCCCGGTCCCTGGCGAGATTTAAATCCAGGACCTATCAGTCTCCTGCCAGGTGTTTAACTAACTAGACCATTAAGTCGGTAACCAATAGTGTTCATGTCTAACTTTAATTATGTTTAAACAATTATTTGATAGGTAAATCAATACAAGTCACTTGATATTGTTTGTATTATATCCAATAATCAATACTTCACCTCATTTCGCAAGCAAATAGCTATTAGACCTGAGTAGCTGAGTGTATAAAGTGATGGTGTTTGAAGCGAACAATATTGGGTTTGAATCTCAGAGTGAACATCAACTCTAAAATGCAAGTACATCTAGCTGATGAGTCTCGAATAGGACGAAACGTACGTCCTGTATTCCACTAATAGTCGCTAACTATCTTTGCTTGCATAGCTTATAACTTAAATCAATGTAAGCATTGAAAATCCATGATTTCAGAATATACACACACGTAATCACTTATTGTAACTATTTCAAATAACTATTTTATTACTGAAACTCCACCTGGAGTCCCTCAGGGAGCTACTGCCGGTCCCAAGCCAGGGTAAAGGAGGAGGGTTAGACATGGAGAATAAATTATTCAAATCATTTAAACTCTGCCCTGGGATTTAGAAGGTCTTCAAGACTAACTCATTTTATATGTTTGTATAGTAGACTCATTGATGAGTTGATCCATTTTTATGGAATATTAACGTATCCTTTATTGGAAGAAACCATTCGACTTCAGAAATAACAAAAGTATAGTATACTTTCAATATGTATCATTACAGAATATACATATAATTACTTTCTGAAGTTATTTCATCTTACTTACTTACTTACTTACTTACGCCTGATACCCCCAATGGAGCATAGGCCGCCGACCAGCATTCTCCAACCCACTCTGTCCTGGGCCTTCTTTTCTAGTTCCATCCAATTCTTGTTCATTTCTCTCATATCTATCTCCATTTCTCGACGTAATATATTCTCTGATCTTCCTCTCCTTCTTCGACCTTGAGGATTCCATATGAGGGCTTGTTTTGTGACGCAGTTCGGTGCTTTCCTCAATGTGTATCCTATCCACTTCCAGCGCTTCTTCCTGATTTCTTCCTCCGCTGTGATCTGATTTGTTCTCTCCCACAGTAGGTTGTTGCTTATAGTGTCCGGCCAGCGGATCTGAAGTATTTTGAGTAGACAACTGTTAATAAACACCTGTATCTTTTGGACGATGGATTTCGTAGTTTTCCAGGTTTCCGCCCCATACAGTAGAACTGTCTTCACATTTGTATTGAAAATTCTGACTTTGGTGTTGGTTGCTAATTGTTTTGAGTTCCAGATATTCTTAACTTGTAAATATGCTGCTCTTGCTTTGCCAATCCGTGTCTTCACATCTGCATCAGATCCACCGTGTTCATCGATGATACTGCCCAAATATGTAAAGGTTTTTACATCTTCCAAAGCTTCTCCGTCAATTGTGATTGGATTGTTGCATGCTGTGTTGTATCGAAGAATCTTGATTTGCCCTTTGTGTATATTGAGAGCCAGATCATCTGCGAAGTCTAGATCATCCAACTGCATCCTAGCTATCCACTGTATCCCGTGCTTCCCTTCAGATGTTGATGTCTTCATGATCCAGTCGATCACCAGGAGAAAGAGAAAGGGTGAGAGTAAGCAACCTTGCCTGACAACGGTCTTTACTTCGAACGACTTTGTCAACTGTCCTCCATGCACGATTTTGCAGTTTAATCCATCATAGGAATTCTGTATGTTATTAACTATCTTCTGAGGCACGCCGTAGTGTCGAAGAAGCTTCCATAGTGTTGTTCTGTCCACGCTATCAAATGCTTTTTCGTAGTCGATGAAGTTGATATAGAGTGACGAATTCCATTCAATTGATTGTTCCACAATGATCCGTAGAGTTGCGATTTGGTCTATGCACGATCTATCCTTACGGAATCCTGCCTGTTGGTCTCGAAGTTGGGCGTCTACGGAGTCCTTCATCCTGTTTAACAATACCCTGTTGAAGACTTTTCCTGGTATTGAAAGAAGAGTGATTCCCCTGTAGCTGTCACAGTTGCTGAGATCGCCTTTCTTTGGTATTTTGACTAGAAGTCCTTCTTTCCAGTCTTTTAGTACCTGTTCCTCATCCCAGATCTTTCTGAAGAGAGTTCGGAGTATCCTTGCAGTTGCCGCTACGTCTGCTTTCAGTGCCTCTGCTGGAATGCTGTCTAGTCCTGCTGCTTTGCCACTCTTGATTTGTTTGATAGCCATGCTGATTTCTTCAATTGTCGGTGCGCCAACATCAATTGGGAGGTCCGTGAGTGCTGCTTCCATGTTGGGTGGGTTCAGTGGGGCTGGTCGATTCAAGAGTTCTTTGAAGTGTTCTACCCACCTGTTTCGTTGTTCTTCAATGTTGGTGATTATCTTGCCTTCCTTGCTTTTCACTGGTCGTTCTGGTTTATGGTGATTTCCAGAGAGTTTCTTTGTTGTGTCATACAGTTGTCTCATGTTTCCTTCTCTGGTAGCCTTTTCCGCCGTCATTGCTAAATCTTCCACATATTTACGTTTGTCAGTTCTGATGCTCCTCTTCACTTGCTTGTTTACTTCTGTGTATTCAGCCTGTGCCTTGGCGTTTTCTGCTCTTGTTCGACTGGCATTGATTGCTGCTTTCTTGTTCCTCCTTTCTTGAATCTTATCCAGTGTATCGACCGTGATCCAATCCTTGTGATGGTGCTTCTTTTGGCCCAGAACCTCATGACATGTTGAAGTGATTGCCCCTTTTATCTCTTTCCAGTTGCTCTCCATAGTAGTTCCTTCTCCATTGAGTAGATCATGAAAGGCTTGGAACTTATTGCTGAGGGTTATCTTGAATTTATTGAGTTTGTCATTATCCCGAAGAAGAGCCATATTAAATTTTTGTGATATTGTCCGCCCCGTTGTCCAGTGCTTCCTGAGTTTCGGTTTCATCTTGGCGACCAGCAAAGGATGATACGATGCTATATCAGCCCCTCTCTTGGTTCTCACGTCCTCCATCGTCCTCCTGAACTTTTTGTTGATGCAGATATGGTCGATTTGGTTCTGTGTGCTGTGATCCGGTGAAGTCCATGTGGTTTTGTGTATGCGTTTGTGTGGGAATATAGTCTCTCCTATGACCAGTTTATTAAAGGCACATAGGTTTGCGAATCTCTCACTATTTTTGTTCCTTCCTCCCAGTCCATGTCGTCTCATGATCTCTTCAAATCCGGTGTTGTCAATTCCAACCTTGGCACTTAGGTCTCCCATCAGAATGGTCAGGTCTTTTGTTGGGCACTTCTCGACGATTGACTGCAGCCTATCGTAGAATTGATCTTTAGCATCTTCATTGTATTCGTTGGTAGGCGCATAGCATTGGATGACGTTCATTGTAATGCCCGTTTTCTTTGTTTTGAAGGAGGCTTTGATGATCCTTGGTCCATGAGATTCCCATCCTATAAGTGCATTTTGTGCTTGTTTGGACAGCATCAATGCAACTCCTTGTGTATGTGGAGCATTTTCTTGTTCATGTCCGGAGTATAACAGCAGCTCCCCTGAAGCTAGTCGTTGTTGTCCAACTTGCGTCCAATGTGTTTCACTGATCCCAAGCACCTCTAAATTGTATCTCCTCATTTCTGCAGCAATTTGGAAAACTCTCCCAGTCTCCCACATTGTGCGAGCATTCCATGTACCTAAATAAATGGTTGCTCTGGTTGTCAGAAGGGGCATCAACCTCGTGACTTCCGAAGAAACTCGGCTTTCATCATGAGGCGTCATAATTCTTCTAAACGAAGCCCTCTTGACTCCTAGGGCAGAGTTTAAATGGTTTGAATAATTTTTTCTGGTTAGCGTTTTTTTAGCGAGTTAGTTTTCTACGGGATGGGGTCGCTAACCCCATGCCCAACCCTCCTCCTTTATCCGGGCTTGGGACCGGCAGTAGCCCCCGGAAAGGGACTCCAGGCGGAGTTTTATTTCATCTATTTTTTATTATTTTAATATTCTATTTTGACATATTTATGTATGTTGTAATAGTTACTTAGTTACTTACGTCTGTTACTACCCGTGGAAGAGAGTAAACCAACCACCAGCATTCTCTATCCAACCCTGTCCTGGGCAATCCTTTCCAGCTCTTTCCACTTCTTATTCATCCTTTTCATATCCGCTTCTATTTCCCGACGTAATGTATTCTTTGGCCTTCCTCTTTTCCTCTTTCCTTCAGGATTCCAAGTTTGGGCTTGCCTCATGATGCAGTTTGATGATTTGGGTGATGTATGTCCTATCCATTTCCTCTTCAGTTGGAAGTTCGTTGGTTCTCTCCAACAGTAAGCTGTTGCTGATGGTATCCGACCAATGAATGTTGAGTATCTTGTGTAGACAACTATTGATAAATACTTGTACCTTCTTGATGATTGTGGTTGTTGTAGTTCTCCACGTTTCATCACCGTACAGTAGAACTAACTGTATTGACGTTGGTATTGAAGATTCTCACTTTGATATTTGTTGAAAGTTATTTTGAGTTCCATATGTTCTTTAATTGTAGGAATGTGACCCTTGCTTTTCCATTGCTCACCTTTACGTCTGCATCTGAACCTCCTTGTTCATCAATGTTGTTTCTCAGGTATGTGAAGGACTCGACATCTTCCAGAGTTTTTCCATCATGTGTTATTGGCTTGCTGTTCTCCGTGTTGTATTTGAGGACCTTCGTTTTCCTCTTCTGTATGTGGTTGTATGTTAGATGTAATAGTTACTTAACTACTTTTCTCACAACTGATTGATTATTTGATGGAAATCAATGTCATGTATGTCAGATCCTTCATAATGTAAATAGAATACTATCGATTAAGTTGCTATGTGATTACTAATCTAAATGAATTGACATTGAGTGCACTATGTTAAGATAAGATAGTGGTTAAAGGTAGTCAACACGGTTTCCAATCATCATCTCAACTATTTATTTATTTATTTTAACACATAGATATTGGTACAACGAGACACCAAACACATATATGTGAGGGTTGTGATATTACCCGGGTGCTTAAACCGAAGCAGATGGTTATCTTAGCGAGTCACACCCCGAGCCTTTTACCTGAAGATCTGATCCATAAGGCAACCTGTGACCAACAATGGATTCATATGCTATTTGTTCCTTCAGGATACTGGAGCCAGCCCATGTGCACCATTGATTTAGGATCCGGTTAAAGTGCCAAACATTCACTTTTCGTCCTCTCGTTTTTTGTAAACAACACCCCTGCCATGTGAAAACAGTGAGTAGGACTTCCTCGGCAGAGGCTTTATACGCGTGGCATGTGATGAGAGCATTTCGTAAGAGAGAGCGGACTCAATTGTTATTTATTTTTATTATTTTAACACATAGGTATAGGTACAAGGAGGCACGAAATACATATGCGCCACACGAATCTCAATTGATTTGTGTGAGGGCTGTGATACTGCCCGGGTTCCCAAACAGAAATAGGTGGTTTTCTTAGGGGGCCACACCCCGAGCCTTTGACCTGAAGATCTGATCCACAAGACAGTGGAGCATCGTGAGGAGATGCAGTCTCATGGTAGCCGGTGACCAACGATTGGTTCATACGCCATTTGTTCCTTCAGGATACTGGAGCGCATGTGCACCATTGATTTGGGGTCCGGTTAAAGCCGGTGCCGGACATTCGCTTTCCGTCCTCTCATTTTCGTAAACAACACCCCCGCCACGAGAAGGCAGTGAGTAGGACTTCCCTGGCAGAAGCTTTATACGCGTGGCATGTGATGAGAGCATTTCGTAAGAGAGAGCGGACTCACCTCACTCTCAGCTGTACCAAGGCATTTGGCTTAACTTATTAAGTTTACATAATTCAATTCTAAGAATTCCTCTCTCTCTCTCTCTCTCTTTCTATTACTTCAATGAAATATAACCATAATGAATAAGAAATTTTGACATTGAATAGAATACCATAATCTTTCAATTGATATTCATTGGAATATTGAGTATTCAAACGAAGCCATTTAATTGCAGAGAATTCATCTGAAATATTAAAAACATTTCATCTGTTTTACTTTTAACTATATGTAATTAATGTGTATTTATGTTAGAACTTATAAAACTGTAAACTAATTGAAATTGTTCGAATCCCGCCTAGGGTGGGGGGGGGGCGGGATGGTGGATGCGCACTGCTGAAGAGTCTCATACTAGGACGAAACGGCCGTCTAGTGTTTTCAGGTTTTCCATGATGGTGTCTAGCTTCAATGGATTCATGATTTCAATAATTGAAATTGAAATTGTATTGAACAAGTACACAAGTAAAGAATCTCTTAGTCAAATCTGAGAATCATACAATAAATACTTCATTTACAATATGTCAGATCTTATTGTTCTTTCGTTTCAACACTGATCATTCTGTGTTCTTGATGATGTTTTTTTCTTTGATCTTCTTAACATTCTGAATCTAGATATTTCAGTTTTGATGGGTGATACATACTACTTATATCTGTTGACATTAGTAGCACACATTACAGAGTATCACACTAAATAATAATCGATTTATATCAGAAGGGATTTTGTGGAGATTGTAGTAATTTCAATGGTTAAGATCATGAGTCAGTTGAAGCTAGACCACCACCATGGAAAACCTGGAAGTACTGGACGGCTATTTCGTCCTATTGTAGGACTCCTCATTGGCAGTGCACATTCACGACTTCGCCCCCTGCGAAATTCGAACCCAGGAACTACTGGTTTCGCTCGCGAACACTTAACCACTAATTCAATGAGCTGGCCGGCATTCAACGGTGTTAATGTCTAACTTCAACTAATCCACGAAATTGAGTGGATTATCGAAGTTAGAAATGTGTATTTTTGGTGCAGATATGAAGGCGCGGATCAGCAAAGCAAGAGCAGTATATCTATAACTGAAGAACATGTGGAACTCAAAATAACTGTCTGTCAACTAACACCAAGTTCAGAATTTTCAATACAAATATCAAGACAATTCTACTGTAGGTGGTGGAAGCTTGAAGAACTACGAAAGTCATCATTCAGAAAATACAAGTGTTTATTAACAGTTGTCTACGCGAAATACTTTAGATCCGTTGGCCAGACAGTATCAGAAACAATTCACTGTGGCCGAGAACAAATAAAATTTCAGCTGAGAAAAAAATCAAGAAGAAGCAATAGAAGTGGATGGAACACACCGAACTGCATCACAAAGCAAGCTTTCACATGGAATCGTGAAGGCTAAATAAAGGAGAAGAGGAAGACCATAGAAAACATTAAGTCGAGAAATGGAGACAGATATGAGAAGAATGAACAATAGTTGGATAGAAGTAGAAAGAAAAGCCGAGGACAGAGTGTGATGGAGAATGCTGGTTGACTGCCTATGCTCCACAGGGATTAACAGGCGTAATGAATTAAGTAATTAATTGTTGAATTTCAACTCAAGTGATCAAGTATAAAGCCCTCATTTTGTTGAACCAAAGTTCCTGGGTTCAATGATTGGTTGGTTATGAGTGGGAACTGTTGAAGAGCTGTAAAATAAAGAAGATCCCTTTTTTCTTATTCACCATGACTTGTGAGATAGTCGTCCAGCTCACTTAAGTTCATGACAATAGCTCTCATCAAATAACAATACATATCAGAAGGGGTTTTGTGCAGATTGTAGTGATTTCAATCATTAAGATCATGAGTCAGTTAAAACGAAACCAGTAGGTCCTGGGTTCGAATCTCGCAGGGGGGGCCAGGTCGTGGATACGCACTGCCAAGGAGGAGTTCCACAATAGGACGAAACAGCCGTCCAGTACTTCCAGGTTTTCCATGGTGGTGGTCTAGCTTCAACTGATTCATGATCTTAATGATTGAAATAACAAGACATATATTCATTATTCCTGAATAACATTCTAATACAAAATATAAGATAATGTAATGAAATAGGAAATCTTACTAGAATCCTTTATTTGTACTTCATTGTATTCATCTTGTCCATCAAATGTATGAATGATGTTACCTAAATCTGGTTTCTCAGTTTCAGGTCCGATACCTAAAACACCTTCATTAACAAAATGATCAATTAGATTCTATTAAATTACTGATAGTTTACAAAAGATAACTTTCAACAATTGATACAGATGTCACTTAAATGTGAATATAATCTAATACTCATCAATATTGAGGTTGTGAAGATCATGAATCGACTGATGATTAGTGATCAGTGAAGTTAATCCGTGTTGGGTAGAGACAGATATCTATCTCAGTACAATGAAAGATGGTCAGGCAATTTCGTGGATTCGTTAAAGTTAGACACTAACACCATTGGATTACGGCTCAGTGGTTTAGTGGGTTAAGCGTTCATGCGCGAGATTGAAAGCCATAGGTTTAAATCTTACGAGCGGGATCGTGGATGTGTACTGCCACTGAGAAGTCCTACAATAGGATGAAACGGCTGTCAAATACCTCCAGGTTTTCAATGGTGGTCTAACATCAGTCAATTCATGATCTCAATAAAAAACTTGTCCTATACACTACGAAAGTCATTTCCCAGTATTAAGAATGAAAGAAGATTGTCTTTATCTTATAAATTGTATCATCAGTTGAGTACTTTCAGATCAATTGTATCACGTAAAACAGTGTCATTGAATTATAGTGACTTACTATTGTCAACAGAATACGATTGATTCAATGAAAACAATTATTATGATAACCAATTGTACTAATGATTGTTTTACTGTGTTCGTTTGTTTAACTGTACTAATGACAGCCATTACATACTCAGTCTCCCGTTGACTTTGAACTTGTACGAATTTGGTTAAGCTCAGTAACCACGCTTGTACTCCTTTGGCACGATCACGGTATTCTCTTGATACCACGAGATCGCTATCAAATACATCTCGACTACAGCCATCATCATTTGCCTTATGATATTAACTTACATGGATCTTATTGATTCACAACAACGTCGTCTACTTGTAGCGGTATTCATAGTCAAGCTCGACTCCACGACATGCTACATAATAATCATTGACCAAATGACTTTAAAGATCCATTCCACCACTTCCATCATATAATTTATTTATTTATTTATTTATTTATTTATTTATTTTAACACATAAGTATAGGTACAGGGAGGCACCAAAATACATATGCGCCACACGAATCTCAATTGATTTGTGTGATGGCTGTGATACTGCCCGGGTGCCCAAACAGAAGCAGGTGGTTGTCTTAGGGGGCCACACCTCGAGCCTTTGACCTGAACGTCTGACCCACAAGACAGTGGAGAGCATCGTAAGGAGATGCAGTCCCATGGTAGCCGGTGACCAACGATTGGTTCATACGCCATTTTTCCTTTAGGATACTGGAGCTAGCCCATGTGCACCATTGGTTTGGGGTCCGGTTATAGCGCCGGACATTCGCTTTTCGTCCTCTCATTTTTGTAAACAACACCCCCGCGACGTGAAGGCAGTGAGTAGGACTTCCCTGGCAGGGTCTATATACGCATGGCCATGTGAGAGCATTTCGAGAGGCAGAGCGGACTCTCCCCACTCTCAACCGTACCACGGCCTTTGGAGGCTCCATCATATAAAGATCCAACATCAATTACAACATCCAAAATGATAATCATTTCATCACACGTACCTTGTGAAAATATTGTAACCAATCGAAATGCTTCACCATAATATATTATTGGAAATAAAGGCATAAATGTCTACAAACAAAAAAATATGGATTACATTTTATATTACCCATGGTCTAGATAGAATAATCGATTTCTTCATAGAATCAAATATCACTGGAGATGATTGATTGAATCTTATTGATTCTATATAATAATAATGATCTATCTAATTATATATAGAGATGATTGATCTAAACTATGATTACTTGTAGAAATGGTTCATCTGTATCATGATTGATGATCCCGATTATTGATTGATGATTAGAGTAGACAAGTTTCATAAAACACAACCATAAGAATACGTTGAAATGAACAGTATCAGACATGACTTTAATAAGTAGTATCAATAGTGTATGAATTGAGATGTTGTTCTATTTTCATGCTTTATATAATGATAAGAGAGAAGATGAAATAATGAATCAGCTGATTGTCTAGTTCTAGTGGAATTTACTTGATTACTTTAATGAATCTGGTGACTGTGTAATGTGAAGTGAATAATGTCTGGTATAGAGAGAAGTAAGTATTCTTAAGGTCAATGGAATCTTTTCATCATTAAAATATCTTCTTTTAATGTTGAATAGATAAATTATTGTAAGTGATTATGATATAGAGGGAATATGGAAAACATTCACATCAACAAACGGATACCTCTGTAGCGTGATGTCGAGTTGAGCTTGACTATGAACACCGCTACAAGACTACGTGCCAATTAACCAATAAGATCCCCGTAGGTCAACATCAGAAGACAGATGATGGCTGTAGTCGAGATGTATTTGTTGGCGATCTCGTGGTATCGAAAGAATATCGAGATCGTGCCAAAGGAGTACAAGCGTGGTTACTGAGCGTAACCGAATTCGTACAAGTTCAAAGTCAACGGGAGAGTAAGTAAGTATAATGGCTGTCATTAGCACAGTAGAACAATCACTGGTACAATTGGTTATAATAATAATTGTTTTCATCGAACCAATCGCGTTCTGTTGACAAAAGTAGGTCACTACACCGCCTCTACTCAGATGTGTAGATCTTCATAATCTAGTCAAACATCAGAAGAAGAAGGATTGAAGAGAGATTATACAGTCTTGTTTGACTGTGGTTTTCACTTGAATGTGTCTATCAGCTGTTCTTCATGTAAAAATTTGCAGTGTAGTCGGTTGTGTTTCTTCGGTATGATATTGATGATTTTCTCAGTTACTCACTACATAGTATTCATGAGGGTTGTATAAGGTCGTTGTATTCATAATATATATACATATATATATATATATATATATATATATATATATATATATATATACAAATTGTGTACATGATTGTGTATATGTAATTAATCTTAGGATGTGTAATGTTCTTTTATGATATGATTGTTCACTTACTTGGCTATATTATCTTAATTAGGCCTGTTTGAATATCTGGGCTACCTGTTCCTGACATCTGGATATTTGAACAAGTTAACTGTTTTCTTGTTTGTTTTAACACATCATCATGCCTATTAGTCTCATAACTTATTCAGGTGCGTTTGTGAAAAGTTTACGGCATTTCGCTGTACATGTTTTAAAAGAGCTCAATCAGAGACATCATGGTTACTGGCAATATCCATAGAAAAGGATATACATTTATCAGATGTCGATTCCTGAACCGCTAACATCTAATTGGCGACGATTCAATATTTATCGCAAGGAACTGATCAAGAAATAAGAAAGGGAAACTTGTTGAAATACTTTGTGCTGAGAATTCTATATTATACCAAAAATATAATATTGAATAAAGCCACTAATAGTTATAATAATTATAATAAAGTCACTCATTCACACCTGTTGTTGTCCCTCGTGAATGAGCATAGGTCGTCCACCAGCATTCTCCATCCAACCTTGTCATGGACAATCCTTTCCAGCTCTTTCCAGTTGTTATTCATCCTTCTCATATCTTCTTCTATTTCTCGACGTAATGTGTTCTTTGGCCTTCCTCTTTTCCGCTTCCCTTCCGGATTCTAGTTTAGCTAGTTCGAAACTAGCTCCATTAGTTTTTTCTAATATATTTCTACGTTATACTAGCTGTCTTCTGATTGGCTAATATTCTCAAGGTCGCTAAAATTCGCTTAAAGGTCGTCCCTAAATTAGTGTCTTGCCGCCCTTTTAATACTTTCGTACAATAGATTCTCTGTTAATGAAAAAAGGAGGGTTTGGCGTGGGGTCGACAACTTCATCCTGTATAAAACAATCTTACCAAAAAACAATCACTAACCGGAATAACCAATTTAAACCATTTAAACTTTGCCCTCCGAGTTGAAGGAAGAATTATGATGCCTCATGATGAAAGCCGAGAAAAGAGGATGGCTCTTCTAACAACCAGAGAAAAATGTACACGCAACGTCCAGACCATGTGGAAGACCGGAGCGTCCAGTCAAATGGTAAAAAGAATGAAGAGATACAACATGGCGGTTCACCGAATAGTCGAAGCCCATTCGACCCAAGCTGGTAGAAAGTATTAGATTTGGGAGAGATTCTGCTGTACTCTTGTCACGAAGAAAATGTTCCGCGAACTCGGAGACTTTCTCTGATGCTGTTTAGAGAGGCACGTAAAATACTTACAAGATGAGAATCTCATGTAAACAGAATCATCAAAGCATCCTACTTACCAAAGAGGGACGGAATCACAATGAATTTTATTCAGTGTTGTGTACCAACCAATGATAGCAAGGACGATGATGAAGATCACTTTTTGAGAGGTTGCAATTAATTATAAAGAAGTACTTAGAAAATGACCTGACCATCCTAATGGCAGACCTAAACGCCAAAGTGGGAATGGACAACACCGTGTGTGAACATATCATGGACGGCATGGATTGACTGACAGAATGAAGGACAATTGAAAAAGGGATCAAAGAAACACCAACTCCAACGTGTCAAGAGTTGCTGAGTCGCAATAAACATCATCGTAAGGAATAGATCTCTATCAAAACCCTAGAAAAGATTGAAGAAACCAACAAAGAGAAAACAGCAATTAACAACAGCCGAACAAGAACAGAGAAAGCCAAGGAACAGGCTGAATAAATGAAAGCTAATAGTCAAGTGAAGTAGAGCATTGAGTTTGACAAGCAGAACAACATGGAAAAAGTAACAACGACATCACAAAAAAGTTGCAACAGAAGAAGATTGAAACAACTATATGGCACGAGGAAGAAGGTTTCAGTGAAATATAGTAAACTAGAGAGACTGGTCAAGGATAAAGAAGACAAGCCAATCACTAAAATCCAAGGACAGTAGAATAGATGGGCGGAACACATTGATGAATTCATGAATAAAAAAGCTCTATTGAATCCACCGGACATCAAAGCAGCACCTACCAACGATTGAATGAAAGAATTAAGGTCATCAGAAAAATCAAAATTGGGAATACAGTAGGACCTGAGAACATACCAGATGAAGCAATGAAGTCACACATAGAAGTAACAGCAAACATACTTCAGGTTCTATTCAAGAAGATTCGGGAGGAAGAACAAGTACCACAGACAGACTGGGAAGAAGGAAATCTTTTAAAAATACCAAAGAAAGGAGATTTAAGCGAGTGTGAGAACTACAGATGCAATACACTAGTATAAATACGAGGAAAAGTGTAGTTGAACCAGATGAAAGATTCAATAGACGCTAAACTTTGAAATTAACAGACTGGTTTCTGTAAGGATCGGTCGTGCACAGATCAAATCATCACAGTGCAAATAATCGTTCAACAATAAATTAAATGGAATTTGTCACTATACATCAACTTCCTCGACTATGAGAAAGATTTTGATAGTGTGCATGAGAAGACCTAATACAACCTTCATGAATACTATGTAGTGAGTAACTGAGAAAATCATCAATATCATACCGAAGAAACACAACCGACTACACTGCAAATTTTTACATGAAGAACAGCTGATAGACACATTCAAGTGAAAACCACAGTCAAACAAGACTGTATAATCTCTCTTCAATCCTTCTTCTTCTGATGTTTGACTAGATTATGAAGATCTACACATCTGAGTAGAGGCGGTGTAGTGACCTACTTTTGTCAACAGAACGCGATTGGTTCGATGAAAACAATTATTATTATAACCAATTGTACCAGTGATTGCTTTACTGTGCTAATGACAGCCATTATACTTACTTACTCTCCCGTTGACTTTGAACTTGTACGAATTCGGTTACGCTCAGTAACCACGCTTGTACTCCTTTGGCACGATCTCGATATTCTTTCGATACCACGAGATCGCCAACAAATACATCTCGACTACAGCCATCATCTGTCTTCTGATGTTGACCTACGGGGATCTTATTGGTTAATTGGCACGTAGTCTTGTAGCGGTGTTCATAGTCAAGCTCAACTCGACATCACGCTACAGCGGTATCCGTTTGTTGATGTGAATATTTTCCATATTCCCTCTATATCATAATCACTTACAATAATTTATCTATTCAACATTAAAAGAAGATATTTTAATGATGAAAAGATTCCATTGACCTTAAGAATACTTACTTCTCTCTATACCAGACATTATTCACTTCACATTACACAGTCACCAGATTCATTAAAGTAATCAAGTAAATTCCACTAGAACTAGACAATCAGCTGATTCATTATTTCATCTTCTCTCTTATCATTATATAAAGCATGAAAATAGAACAACATCTCAATTCATACACTATTGATACTACTTATTAAAGTCATGTCTGATACTGTTCATTTCAACGTATTCTTATGGTTGTGTTTTATGAAACTTGTCTATTCTAATCATCAATCAATAATCGGGATCATCAATCATGATACAGATGAACCATTTCTACAAGTAATCATAGTTTAGATCAATCATCTCTATATCATTAGATAGATCATTATTATTATATAGAATCAACAAGATTCAATCAATCATCTCCAGTGATATTTGATTCTATGAAGAAATCGATTATTCTATCTAGACCATGGGTAATATAAAATGTAATCCATATTTTTTTGTTTGTAGACATTTATGCCTTTATTTCCAATAATATATTATGGTGAAGCATTTCGATTGGTTACAATATTTTCACAAGGTACGTGTGATGAAATGATTATCATTTTGTATGTTGTAATTGATGTTGGATCATCATATGATGGAAGTGGTGGAATGGATCTTTGAAGTCATTCGGTCAGTGGTTATTCAATGTCATTCTTTTACGTGATATACTTGATTCTGAAAGTACGCAAGTGATGATACAATTTATAAGATGACCATAGACTACCTTCATTCCCAGCTATCCTTGTTCAACTGGTCAGGCAGAAGATTTTATCAGGACAATGAAAACTGCTAATGTTTTTATTATCGCTTAAATTTTTATTGATCTAGAGAGGGGAGTAGATACTTTGCTTCTGCAATGTGGAAATGCTAAACATCCTGTGACGAAAGAGGCTCCATCGAATTTATTAAAAAGAAGAATTCTTCGGACGAATATGAGATGTTTGGAGTCTGCAGAAGTTACATATTATCGTGGCAATGATCTTCGGCCATCCACGGGTATTGTTGTGACGAATGTAGGGAAATCTATGGTACGAATTCTAGATGTCAGTGACTTAAGTACACACAACCAACATATTGATCAATTACGATTTCAGGAACCAGGTGAGTCTGTTCCAATTTCGGTTGTTCATTATGTACTAATGAGTACATTCAAGATAATACAGAGTCTTTATCCAATACACTATCGGACAGGCACAGGATGAACTTAAGAAGAAGACGTACAATCAATTATAGACACGTAGACTTCAATTTAAGCTGTGGCGGATGTGGTGTTTGTATGATCTAACGATTTCTTTGTACTTGTTGAATACTTGATTTCGAATTCCAAATGCAGTACATTCGTTCGTGATTATCCAGTACTTCTTGATTAAATTTCGTTATTTCTAGGATTCCTAGTTGGTACTATAATTCAAGCACTTCTTATCATCAAACATATGCAACTGGGGTTTTTACATAGATTATATCAGTAAAAACAAGTGTCCATACATTTGTGCTGATGTCCTAGGATTTTTATAATGAGCTTTATGTGTGAGTACTGTACTGTGAATTGTACTGTCATGTATAGTCAGTGATTTTCTTAGTGACAAAATAAAGATCACTTTTCTCTTTCACTTGTGACACTTTACATGAATACTTTCATTCAATATCCACTGTTTTTATGCATTAAATGAGAAAAACGGACATTGGTGTTCGATTGTAATATTACATTACCACTGTTACTAAAAATCCACCACAGTATAGTTTTTAAGGTCTGTTTAGAAGATGGCTTGACGTCCACGTTGAGGCCCTGGAAACACGAATCAGGCCCAAACTCAGCATTATTGTGATAGAATCCTGGTCCTGCTAAACATTTATGCAATACAATGTTTTAAGAAGTTTATAGTTGTTATAAAGTGCTCTCAGTGTGAGCCATGGCTTTGGAAAACCTGTACGTAAAGTTTGTTTTAGGCGTAAGTCGTTCCATAGCTGTGCACTGATGAGTGATACTGAAAAACGATATAAGAATGGAGGATCAAAGTATTTGAATACTAACCCTTAACAATGTTGAACAGTATGTAGCAGAACAGAAAAAGGCATGATGAATTGGAGAACAAACTTCACACTATCTGCTGTTGTTAGGGTGAAATGTGGTTTGATCCTTCAGATAAAAGAATACAGTAATAAAAAACAGTGAGTTGTGATATGTAACAAGGTGAAATTGGTTCAAGTGATGCAAGGGAAACCGAAGTTGGAACAAGAAAGCCATTTATTATAATGGAAAGTGCGTTAAACGAGAGTTCGGTGCCAAGAAACTAATAACTATATCTTTTCTTGTCTGCTTTTTAAGAAGAAACCAGACAACTAGTGAATATGTCTTCATTTAGATCGCGTGGCAGTCACAGTGGTGCCGGGGATTACCTGTTCAAACACACAAAGCTTTTCAACATTCAAGATAAGATGATGGGAAATATAATGTCTATACAAAATAAGGAAGTGGATGAACACTTGAGCTCTATTGTTCTGGCACATACTTAGTTGTTTGAGGTCGACTCTTGACTAATCAACTTAAGTTATTACAAATTCAACATAAGATTGTAAACGTGGGTCCGAGTAACGAGCGTAGGAGAACAACCTCAGTATCACTGGTTGATTACCTTGTCCTCAATCATAAATAGCCTGAAACAAATAAAATGCTTTGCCCCATAAACATAGGTGGATTGAAGTCACCACCCTCGCCATCAATACTTTCTGGTCAATAACTCCACCATTCCTTCTGTTCTGATGCTAGACTCATTAAGGTTTGCTTTTAGGTAAATTATTACGTTTCACGCGATGCTCTATGTTTTACATCCTGTCGGAAATCACTAATTCCGAAAGCACCATTTTACAAGTTTATCAGGCGTTTACAAAATATGAACTGCGTATAAGGAATTGATACAATGCGTTAAATATCTGTAGCATAAATTAAATGTTTCTAAACAGAGTTTAAGTACTTAGAATGGTATAGTGGCAGTCAAACGTTTACAGAAGTGGGCGAAAATGTGTGCAAGTACAGTAATTATAAATAAGGTAACGAGTAGTGAGATGAAATTAATCGTAAGTTCACAAAGTGCATTTGGAATTTGTAAACTGGTGAAATATATACATGAGAGGACTCACATGAAGCAAGGACTTCATCAAAATGTCATACGGACATATATAATCCATCAGTCATGAGTATTTTAGAGGGAAGACTATTCCATATTAATGCATACTTGATGAGTAAGGAGTTCATTCCAGTTTTTGATCTGTATTTTTTCGACCTTGTATATACTTTATCGCGATGGTCATATATACGTCGGTTTTGGATAATGTCTGTATTACAAGCGGAGAAAGATTTTTTAGAGCTTAAAGTATGGGATTAAACATAACCTAAGCCTTCTTTTCAAGAGTTGTTTAAGTTCTAGGATATGGTGTCCGGATTGATGATCAATTGGTGAATTATTTTTAAGTATTTTGGGAATGATATTCATTGGATTTCCTTATTTTCTTCCTTTCCTTCTTTGAACTCAATTCAATGACCTTCTCAATTACACAGACCCTGATTTATTATTATTCTATTATTAACACTCTCTTTTTCAAATATGGCAAATATAATGCTAACATTATTAAAACTTGTGTATTATTGCATTTTTGAAGAAACCCGAAATGGTTTCTTCACATCACTCATGTACCCATAAGATGTTTGTGAATAATAATAATATTATCGGATAGGTGTAAGTTGAAAAACAAGAACGAACAATGTTCGAGGGCGAGTATTGCTCATGTCTTGTCAAGGATTGCTCTAGGTTTATTTCGAAAGAAGTTACGACTAGTTCAGCCTTGCAACTTTTTGTGTTGTAGATGCTTTGGTAGAGATACATTCAAAGACGTTTGGACTGAGAGTAATGCACCTCAAGGTCAGTCACTTATGTGAGTTTGGGCAGTACGTTTTCAGTAAGTTCTAGTTTTACTTTAGCAGACGCGTCTCTGATACATAATCCGCCAAATTTCTTTGTGTTGAGTTCTAAGCTCTAGCACTTTAACCAGTTTTCTATATTGGGGGTAACATCCAAAAATTAGATATAACATAGCAGAATGTAGTGTGGCTACACCTTTTACTCTTGACGAGTGGTAAGATTCTGGAGTTTTATGCTGGCCTATGTAATCTCAGGAGCTCCTCAAGAGGAAACGTGAGATGTTATTAAGAACTCAAGATATAATCTTACTTTAGTTTACTAATATTTTTTTTAATCAATAAATACACGTTGACTCCTACTAGGAGGGATTGGTTATTCACCACTACTCGATGCGAAAACCCGTTAAGTCAAAGCTTCTATCCTGTCCAGAACCATATGATGACAATGGATATACCTCCAACACTTCAAAGTGTAAAGTCGTCCATCCGAGACATGTTGTAGGCTACAAATACAACTTAGGCAACCTCCCTTTAGAGGTATTTCAAGATGAAAAACTATCTACGAGTGTTGATACCCTTTCTTTTGATGTCTTACTCCAACTGTAACAAAAATACCCTCCAAGCAAACCTTGCACTGGTAACTTTGAAGCGCATTTTCAGCCAGTTGGACGGAGGAACTTTCCACACAATCTTCATCAGTTTTATTTATCCTAATTGAGAATATGGAAACACAGTATTTCCTTCCTCACTCCAAAATGGCAAGGACTCTCTGAAACGTATCGACGAGTCAAAATATCAGTCCGGTTCTCAGATTCAAGACTTATGAAAATCGCCTCCAATCATTGATCGTTTACCCGTTAGAGCACAGGCGTCTTAGAGGTGATATTCTAGGGACATAGCATTTTAAGCACTTCCGGGCGTCCCCTCTAACACCACTTTGAGCTTAGACTCAACACAAACCTTGGGGGTTGCACCCAGAAACTGGAGACTCAACACAGCAGAACGAATTGTAGACATACCTTCTACTTCTTAAGAGTAGTCGAATGTTGGGATTCGCTGTGGACTGAGCCTGTCCAAGCCACTTCTCAGAAGTCCTTTAAAAGAAAACTTGGCGCATTCCTAAAGACTAAGTACAGTATCTCATTATGATTTTTTATTTCTTTTCACAGTATACGCGCGTGTTTCAGAAAGAGCAGTGACTTTGTATTTGTTGTGATCATCCATGATTTTGTGGACTTGTTGCATCAAAAGCATTCTTGGTCTACTTTATCCTAAAGTACTTTGGTTGGGGTTTTAAATCTTGCTAAAGTTTATCTTGTGGTACCTTCTTACTCATTGACTGACACTTGTGTTCACATTGTGATCCTATTGTGTTTTAAACCTTCTTTATCTGATTATAATGGTTGGTTGTACTTATAAATGTGGACAACCAAACTGTTTGTTCCCTGTGGAGGACGGGATGCAGTGTGACGAGTCCAAAAAGCGGTTCCATGAGATGTGTACCCGTTTAAGTCACACCTCACACAAAATATGCTCGAAGCCTAACTCGCATTGTCATTGCGTGTTTTGCTGTGCAAATAAGACGTTACTAATACAGAAGGGTATGAACCTATTGGCTTTGGCCTGTAAGAAGAACGAACACTGACAGTGAGGAATATGTCAGTGCAGTACGTGCTGTTACGAGATGCCTTAAACACCTGACTGTGACTGATGGAAAAGTGAAATCTCCGTTAACGTTAACGAGGAAGGAAGTACCACCTGACATTGACATTGGTAATCATGCACCTCTAGTAGAAATTGAAGATCCTGATAAAACCGTTGCCCTTCCAAATAGTCCCGGTGTCCTGAGGGATCAGAAATGGACTACAGTACGGAGAAAACGAAACGAAAGGAAAAAACATAAAGGCAGTACTCAGCTGGTTCGTAAGTCATCCGTGAACTCACATTGTGAGTCACAAAACGCACTACCAAAGTCTTATAGTAGGAGGGAATTCCACTATGGCGTGACTGAGAAGGAGGATCTAATATCATCGAATATTATTGTTAGCGAGTTGCTGGAGTCAAAGGAACGTCATTCCACGCGCATGATTAAGAGAAGCTTTAAGGATATATTCGTAGTATCTTACCAGATAACTATAAAGGAGTTCAGTTCAAAAAATGTTTAGAATAGGTAAGAGGACCGAGGACATTGTTGAACCTCGACCATGCAGACTCCTTACAGTAATCCTAAGATCGGAGAAGCAACGGGATCTCCTGCTCAGTAGCGCTCGTAATCACAATTCCGACATCCGAGTTAGACCTGATATGTCTCTCGAAGATATAATAAAAGAGAAGAAAGCACTAGCTCAACTAGGAAACCTGTCGACAAAACGATGAGGAAAATCTCCAGTTAGTGGGTTTTCGGATAGTCAGGTCTTGAAAGCGAATGCTACGAAGGCCTGTGTGGATAGGCCGTTCTACCTAGGAGTTTTATATGCTAACGCTCGTAGTCTAAGAAATAAGCAGACGGCTTAGAGACTGGATAGACGCGATAATATGTCCGGTGTATAAGGCTGGGAGTAGGGATTTTGTTAGGAACTATAGACCCGTTAGCTTAACTACTGCAGTTGTAAAACTGATGGAAAAAATCGTTCGGATATCTGTTATAAGCTATTTTTAAAGGCATAATCTTTTCTCTAGGGAACAACATGGTTTTCTGAGAGGCCTATCGTGCTTGACAAATCTTCTCATTGCAGGAGAAGGTTGGGCTGCTGTAAAAGATCAGAATATTCCTGTAGGTGTGATCTTCATCGATCTAAGTAAGGCTTTCGATAGGGTCTCCCATTCTGATCTTAAATTAAAACTGGAACGTTTTGGAATCCATTATACAGTTGTAGATTGGATAAGTAACTTTCTCCATTACAGGAGACAAATAGTAAGGGTTAATGGGTACCTGTAAAAAGTGGAGTTCCCCAAGGTACGATCCTCGCTCCTCTTTTCTGTTTGCTTTATATAAATGAATTACCAACTGTAGCATGATGACATAAAAATTTGGATACCCGTGCACAGTACTACAGGATGATCTTAGCTCATTGGTGGCATGGTTGGACAAGTGGTTACTAGAGGTAAATCCTAATAAGAGTGTGGTGATGCAATTAAATAACTATGATGACTCTTATCTCTACATAATATGTGGATTCGTGCTACCCAAAGTAAGAAACTGTAAAGATTTAGGAGTCATTAAGCAGTGATCTTAAAACCAATAGTCACTGTAAGGCTGCTGCTGCGAAAGGCTATGGGGTGTTATGGTCTACTCCTAGGTCTTTCCAGTATTTGGATGACGAAATGTTTTAATTATTATACCCTATTTACGTGCGACCACATTTAGAATATGGGATTCGAGCAGTGAGTCCGTGTTCCAAGTATGAAGTAGATATGCTGGAAAGAGTCCAACGACGAGGTATTAAGATAGTACAAGGTCTATCTGGACTTATGAAGACGAACTGAGACACCTTGACTTATTTCTGTTATCTTACCGTAGAGTACGGGGTGATCTAATATTGTCTTATCGTATACTGAACGATGACCTTAGTATCAACATGTTTTATCTTTTACTTCCATCTAGGAATGATGGTTTGAGAGGACATTCGCAGAAAGTTCAAAAACCGAGATCAAATCGTTTACGTCTGGAGTTTCGTTTCTCGCACCGAGTAGTGAATTACTAGAATTCTCTACCGCAACACGTAATATCAGCACCTTCTGTTGATATATTCAAAACGAGATTGGACCTCTACAGTATTACAAATTGTAAGGATTAATATAGGTCGATAGGCTTTCTATCCTTATTACTGAAGACCGAAAAATTTGGAGTTTGAACGTAAACGTGGCGCCTAGATTGTAGAGTTTGGTGTACTTCATTTTAATGGCATTCCAATATGAATATGCAGTAGTAAGCCAAATACCCAGATCGTTTGAAGAATTTTTGATGTCACCTGATGCCAACGTACCAGGAAAAAAGGGAGGAAAATTCAACTATGAGGAGGCTTGTAATGAGAGAGAAAAATTCGTTGAGGCCTTGAGACAAAACGGAGTAGATGTACTTGAAATGGAAGCGGATGAACGTCATCCTGAGTGTGTAAAAGTAGACGACACAGCTGTCATAATTAATGGAACGGCACTGATGTGTAACCCATATCGATGTCACAGACAAGGAGAAGTAGAATATATTTAGTTGGTTTTCTAATATTTCTAGGTCAACCTAATTCGTCATACTCTCAAAAAAGAACTGGGAATTAAAATAGTTGAGTTGAATACAGAAAATGCTCAAGTCGAAGGAAGTGATGTCCTTTTCACAGGTAACTTTACACATGTACAAGTGATGCGATAAAAACTTTTTTCACTCTTCATTGCTATAAATACCCATTTTTAAAATCTCGTTTAGTCACATATATGTTTGAAAAGCTTTAGCCAATCGTCCAGCAAATTTTGGATACACAATAAGTAAGCTTTTTTGCAGATTCGAGGCGATTTCAAACGTTCCAGGTTTTGTGACTTCTTAAGCCTTTTTAGAGCATTGATGAAGATATCCTATAGGATTTTGCACCTGACATAAAGTTTAAATTAGAATATGCTATTAATTGAATGGTTTAGCATGTAAACTATGAACCAGATATACTAAAAAGCATTCAAATGTAAGTAAATACATCCGGATATCGTAACATTTCTCCACTACTCTGATCTAATTTACGTATTGGAAAATACTACCTGCGCACATAAACACTGAGTTCATGTTTCACGTGTTACAAAAGTTCTCTATCTTCTGCGTAACTTTTGGACTATAAATATGTACTTATATAGCATTTCAAACAGCATTTCTCAATAGTTAGTAGACATTTCTAAATCTGCGCTGATATTTGTAGGTTGGTGGATGACTGGATTTTATCACAGTTCTGTTTACATTTCACCCATCTATAATACATGTTTCTCAAAGTAAGAAACACTTTCAGGTTATAGTGATTTGATGGCAGTTTCTTAAGTATCACCTGCATGTAGTTAATCCACTGTATAAATAATATGTTGGATGTAAAGTACTAGTTACAACAAGTCACCGTTCTATTGAATTTTGCGGGATAAGGCGATTGATCCATACACAGCTTATGAGGAACCATAACCTACCTTAGTTCGTTATTCCGGTCAGTATAAGAGCAAGCGGGAGACAAGTCATGAATAATCAGGGCAGAATATCAGTCAGTCACGACATAGAACCTGTACGTACGTACATCAGTCCAAGTTTCCATACCCTATTAACACAAATAAATTTTTTAGACCAAATCTCAGGATAGTAGAGGTTGTAAAACTATCGCTGATAATGGGAAATATTAGGCACCGGACACACGACTCCGAAAGAAAACATAAATTAGAGAAACAAAAACTAAGAAGTCATGAGGAATTTAGTATCTCAGGATTTTAGGGGGAGACAAAGAATAGATGCAACCCTGCGATTTCAAACGGTTTTGAGTCATGCAATTTAAAGTCGCTAACCATTGGCTACGATAATCACGCACATGCTAACCACGTAGTCTACACCTATTAACATCGATAAGTTCAATTGTCAGTAGATTCATCAACTGACGCTATGTTTTAGTTTGGCTTCCCTTAGCTTCCTCCTACCCTACTCCTGCACCAGGAAACGTCTCCCGTCGAGGTAGGCAATGGTCGGACATACGTAACAAGTATCCCTACCACCTCAGTTATTGAAGGTTTAACATCTCATCAATCGATTTCCATCCTTATCTAGTATCTTATTCCTAATTCAGACATTGCTTACTCCATGGTCCTAAAATACACGAGCAATGCTTCAAAGAAACTTATGATTAGATACCAGTAACCTACGAATATCCTCTACTCTTAATGACCACGCTTCACACCCGTGGAGTAGAACAGAGCGTACTGCTGCACGGTCAGCCCGCACTTTGATTGGAGGACGGATGTTTCGCCTATGCCACAAGTGACTCAAGTTGGCGAAAAGCCAATCGAACCTTCTGAATCCGTGCCGAGATTCTGTCAGACACCAGTTAGAGGTTTTTTATAAACTGGGAAGATCAGGGACCCCCAAATGCCTTGGTACGGCCGAGAGTGGGGAGAGTCCGCTCTCCCTCTCCAAATGCTCTCACATGGCCACGCGTACATAGCCCCTGCCAGGGAAGTCCTACTCACTGACTTCTCGTGGCGGGGGTGTTGTTTACAAAAATGAGAGGACGAAAAGCGAATGTCCGGCGCTTTAACCGGACCCCAAACCAATGGTGCACATGGGCTCCAGTATCCTGAAGGAACAAATGGCGTATGAATCAATTTATTGGTCACCGGCTACCATGGAACTGCATCTCCTCACGATGCTCCACTGCCTTGTGGGTCAGACGTTCAGGTCAAAGGCTCGGGGTGTGGCCCCCTAAGAAAACCACCTGCTTCGGTTTGGGCACCCGGTCAGTATCACAGCCCTCACACAAATCAATTGAGATTCGTGTGGCGCATATGTATTTGGCGCCTCCTTGTACCAATACCTATGTGTTAAAATAAATAATAAATAAAGATAGGATTACGTTCATTTTCCATACTTTAGCTAAGTTTTCAGTTAATCTGACTGCTAAAACTGGACCACAACCCTTAAAAATTGCAGGGGTTAGTCCATCAAGCCCCGCTGCTCTCTCTCGCCTAAGATTACTTGTAGCCTTTTCAGCCTCATTAGGAGTTAATGGACTTACATCAGTTTGCCATTCAATTTGCTAGAGGCCAGTTAAACTGTTCCCTAAAGTGTTTTGGCCATCAGTTTAATCTAAATTGACGGTGAGTAATAGTCTTTTTACGAGTTAGTTTCATTAACAGCCAGATTATTAATACCCGTTACCTTGATATGCTTGGTCAGTTATCTACTGTTACCTGTCTCTGCTGAAATCCGCTGATTTGTCCCAACCTTTTGGTTTAAGTTACTAGTGAATACCACAGTTTTTTGGATATCGTGGTAAGTTACCTCAGGTTGGATATCGCTTTCACGGTTGACTAACTCCTATAGTTATTCCTTTTGCTTATTCCTAACTTTCTCATCATTACGTTGAAATTCAACATTGCTATTAGCAATTGATGAGTCGAATGTGGAGGTCACCACGTCATACGATGTTTATTCCTGTATTCAAATTCGGTGTTTGCCAGAAATGGACGGTTATTTGAACATAGTTGCAACAGACGGTCGTCATTATCTGTTCATTGAGTCGCAACACCATAAGATCCGCCTAAGTGTCTTTCGGTTTGGGTTAGTTTCCCTAATTGAGCACTAAAAGCACCTGCCACTATTACTACATCTGAGCGTTTAGCTTTTTGGAGGTTGGATTGTTTTCTGTAAAACTGTTGGGAATGTTAGATCCCCAGAACTCACTGAGTAAATGTCTTGTTTCTGCAAGTTTATTTTGGAAATTTGAATTTCTTGTTTTCACACTAAAAGCGTCCATTTTCACCTTCATGTCGTATTCCTCATTTCAGAAAACCTTAAATGTTATTAGTTCGCTGTCTCTCTTAATATGTTATTTTGTAACGTTTTCAAAAGACATTTTTATGCTATATATACGCTTAAATTGTACTTGTGGTTGTTGTTCGTGCTTCTGGATGCTCATGGAATACATTTCCCTCTCAGAATCTAGACTTCTCTCTCTAGTTAGTGGGGCTGGGACGCATCGGAATAGTTAGCTTATTTGATCATTATGTCACTGAGTCTTCATTCCGTTCGCAGATTAGGTAAACTCGTAATCTCTTCAAACATAGCAAAAACCCATCTTTAACTTCGTTTTAGTTGCAATTGGTGGAAGTGTAGGCAGAAACAACTAAAAAGCAACTATGTGTCCCTATCTTTTCGAGTTCCTGCTGTCCCTATTAGTCTGACAGCTCATAAATGACTGTCTATTGCAATCAAGTCTGACAGAGTCAATTCTACTTTCGAACTTAATGCTATACCTGCACCAACGAGGCCTCGGGACGTAGCAGTGGGGGCTCCAGATACTGGAAGTGTAAATCTTGCTAGTTTTTCATATTGTCAAGGTGAGGTAAAATGAATGATTGTACTTGGATTCCGTATGCGCGTCTCGGAGACGCAGTATACATCGATGGAGCGTGATTGTCGAGTCCTAGCTAAAGAAGCCTGTTTTCCCATCAGAAACAGGGTTTGAACACTGAAAGCTCTGACATGTAGTTTGGAGTGTGGTTTAAGGGGACCGGGAACAACATTACGTGAGGTCAAATCATTAGCATTAGTGATGCTTGGTGATAAAGATAAATGAGAAGTATTAGTCGTGGGGATAGAAGAATTATTAAGAGGTGGTGAGAGGATTCACTTGTGAACAAGATGAATTCAGATGTTGATAGTGGTTAGCATGAAGACGAATGCCACGTCTCGGTTGCCGACATCGTGGAAGCATATTCCTTGTTGAGGGACCTGAAAACGAAGCTGAATTAGTGGTGGTCATAGAGACTTGGTAGCGTAATCACAAAGCCGAAGGAACGATGGCTTGAGGCCGGTAGCGCACTGCCTTTTTATGGGGAGGTTTTGATGTGTTGGCTCCTCACTTGAAAAGGTTTTGCTGTCGGAGACGGAAATCCATGAGGTAATGTGAGATGTGAAATCTTTATGGTAGACCTTTTCTAACCCGTTTCTTTCGTCGTGAGAATGCAACGTGGCTACAGGTGCTGGTTATCCAAAAGAAACACATTAATGCTCTCACATCCCTTTACAGTAAGCAATACGACTTCCCCATCGAGCCTGAAGTTTCTGCCTTTAATCTTGCTGTTCTCTAACCGAGCTTCCTGACATAGTAAGACCTAAAGAAACATGATTTTTAGGTAATATAGCTCGGTTGCGTCATCATGATAGACAAGCCCGATCACCACTTCGAGGTGGCAGGTACAGTCGGGGGTCAGAATATACCATCACTCAATGATTTATTTATTTTAACACATAGATATCGGTACAAGGAGGCACCAAATACATATGCGCCACACAGATCTCATTTGATATGTGTGAGGGCTATGATACTGACCGGGTGCCCAAACCGAAGCAGATGGTTTTCTTAGGGGACTACACCCGGAGCCTTCGACCTGATTTATTATTTTTATTTATTTTAACACATAAGTATAGGTACAGGGAGGCACCAAGTACATATGCGCCACACGAATCTCAATTGATTTGTGTGAGGGCTGTGATACTGACCGGGTGCCCAAACCGAAGCAGGTGGTTTTCTTAGGGGGCCACACCCCGAGCCTTTGACCTGAACGTCTGACCCACAAGGCAGTGGAGCATCGTGAGGAGATGCAGTTCCATGGTAGCCGGTGACCAATAAATTGATTCATACGCCATTTGTTCCTTCAGGATACTGGAGCCCATGTGCACCATTGGTTTGGGGTCCGGTTAAAGCGCCAGTCATTCGCTTTTCGTCCTCTCATTTTTGTAAACAACACCCCCGCCACGAGAAGTCAGTGAGTAGGACTTCCCTTGCAGAGGCTATATACGAGTGGCCATGTGAGAGCATTTGGAGAGGGAGAGCGGACTCTGCCCACTCTCGGCCGTACCAGGGCATTTGGGGGCACAAGACAGTGGAGCATCGTAAGGAGATGCAATTCCATGGTAGCCGATGACCAACGATTGGTTCATACGCCATTTGTTCCCTCTGGATACAGGAGCCCATATGCACCATTGGTCTGAAATCCGGTTAAAGCGTCAGACATTCGCTTTTCGTCCTCTGATTTTCGTAAACAACAGTAATGCCACGAGAAGGTAGTGAATAGGATCTCCCTTGCACAGGCTTTATACGCGTGGCCGTGCGAGAGCATTTGAAGAGGAAGGGTAGGCCCACCCCACTCTCGACCATACGCAGGGCATTTGAGGGCATCACTCAATGAAGTTATCAATGGTTTGTTTAAATTATATGAGGTTTTCTGATGTCATTCTATGAGCTGACTGTGATCGACTGTTAAAGGATATGCGTAGTATAGTTGTATGTAATGGTGATACTCATCTTACTACATACAAGTTTGTGTTCAACTTTCAGCTTTACTTTAAGTTTAATAATACTATTTGGCTTCCCGAACCACAATTTATTCATACCTGATATCTAATAGGTAAAGTTAAGTAGCTTGGTCTTTTAGGTACTGAGCAAGTTGAAAATCGCTAGCACTTTTATTTATACATTCTTTCTTATGTGCTTTTGATTTATATACATTGATCGATGTACCTCATTAAAACCCTACCATACTATATCTTGATATTTTTTATTTTATCATTTGTTTGCACACATGTGCAGTCCATAGCTAATTGTAATAAACTGATACTTGGTTACATGTTTATATTTTCTCAGGTAAATTTGGTTGCTCATATTGTAGACTAACCGTCTGTATTTAACGTTTATTTCAAATTTGTTATTCTAGGTCAAGAAATTATTGTGGGCATTTCCGCTCATACTAATGAGGCTGGTGCTCATGCTGTGGCACGTGCATTCCCAGAATATGCAACTTCTATCGTCAAGTTACCTCAAGCTTTTCGTTCCCTTAAAGATGCTGTTGGTGTGGCTGGGATTAATGTACTGGCAGTAGGCGAAAGTGAAGCAGCTAAACAACTATTAAAGGTATAATATTTTTCACAAATATTGGTTTAAAATGTATTCCCCTTTTCAAATATGTAACAAGAACTATATGAAATGTGCACTTCTATTATTATGTGTCGCAGACCGGTGATCTAGTGGTATGATACTCGCTTTGGGTGTGACTGGTCCCAGGTTCGAATCCCGGCTGGTCCCGCCCTTTGGCCCCCAAATGCCCTGGTATGGCTGAGAGTGGGGAGAGTCCGCTCTCCCTCTCCAAATGCTCTCACATGGCCACGCGTATATAGCCTCTGCAAGGGAAGTCCTACTCACTGACTTCTCGTGGCGGGGGTGTTGTTTACGAAATTGAGAGGACGAAAAGCGAATGTCCGGCACCGGCTTCAACCGGACCTCAAACCAATGGTGCACATGGGCTCCAGTATCCTGAAGGAACAAATGGCGTATGAACCAATCGTTGGTCACTGGCTACCATGGGAATGCATCTCCTCATGATGCTCCACTGCCTTGTGGATCAGATCTTCAGGTCGAAGGTTCCGAGTGTGGCCCTCTAAGAAAACCACCTGGTTCGGTTTGGGCACCCGGGCAGTATCACAGCCCTCACACAAATCAATTGAGATTCGTGTGGCGCATATGTATTTGGTGCCTCCTTATACTAATATCTATGTGTTAAAATAAATAATAATAATAATAATACATTAACAAACGAGGTTAAGCGAAGTTAATTATACCATATCGACTGTTGCTTAACCAACATATGAACATAAGGACCTTAAACTTTCACTCACTAAAGATTGATATCAATATTGATAGACGACTATTTAGTTATTTTCTCGATTCATTTATGATTATCATAATTGTGATACTACTCGGGTGCTCAAACCGAAGTAGGTGGTATTCTTAGGGGGGCCATACTCAAAGCTTTCGACCTAAAGGTTTGATCCACAAGACAGTAGAGCAACACAAAGAGATTCAGTCCCATGGTAGACGGTAATCAATAATTGGTTTATACGTCATTTGTTCCTTTAGGATTTTGGAGCCCATATAGAGCATTGGCTTACAATCAGAGTTTCCCAACTCTCTTAGGAGGACCCCCTGTGTCTATCAATCCGGTTAAAGCGCCGGAGTTTCGCTTTTCATCCTTTCAATTTGGTAAACAACAGTAATACCGCCTAAAGTCAGTGAGTAGGACTTCCCTGACAGAAACTGTATACGTATGGCCATATGAGAGTATTTGAAGAGTAAGAGCTGACTCTCCTCACCCTCGGTAGTATTAAGGCATTTGAGGGGGGGAGGGGGCTACTTCGTTTTCTTTCTCCACTATATTATTTGATATTACTTTTCATTTTCAATAGTATTATGTTTAGCTGATATATGAAAAAGAAAAAAAATCTTTTTTCTACTCTATCATTATTCTATTTGTAAATATATATTTAAATTTTTAGGAAATTGGTCGTGTAGCTTCACATACTTATAAAGTGATTACATTACCAGAGGATTATGCTGCTAATGTTTTATATATTAATCATCATCTATTGCATTTATCATCACAAATGATACCAAAAAGTATTGGAGTAAGTAAAATTATATTATGATATATATTATTACTAGAATGGGTTTTGTGGAGAATTGATAATTTCAATAGTTGAAATCCACAAAATCCATTCTAGTAATAATCATCTGCTCACTAGTGATTGACTTCAAGAGATACTCCTGAAGTTCTAGTGAGAAACCGTGACCAGTGGAGTTCAACCAGGTTTGTTGTGAGATATCAGCTCACTGAAGACAATGGTGTACGGTGGCACAATTTCGTGGATTAGTTGAAGTTAGACATTAACACCGTTGGATGCCGGTTGGCTCAGTAGTCTAGTTGGGCAAGCTCCTGGTGTGACACTGATAGATCCTGAGTTCGAATCCCGCGGGGGGCGGGATCGTGGATGCGCACTGCTGAGGAGTCCCATACTAGGACGAAACGGCCGTCCAGTGCTTCCAGGTTTTCCATGGTGGTCTAGCTTCAATTGATTCATGATTTCAACTATTGATATATATTATTGTTTTCTCATTCTTACTGATATTACTCATTTATTATATTTACATAATTCACAATGATGATCAGGATGATGATGATGATGATGATGGCGTTAATGATAATAAACATCCAATTTTGATATATCAATATTAAAAAGATGTAGGTATATTCATAGATAAGTTCACTTTGTTGAATGTAAAAAGTTTTTTTAAAAGGGAAAAAATATCATTTCTTCAAGGTCAATTAGTCAGTCAATCAATAATCATCAGCGGCACTGAGTTTGAGTTCAAGAGTAGATGTCAACTGAGGAGTCCCAAATAGGACGAAATGCGCGTCTTAGATTCCATTGCTGACTATTATTATTCATCTTTCAGTATAAATCAAAAGTTAGACCCCAATAGTGGTCTTCCTTGATTTAAAAGCAGCGTTTGACTCTGTTGACCGAGAGGTTCTGTGGCACTGTCTGTCATTGAAAGGCGTACCTCAGAAGTACATAAACCTTGTGAAAGCTCTTTACTCGAACAGTACTAGTTGAGTGAGAGCTTATGGCGAACTGTCATCTGCTTTCGAAACCTCAAGTGGCGTCCGCCAAGGCTGTCCACTTTCTCCTTTTTTGTTCAACTTCATCATAGATCTACTGATGAAAATAACGCTCTCATCGACTGAATTCTCAGGTATTGATCTCCTGTCAGGAGGTTCACTTATTGACTTAGAATACGCAGATGACATAGTCCTGTTTGGTGAAGACGCTGATGAAATGCAGAGTCTTTTGGTAGCACTGAGCAACAATGCTAGAATGTTTGGGATGCGCTTCTCTCCCTCCAAATGCAAGTTGTTGCTTCAGGACTGGTCTGCGTTAACACCTGAACTAAGGATAGGGAGTGAAGTAGTCGAACGCGTCGACAACTTCACTTATCTTGGAAGTCTGATCAGCCCTAATGGGTTGGTGTCTGACGAAATCTCAGCACGGATTCGAAAAGCTCGCATGGCCTTTGCCAACTTACGTCATCTATGGCGAAGGCGAGATATCCGTCTATCAATTAAAGGACGAGTATACTGCGCGGCAGTTCGTTCCGTATCTACTGGGATCACCGGGTAAGTAATAGTGAGGTTAGACATGTAGGGTATTAGGAAATGATGATGGTAAATCAGTTGATGAGGTTATGAATCTTCATCGACTGAGATGGTTAGGCCACGTGCTGCGTATGCCTGAACACGGATTACCACGACGCGCAATGGTAACCGGTGTTAGGGATGACTGGAAGAAAGTTAGGGGCGGCCAAACCAAAACGTGGCATCAGTGCTTGAAGTCACTAACTTCTGGTCTGAGCCATGTTGGTAGATGCAGACTACCTGGTTGGGGTCCGCGTGACTATCGTAACCAATGGTTGGAGACTCTTGGTGACATGGCTCAGAATCGATCACAATGGCGTCGGTGTATGCACTCTCTGTCTTCCTTAAATTAAGAGATTAAAATCGCTTCATATCTGTCTACGAACTAATTCCTTCTTTCTGTACTATCTCTTTATATGCAATCTTTCTTCTATATATTACCACCACTGAATTAACTACTTCTATGAATCCGGTGTTCATGTTGTTGTGCTAATGCGGTATGGCAACTTGCACCGATGCATATACGTGCCTGGTCCTACGTTGCAGCTAACTGACTGACTGAGACCCCAAATGCATTGGTATGGCCTAGAGTGGGGAGAGACCGCTCTCTCTCTCTCGAAATGCTCTCACACGGCCATGCGTATATAGCCTCTGCCAGGGAAGTCCTACTCATTGCCTTCTCGTGCGCGGGGGTATTGCTTAAGAAAATGAGAGGATAAAAAGCGAATGTCCGGCTCTTTAACCGGATCACAAACAAATGGTGCACATGGGCTGGCTCTAGTATCCTGCCTGAGGGAACAAATGGCATATGAACCAATCGTTGGTCACCGACTACCATGGAATTGCATCTCCTTACGATGCTCCACTGCCTTGTGGGTCAGACGTTTAGGTCGAAGGCTCGAGGTGTGGTCCCCTAAGAAAACCATCTGGTTCGGTTTGGGCACCCGGGCAGTATCACAGCCCTCACACATATCAAATGAGATTTGTGTGGCGCATATGTATTCGGTGACTTCTTTACCAATATCTATGTGTTAAAATAAATAAATAATAAATAAGAGCCAAGGGCTTAAATTTATGACCTATTAGTTACAATCTAAATACGATAAACACTACTTTTTCTGTTATATATACCTTATTTATTTATTTGAACACATAAATATTGGTACAAGGGGGCACCTGATAAGTCTTGAGATTTTGGACGCTATACTCGATTCCTAAGCTATTCTTGAAGACCCCCAAGCTAGAACTATACAGCGACCTGAACACGAGAGAGAAGGCGCAAAGTATGCGAAAAGTACTTTAATCCAAGGTTCATTTTAATACAGAAAAGGTGTTAACATTTGTTAAATCAACATCATACTTCGGTCAATCCGCTAAAAGACATAATATGCTACTGACCAATAGTAGCACGTCACGTTGGCATTCTAGAAAGCTCCATCATGCTCTAATTGGCTAAGACTCTTTGGCTCCTACAGGGCCTCCGCAGGCTCTGTTGCAGTTCTCGGAAAGCCGACTTAACAGCACCAAATATACATGCGCCACACAAAACAATGAGAATTTAAACAGAAGGGAAAAAAGGTAACGAACGTACGGAATTACTAAAAAAGAACAATAATGGGGAAACGAAAAGGTACAATCAGAAGAAATCTTTCAGTGAAGGAAGATACAACCACTTTTTATGAAGAAAGCAAAAGGTTACAGCAGGATCGCCATTGGCTTGTATTCTGAGCCATATCTGATAACGTTTCTAGCCACTGTGTTACACCATTTCTCGGACCCCCAAGCTAGGGAGTCGTGAAGGACCAACACAAGCTAGCCCTTTGCAGCTTTCTTTCATACCACGACACCATGTCATATACTGACCACCTTTCTGCTTTATCCAATCAGTCCCAGAGTCGGCAAATAATGCACGACGAGGAATTCTCTGGGACGACATTCGTAGAACATGTCCAAGCCACCGAAGTCGGTGTTTCAAGATGGTGACACCAATTTCATTATCGTCTCTGTGACCGAACACACGATGCCGAACCTCTGCATTACTGACATGGTGTTGCCACTGGATGCTAGCAATCCTTCGGAGACAGCGATGACCGAACACAGAGTCGTCCAACATCCTCAACTCTGAGAGGCCAGGTTTCACAAGCATAGAGCATAAGCCGCTCTGGCTTTCACTATGCGTGAATTGATCTCATCACTCACACCACCACCAGCACTTATGCAGCTACCGAGATACACGAACTTCTCGACCACTTCTATCTGCTCACCGTCCAGAGTGAGTACAGGATTAGAATCTTGCCAATCTTGTAGAAGTACTTTGCACTTCGAAGGTGCGAAGCACATACCATACCTACGGACATTGATTGCCAACTGATTAAGTGCGGATTGCATGGCTTGAACATTCTCGCACAGTAAGACAATATCATCCACATACTCAACGTCGAAAAGTCTTTCTCCAGGCAACAGATCCACACCACCATTACTTACATCCATCAGAGCTGTTTCCAGAATGCCATCGATGGCAAAGTTGAAGAGGAATGGTGATATTGGGCAACCCTGCCTAACTCCACTGCTTGAATGGAATAGTGGAGAAAAGTGGTTGTATGCCCTCACTCTGCCTGAGGTGTTTGTGTATAGGGCTTTTAGGATGTTAATAAACTTCTCAGGCACACCCTTCTTCAATAGACAATCCCAGAGAACAGTTCTGTCCAACGAATCGAAGGCAGCCTTGATATCAAGAAACACTACGATTGTTGGCCTTTGATAAGTATGACAGTGTTCTAACATTTGGCGGAGGGTAAAGATATGATCAATACATCCTCGACCAGAACAAAACCCAGCCTGCTCCTCGCGAGTCAATCCTTCTCGGGTTCTGAACAATCTACGAAGTATGACGGAAGCCAATAGCTTGGATGCAATCGGAAGTAGACTTATCCCCCGATAGTTATTACAGGAACAACGTGAACCCTTTTTAAAGATAGGGACAACTATCGACTCATTCCATGACGTTGGTACACTCTCTAGTTCCCAGACCTTTGTAAACAACGTCGTCAGTCCCTTAGTCAAAAAGTCACCACCATCTTTAAAAAGAGCCGGAGGTAAGTCGTCTGGGCCCGGTGATTTATAACGTTTCAAGAGTTGGAGTTCCTTGCGGACGTCCTCCTCATTTGGTGAATCAGTCGTCACTGGCCATGGAGGGCAAGACAGTCTGACCGATGTTGCCGGAGCAGCAGGCGAGTTGAACTGCCCTTCAAGGAATTCTGCCCATCGGCCAAGATGTTGATGAATGTTAGTGATTGGTATCCCGTCATCCTCACAGATTGTTTCACTCACACTAGACTTCTTGTTGCCAGTGAGTTGGATGAGTTGAAAAAGCCTCCGGTAATTATCAGATACAGCTATTGCTTCCAACTCACTGGCACTCTCCGACCACTAGGTTTCTCGTTGCTTATGCAAGATTTGTATCATCTTTTACTTTCTTTTTTTTTTTGTTATTTCATTTAGATATTTGAAAATAAAATTAATTATTATCGTAGTCAAATTCATATTCCAGAATTATATAATGCTAATGTATCTTTATCAAAACTTGCATTATTTGCTGGACCATTTGGACGTCAAAAGAATATTATTTCAACTATTCCATAAAATAATTCAAGGGGGGGGGAAGGGAGGGAGGTAGGGAGTTTTTTTTTTAATTTTTTTTTTATATCATTCTTGCCTTATTTATATATGTTTTGTGTTTATGGTATGTCAATTTGAACTGATCTATGTACATACGTACATATAAAGTTCCATGTTGTTACTAACTGACTGACTGTTTTGCTTTCATTGAAGCATTGAACTATAATAAACATTAGTGATTGAATATATATATCTATGTATATCATGATCAGCTGATTGTTTAAAATAAACAACAATAACAACAATCGTTTATCTTAAATTGACTGAATTTTTTTTTCTAAAGTTACCTGTAACCTTTTATTTATTTATTTTTTTCTTTTTTTTTTCAATAAACAAATACCTACTATATTCCGTTCAATATATTATCCTGTTTTTTTTTTTTTGTTTTTGTTTTTGTTTCTATGTCATTTGCATAGTTACTAAACACCTATATACACACTTACATAATAATAATGCTGCTAAATCTATGATTACATCATATAGACACACTCTCTCTCTCTCTATGTATAATCATTTTGCATATTATTTCAATTGGATAGGTTCATTTTTCAAATTTTTATTATTATTGTATTTTTCTAGGTGTTTATTTGTGTGTGTGTGTTTTTGGAGAAAAATTGTTTTGATTTGTTTTATCCGCTTAGTAAATGACCTTGAATAAAGTGGCAAATGTTAAATATTAACAAATAACGAATGATTGTTTGTTTTTTCCATTTGAACGCAACGGTTCACCCTGACCATTGTTGCTACCTTGACGTGGTGGTCGGGCGGGCGGTCTTGCCTATCGTGATGAAGCAACTGAGCTATACTAGCTGGAACAATCGTTCCTCAAGGTCCTACCATGCCAGATAGGTCGGTTGAAGAGCGGTAAGACTAAAAGCAACAAAACCAAGGTCCGAAGGCGAAGTCGTACTGCTGACTGTACAGAGGTATGACAGCAGTAAGGTGTTTCCTTCAGGCAACCAGCATAACAGCGATGCTGCCTTTCCACAAGGAGTGGTGCAGTGGGGTTAGAAAAGGTCGAACCTAAACATGCACACCACGCCTTATCCCACGGATATCCGTCTCCGGCGGTAAGATCTCAACAAGTACGGAGCTAACACAAAAATCACTCATAAAAAGGTCGTGTGTGACCGACCTCAAGCAGCTGTCCCTTGGGCACTGCGGTCACGCTCTCAGGTCACTATGACCAACTCTAATCCAATTTCCTTTTCAGGTACCTCCAGAAGAACCCTTCCACGGTGTGGGCAACCGGGAAGTGATAACCGCCCTCATACCTCTAACAGCACTCTGAAGACCACTGTATTCATAATCAACCTACCTCTTCAACTCCTATTATTCCTCTTACATCGACTTTCAAATCTAAACTCCCTCTTTCGGCTTCCTCCTCAAGTATCACCACAGCCAACGATTCTAGTGCGCAAAACACTGTCCCAGGTCTACTGAAACCTCGCTCCAAACTACACATTGGAGCCTTCAACGTACGCACACTTTGTCAAATCGGTCAGCAGGCTTCCTTGGCTAAAACCTTAGAATCTCGTACCATTGATGTATGCTGTGTCTCCGAAACACGCATACAGGATCCTAGTCTGGTCATTCACTTGACCTCACCTCGGCAAAACGGAGAGCCGACGGGATACACCCTCCGTGTATCTGGCGACCCGATGGCTAGTTCTCGTGGACTTGCAGGTGTAGGCATAGCACTTAGCATGAGGGCGGAACAAGCGCTATTACAGTGGATCCGCGTTAATAGTCGTCTATGCGCTGTTCGGCTAAACGGCTCCGTAAGAACCCGAAAGGATAGGGACACACATCGTTGCCTTTTCGTCGTTTCTGCCTACGCTCCCACTGACTGCAGTTCGGATGAATTGAAAGATGAATTTTACAGAAAGCTGTCTGAACTTCTTCAGAAAGCTAAACGTTCAGACATAGTACTCGTAGGAGGTGACTTTAATGCCCAGGTAGGTAGCTTAAACCAAACAGAAAGACATTTAGGCGGCTATAGGGAACACAAGACAACTCTACAGACTAATAAAAAAAAACTGGAATTAATAAATCAAGTGTAAGTCAGACCATTTCGGAAAAAGACGACACTCTCATCTGCTCCCAGTCCAGACGCTTAGAACGATGGGCGAACACTTTAAGGAGCAGTTTAGCTGGCCTTCAGCTACTCTACAACTACCCTCTATTCCCAGACAGTGTGAATGGAACATTGAAGTAGGTCCCCCAACTCTAGCTGAAGTTCAAAAGCCTATAGCTAATCTGAAACGAGGAAGGGCAGCTGGTCCAGATGAATTGGCCACAGAGGTCTTTAAGGATGATGGTCTAGTTTTAGCGATTACGTTGACTAATATTTTAGCTAAAATCTGGGAGTTAGACGTTATTCCATCTAACTGGTCACAATCACTTATCGTCTCAATATTTAAGAAAGGGTCAAAATCATCCTGTGACAACCACAGAGGGATTAGTTTAACGAATATAGTATCTAAAATACTAGCTTCGATAATTTCCGGACGCCTAACTAAGACTCGTGAACTGCAAACACGTGAAAATCAGGCTGGCTTCAGACCTGGTCGTGGCTGCATCGACCACATATTCACCATTCGTCAGGTTCTAGAACACAGACATGCTAATCGGCGTCCGACAATAATGGTCTTCCTTGATTTAAAAGCAGCGTTTGACTCTGTTGACCGAGAGGTTCTGTGGCAGTGTCTGTCATTGAAAGGCGTACCTCAGAAGTACATAAACCTTGTGAAGGCTCTTTACTCGAACACTACTAGTCGAGTGAGAGCTTATGGCGAACTGTCATCTGCTTTCGCAACCTCAAGTGACGTCCGCCAAGGCTGTCCACTTTCTCCATTTTTGTTTAACTTCATCATTGATCTACTGATGGAAATAACGCTCTCATCGACTGAATTCTCAGGTATTGATCTCCTGTCAGGAGGTCCACTTATTGACTTAGAATACGCAGATGACATAGTCCTGTTTGGTGAAGACGCTGATGAAATGCAGAGTCTTTTGGTAGCACCGAGCAACAATGATAGAATGTTTGAGATGCGCTTCTCTCCCTCTAAATGCAAGTTGTTGCTTCAGGACTGGTCTGCGTCAACACCTGAACTAAGGATAGGGGGTGAAGTAGTCGAACGCGTTGACAACTTCACTTATCTTGGAAGTCTGATCAGCCCTAATGGGTTGGTGTCCGACGAAATCTCAGCAAGGATTCGAAAAGCTCGTTTGGCCTTTGCCAACTTACGTCATCTATGGCGAAGGCGAGATATCCGTCTATCAATTAAGGGCCGAGTATACTGCGCGGCAGTTCGTTCCATTCTATTATACGGCTGCGAAACATGGCCTTTAAGAGTAGAAGATATTCGTAAGTTAGTAGTATTTGACCACAGGTGCCTTAGAAATATTGCGGGTATCTGCTGCGATCACCGGGTAAGTAATAGTGAGGTTAGACGCAGGGTATTAAAGAATGATGGTAAATCAGTTGATGAGGTTATGAATCTTCATCGACTGAAATGGTTGGGCCACGTGTCGCGTATGCCTGAACACTGATTACCACGACGCGCAATGCTGACTAGTGCAGGGGATAATCGGAAGAAAGTTAGGCGCGGCCAAACCAAAACGTGGCATCAGTGCTTGAAGTCACTAACTTCTGGTCTGAGCCATGTTGGGAGATTCAGACTGCCTGGTTGGGGTTCGCGTGACTATCGTAACCAATGGTTGGAGACTCTTGGTGAATCGATCACAATGGCGTCGGTGTATTCACTCTCTGTCTTCCTTTAAACTAAACTATGAGATTAAAATCGCTTCATATCTTTCTTTCTAGGAACTAATTCTTTCTTCCTGTACTATCTCCTTATGCACACTCTTTCTTCTATATATTACCACCACTGAATTAACTACTTCTACGAACCCGGTGTTCATGTTGTTGTGCTAATGAGGTATGGCAACTTGGACCGATGCATATACCTGCCATGGTGCTACGTTGCAGCTGACTGACTGCAACGGTTCACATTAAATAGGGCTCATATAAACTGACTCATGATCTTAACCAATCTCTACAAAATTCCTTCTGATATGAATCAACATATGCTCATTAGTGACTACTTTCAAGAGATATATCCTGGAGTTCTAGTGAGAAGTTGTAACCAGTGGAGTTGAACCAGGTTTGTTGCGAGGTAGTAACTCACTGAAGGCAATGGTGAATGTGTTGCTCAATTTCATAGATTAATTGAAGTTAGACATTAACACCGTTGGATGCCGGCCAGCTCAGTGATGTAGTGGTTAAGTGCTCGCGTGCGAAACCAGTAAGTCCTGGGTTGAAATCTCGTAATGGTTTATTTATTTATTTTAACACATAAGTATAGGTACAGGGAGGCACCAAATATATATGCGCCAAACAAATCTCATTTGATATGTGTGAGAGCTGTGATACTGCCCGGGTGCCTAAACCGAAGCAAGTGGTTTCCTTACGGGACGACACCCCGAGCCTTCGACCTAAAGGTCTAACCCATAAGGCAGTGAAGCATCGTGAGAAGACGCAGTCTCATGGTAGCCGGTGACCAACGATTGTTTCATACGCCATTTGTTCCTTCAGGTTACTGGAGCCAACCCATGTGCATCATTGGTTTGGTGTCCGGTTAAAGCGCCGGACGTTCGCTTTTCGTCCTCTCATTTTTGTAAACAACACCCCCGCCACGAGAAGGCAGTGAGTAGGACTTCCCTGGCAGAGGCTATATACGCATGGCCATGTGAGAGCATTTGGAGAGGGAGAGCGGACTCTCCCCACTTTCGGCCGTACCAGGACAATAGGGGGCAATGGGCGAGGTCGTGGATGCGAACTGTCAAGGAGAAGTCTCATAATAGGACAAACTCTCAGTCCAATGCTTCCAGGTTTTCCATGGTGTTGTCTAGCTTCATCTGATTCATGATGGTTACCATTGAAATTACTACAATCTTCA